AAACATAGAAAGGGCAGCCTAGAAAAGCTCAGTGCCCTCCTAACCATACCCAAGCACTCCGAGTTGTTGGCGATGTCCATTTTGCTCTAGGAGTTCATGGTGACGTAACCCTAACCCAAGTGGAATTTGCCTCCAATGGGATTTTCCCATGTATTTTACCAGGAAACATAGATAAGGCAGCCTAGAAAAGTCAGTGCCCTCCTAACCATACTGAAGCACTCCAAGTTCGTTGGTGATGTCCATTTTGCTCTAGGAGTTCATGGTGACGTAACCCTAAACCCTAAGTGGAATTTTCCTCCAATGGGATTTTCCCATGTTTTTTACCAGGAAACATAGATAGGGCAGCCTAGAAAAGTCAGTGCCCTCCTAACCATACCCAAGCACTCCGAGTTTGTTGGCGATGTCCATTTTGCTCTAGGAGTTCATGGTGACGTAACCCTAACCCTAAGTGGAATTTTCCTCCAATGGGATTTTCCCATGTATTTTACCAGGAAACATAGATAGGGCAGCCTAGAAAAGTCAGTGCCCTCCTAACCATACCCAAGCACTCCCTGGCGATGTCCACTCTCTCAAGTGGAATTTTCCTCCCATGTATTTTACCCGTAATCCCATTCCCCAATTTAACCCTAACCCTAAGGATTTTCCCATGTATTTTACCAGGAAAATAGATAGGGCAGCCTAGGGCCCTCCTAACCATACCCAAGCACTCCGGTTTGTTGGCAATGTCCATTTTGCTCTAGGAAATGGTGATGTAACCCTAACCCTAAGTGGAATTTTCCTCCAAATGGATTTTCCCATTTATTTTACCAGGAAACATAGATAGGGCAGCCTAGAAAAATCACTGCCGTCCTAACCATACCCAAGCACTCTGAGTTCGTTGGCGATGTCCATTTTGCTCTAGGAGTTCATGGTGACGTAACCCTAACCCTAAGTGGAATTTGCCTCCAATGGGATTTTCCCATGTATTTTACCAGGAAACATAGAAAGGGCAGCCTAGAATAGTCAGTGCTCTCCTAACCATACCCAAGCACTCCGAGTTTGTTGGCGATGTCTATTTTGCTCTAGGAGTTCATGGTGACATAACCCTAACCCTAATTGGAATTTTCCTCCAGTGGGATTTTCCCATGTATTTTACCAGGAAACATAGATATTGCAGCCTAGAAAAGTCAGTGCCCTCCTAACCATACCCAAGCACTCCGAGTTTGTTGGCGATGTCTATTTTGCTCTAGGAGTTCATTGTGACGTAACCCTAACCCTAAGTGGAATTTTCCTCCAATGGGATTTTCCCATGAACTTTAAGGGCTTATTTCTGTTTATTTAAGATATTTCTGCGTTTCCCTTCATAGAAAGATGTTGGGGCAGTGTTCAAAGAACTACTAATGAATGTGTTTACACAAGTAAATTCACTGTAATAAAAACATAATGGAATTAGTCACACTGAAAATGACAAAAGTATAAAAATAGAACTTCCTCTAGTGCCTAGCTTCGAAGGAAGCTTTCCCAGGATTTGGCAGCAATTGATGACCCTCTTGAGGAAAGGGGTTTTGGCAGAAGGAGGGAAGCCTCCAGGTGTTAGCGACCCTCGGGCAAAAGAGTATTTGGGGAAACTTCTCCAGAAGATCTTCAGATGCAGACAGGCTGCAGCACTGGTGCAGAGTTTGCATCGTCCTGTGAGTGACCCTGAGATTTCAGAGGCCAAGAAGTGGAGGTGAGACAAGTTGCTCTGAAGGCAGCTAGGGAGACTCTCCGTCCTCCCGGTCACGGTTGTCCCAAAGGTGCTTTTTCAAAAGGCAGATGGACTTTCTTTTTTGCTTGAACATGTTTTGCTTCCCATCCAAGAAGCTTCTTCAGTTCAAACTTCTTTGAACGGTAGTGTAGTTCAATGGTCGTCATTTCCCCACCTGTGGCTCTTTTGTAAGCATTTGGATGCCGACTGAACACTCACAGGGCGAACAAACCTCCTTGGCACCATTCCCTCCCCCCAGCCTGGGGAGGGGAACATAGATGCTGCTGTCATTCAAGAAGAACGTGTCAGGCGCAAATGAACCAGGAGCATTTGCTGAGTTCAAAACCCAGAAAAGTTTACTTCTACTATTATACAAAAATCTAGTCAACTAATGATCAAACCTGAATTGGCACTAGGTAAGGGTCAACAGAATTCATGGGGGGCTGGACCTTGTGGCAATGCAATGACTTCAAACTGGTGGCACATTTAACCCCACCTATCAGCTCAGCCTGCTGTTCTACAGAATGGTTAGTTCACGAGAGTCTGCAAAGCCTCACACTTCTCTAGTCAGGATCAAGTCCAAAGTGTGCCTGTGTCTTTTGCAACCTTCAGTCTGGATGAGGCTGGATTCCTGAGGGTCTCTGGAGGAGTTTTGTCTATCAAAATCAAGAGTGGCGAGGAAGGGATGGTGCTTGCTCTACAGAAGGACCGGGGGGGGGGGATGCTCCTGAGGGTCCTCCTCCTGGTCCCTGGTCAGCAGCACAAAAAGCTTTTGATTGCACAAAAGAATCATTCCAGAGGAATGGAACTTCTCATCCTGAATCGCTGGGTGGTGTGTCCTGGGGGGCCAAGTGGCCGAGTTGGTTTGTGTGGAGATCATTGTGTTGCTTGCTCAGTGGAGGAGTCGAAGCGCCAAGCGTGGTGGTGGTTCTGCATGTGCTTTCCTCTGAGGGCAGAGGGGGCAGAGTGGGCTCCAGGGCAATGCCTTCCAAGTGCCACCCCTTGGCTCTGAAGCATGTGTGCACACGCGTTCCTGTTAAGCTTGTCCAGCACGCGTTGGGTGGAGACCATCTCCCTCAGCTGAGTTCCCAAAGCTGCGTATTTCTGCCCCTGCTTGGAGACTGAAACTTGCAGATGCACCCAGAAATGGAGCTGTGATCCTCACTCATTCCAGCTTGCAAGTTCCAATCTGGCCCTCCTGCGTGAGGGACAACATGGGGTCCCTCGGGTGGGCCAACAGGTGTGCCTGAATTACCTGAGGCATGTTTCTCTGTGAGCCCGGCCAGATAACTCTCCTTGGACTTAAGCAGAACCCTGTGTGCTGTCAGGGGCCTCCAGGGCAGAGACGTCTCAGTCACCAATGACGGTTCTCTTGTTCTCCACTTCGCCTGTCATGGAAAATTTCTTGCAACATCCCCAGGTTGCTGAGCAACCTGCTGTCTTCTCGTTCTGTCCTTCCTTTCCCCACTTCCAGGAAAAGGGAGGGGCCACGGGTGCCATCCGCATCATGCCAGGGGGCGTGGCCAGAGGGCAGTGCATAAACACCTGGCAGTGTGCACCCCAGGGCTGGGTAGATGCCCACCTCCTCTGGCTGGATAGCCGGCATTCCTGGCCTGGGGAAAGTCATGAGGAAGGTGGACAGGGGCTCCTTTCAGGTGAGTGTCCCCCTCCTTCCGAGGGTCCTCCTGCAAAGGAGAAGGTGGGGGTGGGCAAATGCTTTCTGTCCTGGGCAGAAGAAAGGAAGGGGCTGACCCTCAAGGACTCCCTAGTCTCTTCCCCACTCTTTCCAGGCACAGACCCTCTCCGGCAGTTGTCGTCTAGGCTTCTGCTGGGGACAAGGGACACTCCCTCGCCTGGGGGGGAAGCAGGTGTCCCCCTCTCTGTTGATGGGCTTCTCTCTCCTTCCGGGAATTGGAGCTCCTGAGCAGCTGGCCGTCAGTACAAGCCTGGCCTGGCCTTCTTAAGGGGTGGGGCTGGTGGGGATGCTCAGCTCAGAGAGAGAGAGAGAGAGAGAGAGAGAGAGAGATGCCATTGCCACCATGGCTGCCACTGCCTGCAACCCGTCCTCTGCTAACCAGCCAAGCCTGTTGGGGAGGTGCTGGGCTTTCTGCCAGAGCCGGTTCCCAGGATGCTCCCTCCCCCTTTTTCTTGCCCAGCCCCTGCCCAGAAGCCCCGAGGAGCTCTGCATGACGGGATGCTGTGGGGCTGCTGCACCAGCTGATTTCAGCTCTCCGTTATGGTTTGGGAGCTGGTGGCTCTTTCAGCTGAGGGAACGGATTTCATCAGTTGGGTGCAACTGGGGACGTGGCCAGGAGACGGACCCTGCCTGGCCCCCTCCCTGTCCTGATATTGTGGATAAAAAGCCTCCTCTATCGGGGGGGGGGGGTTGCATCCTGTGATACAACAGAAGCAACATATTTTGTGGTTTATTTTGAAAAAGACATCATCACCCCAATTCCTGCTGCTCTGGCACCCAGAGGCCTCTGTTCAGATCTGGCCGATTCTCCATCTTCTCCAAGATCTTCCGAGCAGGCTCTTCCCCACGGCTGGGCCTAGTTTTACTTGGGGGCTGCTCTGAGTATCTAGTAGGGGGGAAGAACTGGAATGGGGGTGCTTTGGGTGGCTCCAGTTCCTGCAGGTTATGAGAGGGGCTGCTCCTGGGCCTTCAGTGTTTGGCTGTTGATTGTAAGTTTCTGAAATTATCTCAAGAGAAACTAGACGGAGACAATTCAATACAGTAACAATCGTGTATTATGGACATTGGAACTCATTGCTGCGGAGAAAATAATAGCGGGGTTGTGGTTATTTACCCCCCCCCCCTACATGCTGCTTGTGCTTTGAGAATCTTAGGAAGCAAATATGGCGGTTTCCCCTCCCATTGTTTTGTCCCACGACAACCCTGTGAGGTGGGCTCATCAGCCAATGAGCTCCAACCCTTTCCAGCCCATTTTCCCTTCAGGTGCCAGTCAGCCTTGGCCTCTCCTGACACTTTGTGCCATTTTCTTTGGGAGACCCACTCGGGGGTGACAGCAGGTGCTTCTCTCCAGCGTGACTGTTCTGGGCCAGACCGGCTGTTCTCGTGCTTGCAAGGAGCCGCCTCACCTTTGCTGGGTCAGCCTGTCCCCATCCAGCTCTAACATGTGAGCGAAGTGCTTGCTCTCTGTCTCTCTCTGTCTCTTAAAAAGTTCCGCTCCTTGGATCAACACCGTCCTGGCCCAGATTTCTCTGAATCTGGTGCAGACTCCCCCCCTCATCCTCCCCCCATCCTCTGCAGAACTGGCCCTGGAAGAAGCTGAAGAGCACGGTGCAGTGGTCGCCCTGCGTGGTCTCCATCCGGAAGTGCTACTCCTGGGTTCAGCTGGCCGGCCACGCAGGTAAAGAGCGATTCTCGCACCAGGAGGAGGCTAGGCTGGCATCCTCCGGGGGGGCCTGCCGAGCCCTTCCCCCACCAACCTCTCCATCCTCCTCCTCTTCAGGCAACTTCAAGGCTGGGGATTTGGGCCACGTCTTGAAGAGACACTGCTCCAACGAGCAGCAGTGCCTGGAGTGCCTGGGAGGCGATGCGTTGCAGCCCTATGTCCCAGCATATTATGGGATGGTGGAGCACGATGGGGAGCCCTACATCCAGATGGAAGACCTGCTGGCCGGCTTCGAGAACCCTTCCATCATGGACTGCAAAATGGGCACCCGGTGAGGCTTCTTTTGCTCTCTACCGGGGGACTCGACTTGGCCAAACACCCTTGGCAGGAGGGTGGGGATGGGGGACGGGCAGCCTTCTTGCAGGGAGGTTTGCCCCACAAAGTCCTTCAAGGCGCTTCCTTCTCCCTGCCCTGCGCAGGACATACCTGGAGGAGGAGCTGGAGAAGGCCAGGCAGCAGCCCTGTCTGCGCCACGACATGTATGACAAAATGATGGCACTGGACCCTTCCGCCCCCACGCCAGAGGAACACGCCCAGCGTGGCGTGCTGAAGCCCCGCTACATGCAATGGCGGGAGTCGCTCAGCTCGACCAGCACGCTTGGGTTCCGCATCGAGGGCATCAAGGTAAGGAGGGCAGAGGGAGGCCTTCTCCTTAGGAAAGCAACCAGCTGCAGGCAGAGTGCTCCATCGCCTGGCTGGCTCTCTGCATTGCTGCCAGGGAAGCCCAGTGTGGGCTGGGGAGGGGGCTTTCCTCCTGCCCAAGCTTAGCTGCCTTTTGTCCATTAGAGCCGGTCCCCTGCCATCCGATGCTCTGTTCGGGGAGAGACTCGGGGGAAGCCATCCCAGAACCAAGCCTTGTACTCTGGGAAAGGTGTTCAGAAGAGGCTCAGGGTGGCTCCCCTGAAGCATAAACAGGAGGGAGGAAACCTCCAAGCAGACCCTGCTCTTCTTGCGGAGCCTGTTCTCCGATTGAGGTAGACTGACCAGGCTCTTCCTCTTCCTCCCCCTCCCCCAGAGGGCCAGTGGCACCTGCAGCACCAGCTTTAAGAAGACCCGGCAACCTAAGCAGGTCGCGGAAGCCTTCTGGGATTTCCTGGACAGGGACAAACACCTTTTGGTAAGGATCCAGCTTCTGCCCAGTGGGGCTTGGGGTATTCCCATCACCGACAGCCCCAGTGGGAGGGCCCCTGCCATTTTCTCAGCCCTTCAGCTCTGGGGATCTGCTGCAGGATTCCTCTGCCATTGCTCCGGTGGTGGCTTTGATGGCCCAGCAGCCCCAGCAAGGGAGCCTCTCACTGGAGTTGAATTTGATGCAGCAGCTTTGTTGCTCTGATATATGGAGCTCCCAGCTGAACCAGGGGCCTCCGGCAATACTCCAAGCCTCTTCAATGGGAAGGATCCCTAGCCCAGCTTGTGCTGCTTCACTCCCGAGGGTCATTCCTTTCTCCACAGAACAGCTACCTGGACCAGCTGCGGGAGGTGAGAGCAGCGCTGGCTCAGTCGGAGTTCTTCAAGGCACATGAGGCATGTTTTTACGTTTGTTTGGGGAGAACCTGCCAGAAGGGTAGACTTGCCCTATTATCTGGATGCCTTTTCTGGCTATGTTGGCACAATATATTAGCATTGACAAGCAGTGGCACCTTCTAGCTTGATACTGTTGGCTGGTTCAGTAAAGCCTGTTTAGATGCCCCTTGGACCAACTTGGCTAAGCGAAATACACTTCCTGGCATTTTCCTGCCAACCAGACGAGCATCTGTCTGGCACCTTCATGGCCCTTGCTGAGTCTTCTCTTTCTCTGCTTCCAGGTTGTGGGCAGTTCCCTCCTTTTCGTGCATGACAAAACAGGGCTTGCCCGAGTCTGGATGATTGACTTTGGCAAGACGGTGCCGCTGCCCGACAAACAGACCCTGACCCATCGGCTGCCCTGGGTGGAAGGCAACCGTGAGGATGGATACTTGTGGGGCTTGGAAAACCTCATGACAATCATGCAGAACATGCTGGAGAAGCCAGACAGCGTCCTGGACACAAGCCCGACATAACCAGAGGAGCAACGTGCTGCAGCTTAGTTCCAGCAACTCTTAGTCTCAGGCAGAGGTGCTAAGAAACCCCAGGAATGTCTAGGGCTGGACAGCAGCTCCCCAGAAACCTGGCAGCAGCATTCTGAATGCCCAGCAGTCAATCTTTATAGGTGTGCGGAAGGCCAGAGGTCCCCAGGACAGAGTTGGAGTCCTGAGGTGTTTCTTAGAAGCTGCAATCCCACGTACGGAGTGCCCTGTAGGGAGCAAAGCTAGTTTTTGAACAAGCAGAAGGGGCAGACTTAAGAGTACCAATGGCAAAATGTCTTAAGAGAAGGGGGGGTGCTTCTTAAGCACCCATCAATCAAATCAGCTAGATGCAAGGACCCCAGGTGGAGTTGCTGTTCTCCACGTGAGCAGCACCGAGAAGTCTCTGCAAAACATCTTTGTGTGGCTCAGGCATCGAGTTTTATGGTGCAGAGCCCTCCTGGTCATCCTCCCGTGCTTGAAAAAGGAGCTCGGCTGAAGAACTTCCAGGTCACGTGCTGAATGTAAGCATGTATAGAAACATGATGGAAAAGGTTCCTTTTAACCTTCCTTCCAACCTGAATGCTGAGCCGCCCTAAGACAGGTTCTGTCTCTGCACTGGTGACTTGGACTACAAAGGAGGATTGCTAGGAAGGCACTTCTTTATTGGTTCCCCTTTATTAAGCAATCTAAAGGACACCTAGAATGGCAATCCTGACTGGGGTGGCCTGTATGTTTGATTAAATAAATGAATACGTTCAAGCGATCTATGGTTGGTACTCTAGGTGAACCAGCAGCTTAGGTGAGCCTAGGGAAGTAATCCAAGAAAAATCTGGAGAGACCATCTCAAATTCAAAATGACTTTGAGTTGCTGGCTCCTGGGAGGGGGGAACTTCAAAGCATCCCAATCAACAGTCGTTTCTTGCATTCGCTTGGCACAGAATGAGGAAGGAGAGGCTATTTTAAAAACCAGGCATAAGGGAAAGTGTTGGCCAGAACAATGGTGGCAGTAAAGAGTGAGGGAGCTACAACAGCTAAAAGAGAGGGAGAAGCAAACAACAAGGCCCTAAACATCACACAGTCCAGGCCCAAAGTATCAAGGAGAGTTGTGCTCCTTTATTAACACCAGTAGCACAGGGTGAAAAGGTATGTAGTAGCTTCACTTTCACACGGGCATTTCTATTCCCTCCTACTTACAATTTCGAAGTTGGTCTTGTTTATAATCAGAACAGTAAGCTGTTCTAATTTCTAAAGGCAAAAAGCACTCTGCTGAGGAAATTTAAGCTACCTGAAAGCCTTATTTCCTCCATTCTTCCTTCTACTGAAACACAAAGGCCTAATATCAGGTTGGTTGATGTAAGTGGGCTTTAAGAGGGGCCTTCAGGGATAAGCTTGTGTCTTCCCAACCTTCTCCTGGAGCTCTGCAGGCACCGGGGGGGGGGGGGGGAGAGGGGGGAGAGCAGCCTCCTTCCAGCACAGGCTTGTTGCTACTAGAGTGCCCTCCGGACCTTGGCTGCAGCAGCACCGCTTGTCCACACAGTCCCTCTCGCACCCCCCCTGCGGGCACAATGTACACCTTTCCGTCAGCCGCCCGCCTGGGACTGAAGCCCGTCAGCTGGGCGTTGCTCTCCTGTATCTGAGCATAGCTCCACAGCTGATAGTGGTAACTCTTGCCATGCTTTGACAGCAAGTAGGTCTCAGTGACAGCCTCTAAAGGGACAGCTGAAGTAGCGTGGTTGGCATGGAAGAGTCCCGGCATGTCCTTGTCCTCTTGGCAGGCAGGCAGTTGGAAATCATTCTTCAGACCAAGCAACGCTCCTGGGAAACAAACGAGATTGGGTTGGGTTTCTGAGCCCTTAGTGTAGTGTTTCCCAAACTTGACAATTTTAAGGCATGAGGACTTCAACTCCCAGAATTCCACAGCCAGCAACGCCTTAGTGGAACTGCTGAAGGGGAGGGGGTCTTTACTGCTGTTCACACAGGCCAGTCCTGATACTGAAATCTAAGCCTGTCCCTGGCCAAATCTGTCCTTCCCAACCGACCTCCCACAACAGAGATTCCTTAGAATCTGTCCCCCCCCCCAACCTGGTCATCCTCCAGATGTACTGGAACCAAGATTCTCAGAACCCCATCCAGGGACATGGATGGGCCATGCCATTCTGCCACGTTTCTCCCCCAAAGCAAAGCACACAGCTGTTCTTTGGGATATCTAGAGAGGAACCCCAACCCATAATCCCAGTGTGGCAACAGCACCCCCTTGTGGACAGTTAATAGCCAGCAGAGCATACCTGAAGCAACAGCCCAATGAGCCTTGTAGCCATTCCGGAGGCAGGGCTCGTGGTTGTAATCCTCATCATAGCTGTGGTAGGCATTAAGGTCCGGCCTGGAAACTTTGGCTCAAGACCACGCTCCCACATAGCATTGGCTGTCTTTGGTGAAAATGCCCTCCCCCCCAGGTTAAGGGGCCACTGACGAGAGACCAAGTGAAAGTCTCAGCTTTCACAGTAAACAGTTTCAAATTTCAGAGAAGCCTTGGAGGAAATGGAAAGGAAAAGCTTCCGTAGAGGATACGGTATCAGCACAGGGAAACCAGCACCAAGATGCTGAAGAATTCTGTCGTGGTTCCGTCCTTGCAGGCCACCAGAGAGTAGCTCTGCTTTACAGGGGAAGACCTCCTCGGCCAGCCTGGCCATGTCAGCGGCTGAAGTGGGTGGCAAAGGAAATGCTGGGACAGCTACCAAGCAGCCCCCCCCCCAGCGATGCCCTGCGTAAGAGGGGATCCAAGCGAGCAGCCAAACTGCTGCCAACCTTCTCTCAGGAGCCCTGACAGCCTCGTCGGGCGCCTCTGCCTGTCCTTCTCAGCTACCGACCTGAGAACATTTCTCCCTGCACCGTGTAGCCTCTCTCCAAAGCCACCTGCCGAATTCTCTCCAGGGGAACCTCAGAAGGCAGGTGGAGGTGAGCACTGGCCATCCAAAGGGCCACCAAACCACACCTGTAGAAGGAAGAAAGCGGCGGGGGGGGGGGCTGGCTGCACAAAGTCTGACGCTTTTCAGCCCGAGTGTCCAATACCGAAAAGGCCAGTTACGAAGGCTCGGCTCGGTGCTTTCCAAAGGGAAGCTACCGCAGACCAGGCACTCGTTATCGGCTTTCACATTCAGGCCGCCCCAAAGAGGGAGACAGGCCAGGGCCCCGCCAGCTTCTCCGGCTCCGTCTGGGCCGGAGCGGCCAGAGGTTTCCTCCTGGGCGATACTCACTGCGGGCCCTCCTGGATGAGGGACGGGACCGGCTGGAGGAACAGCAGCCACGTTAGACACTGGCTGAACCTGCAACAGCAGCGGGGAGAGGGAGTCTCAGAGGCCCCGCCGAGCACCAGCGGCCCTTCCCGCCCTCGCCGCCCCTGAAGCAGCCGCGCTTGGTAAGGCCAGGAAGAAGCGGCGAGCCAGCTCCATTAACGTGCACGAGTGACGAGCGCCCTACCGGGCCTTCTGCCGCCGCAGAAGCTCCCTCACGCCGTCGCGGTCCCCGATGCCGGCCGCCTGCTGTGGCGTCGCCCGGAGGAACGCAGCGGCCCGCGAGGGGGGCGGCGGGGGCGGGGGCGGGGGCGGGCTTTCTGCCATCGCATTCAGCACGCTCTCCGCCATGCCGCCGCCGCAAGTCCAGGGGGTCAACGGTCACGACCCTTTACGGAATCGCCATTGGTAGGTTAGGCGGCGCTCGGATTACGTCATCCATTCGCGTCAGAGAGGATATCCCGGCGTGTGACGCGCCGATCTTGTCGCGATTTGATCAATCAACCAATCGAACACTGCGGCTAGGATGATGGGCGGGCTGTGTCCCGGAAGAGGGCTTCCCACCCGGCCCCATTTGGGACGGGAGCAACGGTGAGGCACGCTGGCCATTGGACGTCCGCGAGGCAGGAAGAAGCCGTCATCTCTCAGCCGTGATTGGCCAACGATCGTCCACTAGTGCAGGACACGAGGAAGGGTCGGCGGGAGCGCCGGTGGGGTGGCTGACGTGGCCTGCGCGGGATCGGTGAGGGATCGGGCGAGCGGGGCGCCATCCGCGCGTGGGGTGCCGCTGGGTCGGGCCTTCCTGTCGAGGGCAGCCGTGCGGACTGGGACCTTCGTTTCTCCGCCGACGCCTCCTGGCCGGCATCGGGTCGGGGCGAACCCTAGCATCCGGGTTGACGGCCGTCGCAGTTCGAACGCAATTACGGAGAAGGGAAAGGCGGGGGGAGGCGGAAGCGGCGGTCGCCTTTTGGAGGAGGAGGAGGACGGACCGACCGGCCGACCGTTTGGAGGAAGGCGCTTTCCCTGCCCTCCGCCTTGCCTGTCCCTTCAAGGCAATCTGGTGGCGTCACACCCACCTCATGTTTTACCGAGTGGTCCCCTTTTTGCTCCCAGCTACGCGATCTCAGTAACCCGGGACCCACGGGCTCCTCCGTTGTCTTCTGTGGAGCGTTGGTGGGCGGATGGCCATTTCTTTGGGGCTGGCTGAGTGTTCCAATTCAGCTTCTCCATAATTAAGCGTTTTCTCTTGCTTTTCGTTTTTTTCTTTTAACACAGAAATTTATTACTCCGTTTGGCTGAATCTTTCCATTCCCCGCCAACCTTGGACTTGCAGTTGTCATGGCGGTTCCAGAACCCCGGTCCAATCACACCATCTACATCAACAACCTTAATGAGAAAATCAAGAAAGACGGTGAGGAGTTGTGGGTGCTAATTCAGTGCTAATACGGTGTGGCTTTATGGGTGGTCATTTTGCCTTAGAAGGGCTGCAATTCCTGCATTGGTGATTTCTTTGGGGTTCCCAGATTCTTCTGAAAAAGAAGGATATTTAGAGTGGGTGAGCCCATATCACAGTGCCTGTACTTTGTGTGCAACTTTGCTTATTCTTTTCTTGGTATTTATGGAAGGGCAATAACTCCCAAAGTTCAGAGAAAGTTGAGGTATTTTTAAAAAACAGAAACCAACTTGTCTTTTGACTGCAGGAGATACAGTTGTGCAGCATAGAGCAAAAGTTAAAAATGTGCCTTTTTCTCCACAGAGCTCAAGAAGTCGCTGTATGCCATTTTCTCCCAGTTTGGGCAGATCCTCGACATTCTGGTGTCCCGCAACCTGAAAATGAGAGGCCAGGCCTTTGTCATTTTCAAAGAAATATGCAGCTCCACCAATGCCCTACGCTCCATGCAGGGGTTCCCATTTTATGATAAGCCCATGGTGAGTGGCGACCATTCCTGGCTTCTGGAGGAAGGGAGGGAAGGCAGGTGGCTCTCCTGAGAAAGGAGATCTAATTGTAGTCAGCCAGGTGCCTGTGCACTCCCATGCGGCTTGACCAACATGGCCTTTTCTGCCATTCTGATCCAGGGAAGCTTGGAAGTTTGCTGGCCAGGCATTGGGTAAGGGTAACTCAGTGCTTCTTTTCCACACCCAGAGGATCCAGTACGCCAAGGTAGATTCTGACATCATAGCCAAGATGAAGGGCACTTTTGTGGAGCGGGACCGCAAGAGAGAAAAGCGAAAGCCCAAAGGCCAAGAGGCACAAGTAACTAAGAAGCAGATACCAGGAGCAGCTGCCCCAGTGGCCCCCTCTGTTCAGGGCACCGTGCCAGTGAGTGCCTGCTTCTGGGCAGTTTGGGGCTGTTGGTTCTGGGGGAAAAACTCCTCTGCTTTCCTTCAGGAAGCCCAGCTCCAAGATGAAACCCAGACCCTGGCAGAGAGAATGGGGGGGGGGAATTGTGGGGTTTTTTTACCTTTAATGAAAGCGGGCTCTGAAGTGTGAACTTTTTCCTTCCTGGCCAGGGGTCCTTGGGGGCTTCATGCTGGCTTTTGAATGGCAGCTGCAGGAAATGGGGGTCTCTGCTCTTTGGAGGGGTGTCCCATGGGCTGAGGTTCAGGAGTGAGGCATAGCTTGAATCTCCCCGCATCTCTTGCTTTCTCCTCAGGGCATGCCCCCCATGAACCAGGCTCCCTGTGTGATGCACCACATGCCAGGGCAGCCCCCTTACATGCCACCCCCAGGCATGATGCCACCACCTGGCATGGCGCCGGGTTCCATCCCCCCAGGGGCAATGCCGCCACAACAGATGCTGCCAGGACAGATGGCCACAGCGCAGCAGGTGAGTGACCAAGGGCCAGCTTGGCTGGTTAATCGGGTAGAAATCCCTGAGAGTTTGTCTTGCTCCCGTTTTGGTCAGGGGGTCGGAGGGCTGCCTCACCATTCCCTGGGCCTGAAACGATCAGAGTGATGCGGTGTTTCTACTCCCTGCAGCTGTCGGAGAATCCGCCTAACCACATCCTGTTCCTCACCAACCTTCCCGAGGAGACGAATGAGTTGATGCTGTCCATGCTCTTCAATCAGTAAGCTCGGCTCTTTGGTGGGGCTTTGGGGGGAGGGCCAGGCAGGGCCGGCAGCGAAGGACTGTCAGGTGGGGAAGGTTGGGCTTCCCTCCACGGTTTGTGTGCTGCCGCCTTTCCTTCCCTGATGTCCGCAAGAATGCGGCCTTGAGCACACAGACCGCCACTCTGTTCTCCAGTGCCTCCTGCAAGTTCCCTGCTTGCTTGTCCTTGTTTACTTCTTGCATCTCTGCGGCCATCTTCTTCCCCCAAGAGGCCAGCCTTGTGAATTCAGCCCTGAGCTTCTCTTTGATTGGCCACAGGTTCCCTGGCTTCAAGGAGGTGCGGTTGGTGCCCGGGCGCCATGACATTGCCTTTGTTGAATTCGACAATGAGGTGCAGGCCGGTGCTGCCCGTGATGCCCTCCAGGGATTCAAGATCACCCAGAACAACGCTATGAAGATCTCCTTTGCCAAGAAGTGAGCTGCCCTCCCCAGGCGGGGGTAGTTCCTGAACTCTGGGCCTTTTTTTCTAGTTTTTGCCTGTAAAATGGTTTGTGTTGTTTCTCTAATGTTGTCTCCTGTGAAAGGTAAGGGTGTGTGTGCGTGTATGGGTGAGTGAAAGAGAGAATTCGCATTTGGACGAAAGGCAGGCGGAGCTATTTGTCCGTTAGGTGTGAGTGGCGTCTGAAAGGAAGCAGCCGATTCCTGGCAAAAGCTTTGTACCCAGAGTCTGACGGCCAGACATCGCACCTGGAGCTTTTCCTTTTGGCAATAAACGTGTTCCTTTGTTCTTTTGGTTGGCTTTGGCTCTTATTGACCAGAGGCTGTGGGTCTCCGTTCCTGGGGCGGAGGATGGCAAGGGTTGCTGTGGAAGCCCTTGAAACTTTTTCTGTCCCTCCTCTTGTTGTTGTTGTTAATTGCGAAGTCGTGTCCGACCCATCGTGACCCCATGGACAACGTTCCTCCAGGTCTTCCTGTCCTCTACCATCTTCTGGAGTCCATTTAAATTCACACCTACTGCTTCAGTGACTCCATCCAGCCATCTCATTCTCTGTCGTCCCCTTCTTCTATTGCCCTCAATCTTTCCCAGCATTAGGCTCTTCTCCAGTGAATCCTTCCTTCTCATTAGGTGGCCAAAGTACTTGAGTTTCAACTTCAGGATCTGGCCTTCTAAAGAGCAGTCGGGGTTGATCTCTTCTAGGACTGACCGGTTTGAACGCCTTGCAGTCCAAGGGACTCGCAGGAGTCTTCTCCAGCACCATAGTTCAAAGGCCTCAATTCTTTTGCGCTCAGCCTTTCTTATGGTCCAACTTTCACAGCCATACATTGCAACTGGGAAAACCATGGCCTGGACTATACGCACTTTTGTTGGCAGGGTGATGTCTCTGCTTTTTAGTATGCTGTCTAGATTTGCCATAGCTTTCCTCCCCAGGAGCAAGCGTCTTTTAATTTCTTGGCTGCAGTCCCCATCTGAGGTGATCTTGGAGCCCAGAAAAATAAAATCTGTCACTACCTCCATTTCTTCCCCATCTATTTGCCAGGAATTGAGAGGGCCGGATGCCATGATTTTGGTTTTCTTAATGTTGAGTTTCAAGCCAACTTTTGCACTCTCCTTCTTCACCCGCATCAAGAGGCTCTTACCATAGGCCAAGAGAGGATTTGCCGGGGCGGGGAAGGAGAGAGGGGGGGCAGCCAGCACCCAGCTTGGGCCCTGGTCCCACCTGGCTGATTGCGTTTCCAAGCTGGCTTATTGTAGGCAAGCTTGCCGGGTGGTGCTGCTTAGTTCATAAAAGAGTCACCCTTTGCTTTTGGTTGAGAGAGCAAAGGTGGTCTTTCCAAGAGTGGTTATCAGTGGGTTTTTTGTTGCTTCAAAACTGCCAAAGCAGATGCTGTATTGAACGCTTAACTACAAGTTCGGAATCCCTAGTGGACAAACATTTGGAACTCAGAAGGTGAGGGAGAGGGTGTGCCGCAGTGACCAAGAGCTACCAAAGTCTTGCAGAACTGAACCCGCGGCCTGCGTGCCTTCTACAGGAAAGGGACCCTTGCAGGTTCTGCCAAAGAGCAAGTTTATTCTCAGTGGCATACATCATATCGCCCAAGGTTACTTCAGCCCCAAGCACAGCAGTCGCAGCAGAGTTTGGACAACCAGACTCAAAGCCCCTGGGGAAACTGCCAGGTGTCCAGAGCCTTGCATAAAGGCTGACAGGGTGGGGGCCATCCAGATTTCCAGGGGGGGTGCTGTGTCCCCTGCGGGACTTCACCAAAGGGATACAACTTCTGGCCCCTTCCCCTCTTCTGTCACTCAAAGTGAGATCTGCTCTGGCCTCATGGCTAACTCCTCCAGTGCAGGAAAGGCCCTCAAGGCTTGGGCTCCCTATCCCCCCAAGTAGAAATGGGGAGGGGTCATTGCCTCCCAGCCATAGCTTCTGCTTCCTGGCTGGCCAGGCAAAACGGCAGCTTGGAGCTTGTGCGGTGGGTTGCCTGGTGGCAGAGGGGCTCCTGCTGCCCAAAGGTTTTGAGCCCAGAGCGGTCCCGCCTGCCTCTTTGCTCCCAAGGCCAAGGATTGGCCAGGCCTGAGGTTTGCCTGCCGCTTCCCCAGCTCTGCTGTTTTCCTTCTGGGATCCCTGCCCAGGGCTAGAGGTTTTCCTTGCCAAACGAGTTTTGCAGGATCCTGTAACCCCAGGTGGGGGTGGGGAGGCTGCCAAGGTGCAGCCAGGAGGCTATGGAGGAGCAGCAGCACAGAAACCCTCCTGGCCCAATCTTCCAGGAAGGGTTCGGGCGTTTCCTGTTTTCTGCAGGGATCCCCAGCCCCAGAGGAGGGGTGTTCCTGTTCCACTTAGCGAGGTCTGGAAAGCAGGAAGAAACGCCCCATCCCAAAATTTTAAAAAAGCTTAGTGGGAAAAAGGATGTGTTTCAATTCATGTGGAAAAACCTATCGGATCTCATCCAGCCATCAATTAGGAATATTTAAGATCTCACTTCTGAGCATGAGCAGAGTGCTCCCAGTCACAGAGAAGCTGCCTTCCCTTGTCTCCTCCCCTGTCCTTTACCCCCACGGTCCAGGTTTGCCCGGGCTGAACCTGCACTACTGGTGAGCGGAAGGTCCCCTCCGGGGTTGGGGGGCTCGGAGAGGCTAGAATTCTTCCTGGGCAGGAGTTGGGGGGCTTCAAGAGGGCGGAAGGGCCAGGCCAAGATCCTTTCCATGGGGCTGCGCTGCCAGGCAGACCTCTGGGACCTCGCGAGGAGCACCTATTCTTGCCGTGCGGAGGGGAAGAAGCCGCCGCTCGGGGCTCCCCAGAGAGCCGGGAGCTCCAGCAGCCTTGAGCCTGACCTCCTGGAGCCCCCAAGCCTGGTGCGCGGCGCTCCCTGCTCGAAGGCGCGGACGGGCCGGTCTCCCCTCCCTCGGGTCCAGGGTGCAGGTGCCGGAGGTCCGCGCCCCGCAGGCGTGGCCAGGCAAATGAGGCGCCTCGCCTTCCAGCTGCCGCCGAGCGCCGCAGTCTCCGCTGCGCTCCGACGGTTCGCCGATGCCGTTGCCGCCGGTGCCCCCGCACCGTCCCCGACCCCGCCGGTGGCGGCCGCTGCGGGGCCTGGAGTGCGTGTTGCTGGGCGATGGCGCGGTGGGCAAGACCAGCCTGGCGCTCAGCTATAGCACCAACGGCTTCCCCGCGCGCTACGTGCCCACGGCCCTCGACCGCTTCTCGGGTACCGTCGCGGCAGCTCCGCCACGGGAAGGGCGCTACCCGAGGCCGGCGCCGGGTGCGGAAGCTGGCGGGTGGCGGAGGGGCCGGGCGCGCCGGAGCAGAGTCCCCCGGGGCGGCCCGGCGAGGAGGAGCTCAGAGTCGCGTCGGCGGCTCGCCTCCCGCTTCTGGGCGGCGGACCCCCTTGGCTAATCTGAGCGCCTGTTGTGTTTCCCCAGCTGTGGTCCAGGTGGACGGCGCCCCCATCCGTCTCCAGCTGTGCGACACCGCCGGGCAGGTAAGGGCTTGTCTGGAGCCCCGGAAGGCGGCCCTCCAGCCCGGAATTCAGGCTGCAGCGCGCGGCGTTGTTTTTGCTGCCGTAATCGGCGGCCCAAAATTTGGCTCGAGACGCCTAGCCAAAGTGGATCCCGCGGATCCGGCTGCCGCTTCCCGGAGTCCTTTGGAAGCGAGCCGGGTTCAGCTCCAAAGAGAGCAGCCTCCCCCGGGCGGGACCACCAACGGAGCCGAGGCAGCCCCCCTCTCTTTGGTCCCCACTCTGCTTTACTCCCATCTGGGATACACCCTGGTTCCCAGATCCCCACTCCGAATAATTGGGGCTCTTTTCGCTGGCCTCTAGCTTCTTTCCAGTTGCCCCCACCCCAGTGTGGGGAGCCAGACATTAGGCACACTCAAAATTCCAATGATCATTTATTACATTATTAATGCAACGAGCAACTGGAGTTCTCCTACTGGAAGAGACTGAGTACGGGGTGGGGGTGGGGCTTTCAGGGCCTCCTGTTCACAGCTGTGATGTTGGTGTTGCATCCAAAGCAAACTTTGGCCAGGCTTCCTGACCTTGCCCTGAGCATCGAATTTGCAAAGGCCAAGGCTGGGCCCTGGACGGGGGAGGGTTTCTAGGAGTGAGTGGTGAGTCTATCCTCATGCTGTGCCTTTCCCGCTCTGCTGCCAGGATGAATTTGACGCCTTGTGGCAGACCTGCTGCCCAAAGGCTGACGTCTGCCTGCTCTGCTTCAGCGTGGTGGCACCCACCTCCTTCAGGAACATTGCAGACAAATGGTACCCAGAGGTGCGTCGCAACTGCCCTTCCGCCCGGGTGCTGCTGGTGGGGACTCAGTCGGACCTGCGCCAGGATGTCAAGGTGCTGATTGCCCTCTCCCGGCGTCAGGAGAAGCCGGTACCTCCTGCAGCCGCCTGCTCTCTGGCCAGGAAACTGGGCCTGGCTGGCTATGTGGAATGCTCGGCCCTCACCCAGGAGAACCTGAAGGAGGTCTTTGACACTGCTATTGTGCTGGGGCTGCAGGCCGGCGAGGGAGCCAGGGGGCAGAGGCGCCCCCCCAGCTGCATCTGGGCCCTCTCCAAAGACTGGTGGAGCAAGTACGTTTGTGTGCGGTAGCCCTGGGTACAGCATTCCCCCCCCCCCAGGGATGGGGCCTGGCGCGGGGATCCTCCATGAACTGGTGCATTGTGGTGCATTTCTCCTGGGTCGGGGGCTTAGGAGATGCCCAGAGCTGTGCCATCATGCCTGTCTGTAGCCTGCCCTCTGTGGTGAAAGCCTCAAGCAGGGGAGGGCTGCCTGTGCAGGAGAGTACCCACCAGGGCTCTTCCCAAGTGCTGAGGAAGGGCAGATCAAGGCTGTCCTCCCTCGCTGAGCACAAAAAAAGGGGGGGAAGGCCTTGGGTACTCGAGGGACAGAATGAAATGGAGCTCCTGTCATAATCACCCCAAGTGACGGTGGAAAGTTTTTGACCAAGGAGTTGATTTTATTGTGTTTTAAACAGAAATGCATAATCCAATAGTATGATTTTTAGAAGTGAAATTACATGCTTTAAAAAATATGAATAACAAAACATTTCAGAGAACTGGATTTTTTTTTATTACATACAGTAGGCAAATCCCAGGCCTTAATCTCAGAGCCCTTGTTTTGACGCTGCCTGCTGACTTCTAGCCCTCTTCTCTACCTTGGGGTCCCTCAGGGGTGGGATCTCCATCCTGCTGATCTTCCAGCTATAGCGGCTGCAGCCCCACAGACTGACAGGAATGCCCAGTGCCAGCTGATCACCTTGCCCAAATATCTTTAATTTGAGGTGGTGTGAGGTTTCTGTTCCCCTGGGCTTTCTGTACTAAATATTTGCTTTGCAACCATTATCTGTTTAAATGTAGTTTCCCCTAAACAGAGTATTTGGGACACTCCCCTTTGAACCCCAAGATGTAGGTATTCTGAGAGAAGAACAGGGTCCGTGGTGCTGAGATTGCTTGTTTTCTTGCAGACCTTTCATTACCTAAACTAGGTAACATCATCCGTGCTAGTAGAGAAGAGCTTTCTGCACAAAGCAGAAGCACTGAAACATTAAATCTATGGCCTGGCAGTGTTGTGCGCTTTGCATGATGTAATGGGACTTGTGAGGTTAATATTAACTGGAGCAGGGGTTGGAGTTGAACTTTGTTGATAAGGAGGAAGTTCAGCCTCCCTCCTGCCACCCGCTATCAGTCCAGGCCCTTTCAGGGCAACCTGCTTCTTCCTCCCCCAGTCCTGAAAACTGCCCAACCCAGAAAGGGTGACTCACACAACAGTGCTGACTTGCTCAAGATAAAAATGCCAGATGGGGAGGAGAGGGAGGGAAGACATCTAGGCCCAACCCGCCCTTCTTGACAGGGTAGCAGAGATGCCAAGAAGAGGGGTGGGTGGGTTAGCGGTCAGTTGGAGTTAATCAGACTGGAGCTGGAAGGGACCTTGGAGTTCTTCTAGTCCAGCCCCCTGCTCAAGCAGGAAACCCTATACCATTTCAGACAAGTGGCTATCCAATCTCTTCTTAAAAACCTCTGGAGGCAGGCTGTTCCACTGGTTAATTGTCCTCACTGTCAGGAAGTTTCTCCTTAATTCCAGGTTGCTTCTCTCCTTGATTGGTTTCTATCCGTTGCTTCTTGTCCTGCCCTCTGGTGCTTTGGAAAATAAATTGACCCCCTCCTCCTTGTGGCAGCCTCTCAAATACTGGAAGGCTGCTATCCTGTCCCCCCTAGTCCTCCTTTTCTCTAGACTAGCCAAACCCAAATCCTGCAACCGTTCTTCATATGTTTTAGTCTCCAGGCCTTTGATCACCTTAGTTGCTCTTCTCTGCACTTTTTCCAAAGTCTCGACATTTTTTTTAATGTGACCAAAACTGGATGCAGTATTCTAGCTGTGGTCTTTACAAAGCGGTACTAATACTTCACATGATTTTGATTCTATGCCTCTGCTTATACAACCCAGGCTTGTATTAGCTTTTATGGCTGCTGCCGCACATAGCTGGCTCATGTTTAAGTGATCGTCCAGTAGGACTCCAAGGTCCCTCACAGTTACTGTTTTTGAGCCAGGTTTCTTGTCTAATCTGTACTTGTACCTTTGGTTTTTCCTGTTCAGGTGTAAAACCTTACTTTTCTCACATTATTTTGTTGGATAGGACACACTGTTCAAGTCTGTCAAAATCTTTTTGGATCCTGAGATTTGGGGGTGTTGGGTATTCCTGTCAGCTTAGTGTCATCTGCAAATTTGATAATTCCCCTTCTATTCCCTCATCTAAATTATTTATGAAGATATTGAAGAGTACTGGGCCTAAAACAGAACCTTGTGGTACCCCACTGCTTACTTCTCTCCATGTGGATGTAGTTCCATTGAGGACTACTCATTGAGTAGTCAGCTGGTGTTGTTGTCTATTCCACCCTTTTCTAGCTTACCAAGAAGTAGATTGTGGTCTCCTTTGTCGAATGCCTTGCTGAAGTCTAAGTATACTATGTCCACAGTGTTTCGCTAGTCTATTAATTTGGTCACTTTGTTGAAGAATGAAATAAGATTGGTTCGGCATGATCTGTTCTTGGTGTTTCCTCCCTTGGGGTCTCAAGCTGCTTGCTGAGGGGGTGGGAAGGTCATATGTATCCCTAATGTCCTCTGGGCTCTCTAAACCCTTGCCTCTCCCTGCCTGCTGCAGGACTCAGGAGGAGGAGGAGGTGCCCTGAGTGCCTGCTGGGCATGGCTGTTTCCCTGGCAGAGACAGGGTGTTTCTGCCAAGAGTAACTTGTCTCTTCTGCCAGCCTCCCAGAGCGGGCTTGCGGGAGCCTGTGGGACTGGAGGGGAGGGGAAAGGCTCAGTGAGGTGGGGGGAGGTTCTAGCTGCCTTGCCAGTGTCTCCCCACAGGTTGGGGAATAAGGTTCTACCAGGCTGAGGTGGGCTGCCCGTGGTGTGTGCGCCCATGCCTGTCTGCTGCCAGGTCAATCAGTGCTTTTTACCCTTTGTGGCTTGCCCTTGGTTCCTTCACGGTCCCAGGATCTCCTGGCCCAACAGCCCTTCCACGTGAGTGTGTGAGTACATGAGTGCACAGGGACTGCAAGAACAAAGGTTTGATGAGAGCCTTGGCTGAAGGAAGGAGACGCCCAGCTTCCCAGAGGGAACAGCCCCCCTTTTCCTCCCTTGCAAAGATAGGTTGCAATATCCCTTTCCAGATCACCTGGATCCTGCGCTCCAGCACAAGAACCACATTCGAACCCGCAGCCATACAAGCGCCTCTCATACAAGGATTTGGGTGGAAACAGCACTGGGCACTAGGCCAGAGCCTCCTCCCACGGCCACAGATGGCCTTGGATACCCACGCGGCCATACGGCTTGCCTCTGCGGGGTTAGAGCCAGGCTATGCCCGGGCCAGGTGGAGAAAAGAGGACAACTCTGCCTCAGTTGGCCGGGGGGGGGGGGTTTCCCCGGAAGAAAGCCTGGCAAGCACCTTTCTGGCTGAGAGCCAGCCGTGATGTCTCGCGGGGACCCCCAAATAACCCATTCCCTTGATTTGGCTGAATAAGGGTAGGCGGGAGCGGGAACTCTGCCACCAGACACAAAGACGCACACACGCCACCAACCCCGCCGGGCGGTCTGCGCTCCTGCCAGCGCGCTGCCCTTTTTATACCTTCCTCTGATTGGCGGCACGGCCTGAGCCTCAGCTCTCATTGGCTCAGCCGCAGAGCCAATGACCGCAGAGCTCGCCGGCCTTTCCTTCCACGCGCGGGGTGGGCCGGTCTTCGGTGAGTCGTGTGACCCTCCGTGCTTCCCGGTTCTGTCGCTCTTTCCTGCGCCCTTCGGAGCGGGACCCTGCGGACGGGCCCGCGCCGCGTCCCGGAGCCTGCAGGTCGCCAGGGGGCGTTCCCCACGGCGTGTGACGTCATCCCCCCGCGACGTCCTTCTCGGCCGGTTCCCTGGGCACCGCCATATTGCGCGACGAGGCCGGCGGGCGCAGGAAGCGGCGGCGGAGGAGTAGGGGGCGAGGGCCGCCGCGTCGTCCGCCATGTCGGAGACCTACGGTGCGTGGGCGGGGCCGCGGGGGGCCGCGGCGGCGCGGCGGCGGGGGGGCCTCTGCAAGGGATGCCTCCCGTCTCTCTGTCTCCCCCACAGACTTCCTGTTCAAGTTCCTGGTGATCGGCAGCGCCGGCGCCGGCAAGTCCTGCCTGCTGCACCAGTTCATCGAGAGCAAATGTGAGTCGCGTGGGGGGGGGCGCCGGAGGGACCGCCTCGGCCCGAGGTGCGAGGGGGCGGGAGGGAAGAGCCTGGTGGGTTCGGGAAGTCCCCGGGCGGCTGAGGCTCCCGCGGGCCTCTGCTGGGCTGCAGGCGGCGCAGAACCTTCCGGTTCCTCTGCGAGCGGCGGAGCCACGGCGCGGTCGCTCTCTGAGCCGCCGCCCCCTCCAGGTCGCGGGCTTGCCTCGGGCCGCCCCGCGTGACCCACCGCCCTCGTGTCCCTCTCGGCGCCCGGCAGTCAAGCAGGACTCCAATCACACCATCGGGGTGGAATTCGGATCGAAGGTGGTAACCGTCGGCGGCAAAACGGTGAAGCTACAGATCTGGGACACGGCTGGGCAGGAGCGATTCAGGTAAGCCGGGGGGGGGGGGGGCTGGGGGTCCGGCCCCTGAAGGGGGCCTTGGAGAGGGAAGCCCCCCCAGTCGTTGAGGGGGAGCCTTGTGCTGCTTTGGGGAAAGCGGGAAGATCCCTGCTTGCCATGCCTGGAGAGTGGCACCCCTCTGGGCACCGGGAGACCAGCCCTGGTAGTGCCAAACTAGGAAGGGTAGCTGGAAGGGTTTTTTAAAGGGTTTGGAATAACCAGTTTTAGATTAGCAGTGGTAGGATGTTTATAAAGTAGATTTTCACGAGAGCCTGTGCTGCAGGGATTGTATGGATGCATCAAAGCTTGCAAGATCAGCCATCTGCTGAATTTTGTGGTTGATGTTATGCTCAGTTAAAGTTCTGTTTTAAAAAAGATGCCAAGGACATAGGTGGGGGGAGAGGTTCCCTCCTGATTAAGATTGATTTGTGCAAGGCTTCAGTTGCCAAAGTCTCCTCTGAAACAAAGAATGTTGTCTGGAACTTTGAATCCAAACCTAGCCCCACATGTTGGCCTAGAGAATGCTCTTGTTACCTCACAGAAGGATTCAGAATAATTGTGGCTCTAACTGCACAACGCAGCATCTAGGATCCCACTTAGACATAAGGCTCAGGTTAGCATTTGCGAGTGCCCTTTCAATTGTTTGCATTACATCCATTCTGCCATACCTGTATGAAACCTTATTTACTTCTCTCTAGGTCTGTTACTAGAAGCTATTACAGGGGTGCAGCTGGGGCACTTTTAGTGTATGACATCACGAGGTGAGCAGTTGCATCCCCATCTCTTGCTTTTCAGCAGTAGGAATTCTTGGGAAGGGGCCGTTTCAGCTACGGCTGTTCACAGACAATTTTCATTGTAGAAGAAAAGCTGCGATGCTGTTTCTTAGAGGACATTTTAGTGCGGGGAGATTTTGGGGAGGAAACCAGCAAAGCAGCTTGTGCAGAAATCTATTTCTTTTCCCTCTTTGGGACAAAACCTTCTCTGAGCTTCCTAATCATCTGCTTGTCTGGCATTCAATCGGTCAATTCCGTCTTGCAGCAGAGAGACCTACAATGCCTTGACCAATTGGCTAACAGATGCCCGGACTCTGGCCAGCCTCAATATTGTAATTATTCTGTGCGGCAACAAGAAGGATTTGGATGCTGACCGGGAAGTCACTTTTTTGGAAGCTTCTCGTTTTGCTCAGGAGAATGGTAATGTGGGGTGGTGGTGGTGGTGGTGAGGCTGGCTGGGCTGGAGGTAGTTGAGCCCCTGGAGCCTTGCTTTTCCTGGGGGCACCTCAGTGCTGCTGGGTTGAGAGGGAATCAGTTTGCTCTCGGCTTCCTTCTGGGGGCAGCTGTGCAGTTAACCTGCTGGACTAGAGCAAGGAGAGTTGGCCGTGGTGAGCTCCTGCTAAAATGTTTTGGGCTGGAGCAGCCAGCTCAGATCAAGTGCTGGTTTGTTTTTCCCAGCATCCTTCTCTTGTTGAGGGCTGAAGATTCTGAAAACTCTGGGAGGCCTGGACTTGATCTCCAATAACCCCCCTCTCCTCCCCTTGGTTTGGGTTTGTCCCACCTATCCATTGCTTTAACCAGACTCAGTTCTGGTCCCAGAACATACATTGAAGCATTAAGACAGTGGTTTTAATCCAGCGCTTCTTATCCGGCAGAGCTGATGTTTCTTGAGACCAGTGCCTTGACTGGAGAGAATGTAGAAGAAGCTTTTCTGAAATGTGCACGGACCATACTGAATAAAATAGAATCAGGTGTGTCACATTTTTTTTAGCAGATTTATGAACCATCTCAGTCCTCAAGGGCTCTGGGTTATGTAACTATGGAAACTGTTGTGCAATCAGCAGTACAAGTCTTTCGGTTCATCCCTCGGTCGCCTGGGCCAGAGGCGGAAAGACACAGCTCAGGGGTTGGGGTCAAAATGGTTTTGAGCTGGTTGAAATTGAGTAGGACTCATTCTCCTACGCTCTGGACGATGTGCCAAGGCCAGGTGGCTACGCTAGAGCCTGCCCAGACCCTCTTTGGGTAAGTTGACATGTGGTGAAGGGGCTTTGGAACCAAGTGAGCATTGTGGGGCTGCGCTTGGCTGTGGGAGAATGTGGCCAAAGCCAGTGGTAGCTGAGTCTCTCTTCCCCCACCAGGTGAGCTTGACCCGGAGAGGATGGGCTCAGGTGTCCAGTATGGGGATGCGTCTTTGCAGCAGCTGCGGCAGCCCAGGAGCAGCCAGGCACAGACGCGGCAGCAGTGCACCTGCTAGGGCCCAGGTCCCCACCGGCTTGCAAGGTGAGCCTGGGAGCTGCTCTCTCCAGTGACTCTCCCATTCAATGCCCTTTGTGTGCCTCTGCCTCCTGCACCTGAGGCTGGGCTGCGTGGGCAGGGGACCCTTTTCATTTCAGAAAAACGGGTGACCAGCAGTCCTCCAGCCCCCAACCCCACCCCGTGGCCTGCTTAGCCCCCGTGCATTGGAGCCACTGGCAAGAAGCGCACGTGGGCCCTTTTTCCTTCAGCGACCTTTGAGTGGGGATTGGAAAGCTTCAGTGAATAATCTCCAGCAGCTATGTGGTCGGGAGGTTTTAGCCATGAGTCCATCCCCCAGAGGGAAGTGTGAAGAACTGGAGCCCCTGCAGGGCCCCAACGTACTCCTCCTCTTTCCTCAGTGCTGGAACTCCGCTGCTCTGGATCCAGGGCTACATGAAGCCTCTCCTTCTGTTTGGTTCTGCAAAGCAACAGGCCTCGTGGGCTGAAGACCCTGCCGCACCCCCTTCGGTGGCTGCTACGGCCACCGCCGCTTCCTTCCCCTCACCTTGCCTCCCATCCTAAGGAGAAATGTTGTGAGTTTGGCTGTCAGGTTTCCTAGCAGAAGGTTTGCACCAGAAGCTGTGGCCAGGCCCCTGCATCTGCCCCTTTGCACACTGCGGCTCCCCAAAGATGTGGGGGGTGCTCCTAGAGGGAGTAGGGCCTTCTTGGCCCCTTGGAGTGACTACCTCTGCGCTCCGTAGCTGCCTCCCGCTGAATAGCAGCTGATCCTTCTGATTGGGAAAGAGTGTCCATGCCCCTTCCGGGATGCTCTACTTTCTACCTTTTAAGACCTTGAATTGTTTCACATTGCATCGAATCTCAACCTGCTTTGAGAAGTCGGGGGTGGAGGGAGCAGGTTGGAGCACAGTTGTGGTGACGGAAACTTTGGTGTTGTTTGCAGCATCCCCAGCACTCTCCTTTGCAGGATGGGGTCCTGGGAGAGTGCCTCTCCTCTCCAGGTTCACTTGTGCAGGATGGCGTTTCCATGCCTTGTTTCACTTTCCGCCCCCTCTTCTGCTTGGCCAGTGCCTCTGCTTGCACCCCTCTTTTCCTGGGGCTGCAGTGGCTAGGCCAGCCCAGGCCAGTGGGCAGGTTGGCTTGGCTTTGGGGGGGGGCTGTTGGCCTGGAGTTGATGGAGCGAGAAATGCCTACTTTGGGCAATTTCTGTGAGCTCCTTTGTGGGTGATTTGCTCTGGGCTGGTCCATAGCAAGGAAGCCACAGCATCGGCAGAATAATCTCCGCTTCCCTACTGGTGTGGGAAGCCGTGGGGATATTGCCCCGTTTTGGCAAGTTTGGATCCCCTCATGCTTTCATGTATTGCAAGATGTCCGTATCTCTAGAACCTTTGACCAGGTGCCAGCATGAGAGGCAAAAGTCCCACGGTTGACAAAGCACCTCTGACTTCCAAAGAGCACAGCCCTGAGTTTTGTCACATGAAGTGGAGAAAAAGAATTGCAGGCTTGACCTGGCAGTTCCTGTTGGCAGTTACTTTGGCCATGGATGGCTGCCCCCCTTGCAGGAAGGGGAGGTGCTCTGAGTTGGGGACTTTTTCCTCCACCTTCCCCTCCCTTCCTGGTTTTATCATCACATCATGGGAAGGTCAGAACCTAGAGGTGGGGGTCTACCTCTGTTTTCTGCTAGAATGTAGGCATCACTGCCTCTTCTGGTGTTCTGTTTGGATTGATCTGGGGAAGTTTTGCTTCCTCTCCTGCTGAGCCCTCCCCTTTCCCCTGCAAAAGAAAGGCAGGCGAAAAGGCTTGGCTTTTATTTTTAAGTATAATGTTTACCTTTGTTATTTATTCTTCTGTGTCAAGGGCAGGAACAGGCTGGCTTTGCAGGTGGTCCCTGCCTTCACTTGCCCTCCTGGGTTCCCTCTGCAGATTATCCCTCTCTGGTCCTGCTTTGATTCCCTGAAGCTTTGGAGGAGGAGGGGGGGGTTCTTTGCACAGGCTTTCCATCCAGAGGTGAACAGCTGACTGTTATAAGCAGTTTATAACCTAAATCTTCCGGTTTATTTTGTTTTCCTATAAATGCAAACATTCCCTCCAATTTCAAGGCTGTGAATATGATACTCATACATAAAACATTTTTTTTTCTTTTACAAATGTCAGAAGGGTGATGTCTTTTTCCTTTTTGAAGCAATACACAAATGGTCAATAAGCAGCAGAAGGACCGAAGGCTACTCAAATGTAGGACAGGCTGCGGGTGTTGGTCGTGGGGGGAAAAGTACCAGGCTGCCGTGGTTTCCACCCACAGCTGATCTGATTTGGGAACCTGGTAAGCAGGCCCTTCAGCTAAGGGCTCTCCCCTTCCCCGCCTTGAAGGAAGCTGAGTCAGGCATAGGACAGTGGGCCCTCTGACTGCTGTCTAGAGCGGGGGTCTCCAACCTTGGGAACTTTAAGCCTTGTGGACTTCAGTTCCCAGAGTTCCCCAGCCAGCACATGCTGACTGGGGAATTCTGGGAATTGAAGTCCAGAAGGCTTAAAGTAGCCAAGGTTGGAGACCCCTGCTCTAAAGGTCCTGGTGCTGCTGCATCTCCATCGTGCCTTCTTCCATAATTTATGCAGCCTCCTTTTAAAACCCCCCATTGTTTCTCCACCCAGAAAGCTAAGCCCAAACTCAGGCAATGGATCTTTCCCTCTGGGCTTGGTGGTCATAAAGCCGCTGGCCCAATGTCCCTGCCCATACTTGTGGGCAAGGCCCAAATGATTTTTTATTCTTTCCAAAGGTAACGGAATCCCCAGTCTGTCACCCCCAGATGAGGGGAAGAGCAGGCCTTGCAGTTTGCCTTAAGGGAGGCTCTAATAGAGGAAAAAGTGCTTTACAACTGACCGAGAGGCAAAAGAACTCCAAGGGAGAAATGGGCATTTTTCATGGTGTGAAAAAAAATGACAGGAAAGTTAAGACTCTTGTTATAAACTGACCCTGTGCTTTACTCCTGGGAGGGAAGGATAAGGAAGCACTCGATCCCCGATTCTCCCTTCTTTGTAGACAGATTCTGTAGGGCTTTAATAACAAATCAGCATTGTAACAAGAAGCCATCAACTGAGAACATATATGCAATAACCACATCAAAGAATGATTCTGTAGTTACTTAATTCAGACAATCCTTACACGAGTTCTCCATTATTTACATGCATTAATGCATTTCTTGACTGTAACTGAACAGAAAACAAACAGAAAAAAAAATGGAAAACTATCAGAAAATAAAAAGCAACAATTAAAAGACCAGTTTCCCAGTTAATCCATGGAGCCCCTCTTCCCAAACGAAAAGTTCTTGTCTCCTCTTCCGAATCAGCAGAGCAAGAGGGTGGCCGGGACCCACAAAGAGGCTTCTGCTACAAATGACTCTCGCCAGGTTGTGATCTGAAGGTGAAGGTGCATCTTAGCTGAGCTCCCAAATCAGGAACCCAGGCTGGTGTTCTTACAATTCAGAGCTGAACTGCAGACGGCCTCTGCTGGCTGAAACTGGGTGGGTGGGCTTAGTTGGGAACCTTCCAAGATGCCCCCCCTTCTAAACACTTGGGGTGGTAGGGTCCTTTGTGGGTAGCGGCCTCTGATTCTGGCATTCCCAAAAAATTCTCTTGGGACCCAAGCTGGGGGGGGCGGGGCTTCCAGCCTCATCACATCAGTGGGGTGCCACAGACAGGCAGAGCCCTAGAAAGATGGTAGGGAAGAAAGTGCCCCTTTGGATTTGCCTGCAGCGGGGGGGGGAGGAAATGGGGAGACTCAGAACCCCTCTGCCAGAGCTAGCCCCTCCCCATGATTTGATTTTCCAGCCTTTTGGAAAATCAAGGCAAACAATTCCTGGAAAAGAGGAAGCAAATGGTCTCTGTGGGGATGACACACGTGGCCGCTTAGGAAGTGTTGAGTTCTTTTGCCTTTGGTGCCATCAAAGATCCTGCCTTCCTCCTTCCCTTTTTTGCACGTTGAAGAGTTTTGGAAACTGCAAAGGTTTTGTGTGTGTGTGTGTGTGTGTGTGTGTGAGAGAGAGAGAGAGAGAGAGAGAGGAACATTTTGTCCAATCTGGAGGAACAACTCCGCCTCCTCCGAAAACCTACCGGGCGGCGGGGGACACTGGGGCCGGATCGAGTCGGGAGAACCAGCCCAAGCGGCGAAGGGCCAAGAGCTTCGCCCCGAGGCCGACCTCCGCTGGCTGGAAAGGGGCGCGAGGTCTGCCGGAGTTGCTGCGGGGGAGGAAGCGACGACTCCGGCGTCCGGGGAGGCCCCCACGCGCTCCCGAGGGCCGTTTCCACTTCCTCTGCTCGAGGGCCGAGCGCGGAGGGCGGCTCGCTCCCGGGGCTCGCGGGGGGCTGCCCGGCTGGCGCCTGGCCAGAGCCCGGGAGGACAAGCGGCGGCTTCAGCGAAGGTGAGAAGCGCCTGGCGCGCGCCGAGGACTAGCCTCTTTCCAAGCAGAGCCGCGGCTGCCTCGAAGGTGACGACTCTTCCTGGCGGTGGGTGGCCGAGACCGTCGTCGGTCTCCCCCGCGGAGGCCAGCCCGGCGGCCGCGTCCCCAGGGCGCCCACCGCAGAGTTGCGGCTGCCAGAGGTGGCGGGGAGGGCCAAGTTGTGCGTCATTTGCTTCCCCGGGATTCGGCCGTGGCGGCGCTTCGTGCCTCCGTTTGCCGGGGTCTCAGGTTGTCCCCCGTAGCTGTTCGCCGTTTGTGGGATGGCAGACCCGCCAGCCTCTGCCCGCAGGCCAGGGATGATGGGACCTGGCAAGGTCTGGCGTGGGAGGGGCGGTCTCTGCTCGCCAGAGTCTCCTGCCGTTCCCCCCCCCCCGTCCCACGCCGTCTTCGTCCCTTCCCGGGGATAGTGGTGGTGGGGGGCGCTTGGGAGCGCTCAGTGTGTTCGGGGCCGTTGCGAGCTCGCCCCCTTCTCTTCCTCCCGTAGGCAACCGAGCCCGGCCCCTCCCGCGGCCGGCAGTCCCTTCGGGTCAGCGCTGGGCCGCCCCGGCCCCTGCACGATGCTGCCGGCCCGCGCCGAGCGCCCCCCGGCCCTGAGACGGCCGCCTCCCGCCCGGCGGGCCCTACCGTGGGGCTGCTCCCGGGCTCGGGTAGCCAGGAGGCGGCGGAGGCGGCGGAGGCGGGCCGCGCGGACTGCAAAGGGCTGGCCGTCCGCGGCCTCCTCTGGCTGGCCCTGACCCGGGAGCTGAAGCGGCCCGGCCCGGAGGCGCCGCGCTCGGGGGCGGAGGGCTCGGCCGAGCGCCGGCAGCGGGGGGAGCCCGGCGGCCAGCTGGCTCGCGACTACGTGGTGCCCTGCCTGAACCGCTACGGCCTCTGCGTGAAGGACGCCTTCCTCGGCGAGGCGCTGGGCGGGCAGGTCCTGGCGCAGGTGGAGGGGCTGCACCGCGGCGGCAAGTTCCGGGACGGGCAGCTGGTGCTTCGCAGAACGGTGCCCGCCCGCCGCATCCGCGGGGACCAGGTCGCCTGGGTGGAGGGCCGGGAGCCCGGCTGCCGAGCCATCGGCGCCCTCATGGCCCACCTGGACGAGCTCATCCTGCAGTGCGCCGGGAAGCTGGGCGGCTACCAGATCAACGGCCGGACGAAGGTGAGCGCAAGGCCGGAGCCCGGCTGTTGGTACCGCTGCCCGGCTCAGCCCCCCACCCTGCGGGCCGCCCCTCCAGCCAGCCCCTCGGGTGGACGCGGCGGGGGGGGGGAGGCCAAGGGATCCGGTCTCCGGTGATCCTGCCCCCCCCTTGAGGGCGCTAAAAGCGATGGACTTTACGCTGGGGGGGGGGAGGTGGGCGGAGCCCTGCTGCTGGACGGGGCTTGGAGGAGGGCAGACAGCCCGACAAAAACCGATTCCCCCCCCCCAGAAAGCCTTCGGTGCTTTTGGCTCCTCCTGGGACTGCCCTGGGTCTCTCCTTCCTGGGCTGGTATACTGGAAGGGAGGCTGCTGGGGAGGGGAGGGGCGGGCAGCTGTGGATGATGGGGTGATGGGAGCAGTCCTCCTGGTCTTTTCTGCTGTGGATTTCAGGCCAAGAAGGGGAATAAGCATCTCCCCCCCCCTTTGGGCTGAGGTCTGTCTACCAGCCCTCTCTGACTTGTGGAGCCCCACGGAAGAGGCTCCCTCCCTCTGCCAGTCTTGCCAGCCTGCACCCCAGAGGGACCCTGGCCGCTGCCCCCCATCCTTGAAGTAATAAGAGGCGCCTCAGAGGCCGACACCCCCTCGGACAACAAGCCCTGCCTTCCCCTCCTTTTGCAGCCTGGTCAAAAGGCTCCCTGAGTTAGCATCTCCTCTGCTTTGTCCTCTGGTGACCCTGCAGGGAACATGGGGGGGGGGCTGGCAGTAGCCCAGCTGGGAGGGAGCAAATCCTGCCTCACGGGAACTGGATGTCCTCGATGTTTCCAAGAACAGGCTGCTCCAGCCCTGGGTGGGGTGAAGGTCCCTTCTGCAGCGCCACTCGCTGGGAGGTCGGCCTCCGAAGGCAGAGATGGGCTTAGGGGACAGAGAGGGTAGATGCCTTGCGTGGGGGCCCCCCCCACCAGCCCACTGCATCCCTTTCATGGCAGGGCTTTCCCTGCCCTCCCCGCCAGTGTTCAAGTGAACCACAATTCATGATGGGGACACTTGCAAATAACTTTGCCTCTGAGCATATGCTGAGTCCAGCTTTTGTCTGCCTTGGGTTTGAAGGAGAAACCTTTTGGTTAGGCAAGGGAGTATGTATGTGGGGGAACCTCCCCTCTGAAAGCAGAGCATCTTGCCTTCTATGTTTGGGGTGCCTGCAGTGAGGTTTGTGGGTCAAACAGCTCTGAGACCAGACAGGCTGCAGCATTCGCCCTTGGCACCTGCTTGATGGTGGCAGAAGAGTCCATCCCCCGACATTTGCCCCCCCCCACACACACACCTGTTTTGGAATGCTGGGAAGTGCCTTGCCAGGGTGGTCCTTGGCTATGGGTCCCAGGTCATTTGCGCCAAAGGGGCTGGCTGGAGGGGTGAGGGGCTTCTGGGGGGCAGCCCTAGTGGATTTGCCAGCTGCTCAGTCTCCCCACTTCCCCTCCTCTCCTCCTGCCTTCCAGGCCATGGTGGCATGTTATCCTGGCAACGGCCTGGGCTACGTGCGGCATGTGGACAACCCCCATGGAGATGGGCGCTGCATCACCTGCATCTATTACCTAAACCGGAAGTGGGATAGCAAGGTAGGTAGTGGCGAGGGGGGACAGCTCGCGCACAGAGCTCTTCCTGTTCCCTGCACCGCCTCTCTTCCAAGCCCCAAATGCACAAGGGGGTGCGGGGATGGCTCCCGCATTCAACTGGCCTGCTCTACAGGGTTAGTTTGCGGTGCTTGGATAGTAGAGCTCCACTCTTCTCTTCGAGGAGGCAAACCGGGTTTGTGAGAAGTTGCCATCCAACTTCCTGAGACGGCCGGTTCCTCGCTCCGCTGCAGATGGGGTGTGAGGAGGGGGCAAGGCTGAAACTCCTGGGTTTTGGTGGGCTTCAAGTGTTTCTTCCTTGCCTTCTGAGGCAGCTCTGAGCAGTTATGTCATCAGCTTGAGTTTCCATGTGAACGTGGGGAAAGAAAGTAAAGTCAACCACAAGCAAAATTTCCAGTCTTGAAAAATGGGAAGTTTAAAGCCGCCTCAAAGCGGGGGTTTCAATGTCTTCTAGAAAGAGTGGGTGGGCTTCCCTCAAAGGGAGTTTGGCGGTAGGGGTCTGGGGTCTGGGACACAACTGGGCCCTTTTCGTGGTGGAGGATTGGGTATCCCCCAGGCTCACCGTGGGGACGAGGGGTTGCCCTTACGAAGCCCCCATCCTCCACGGCAGTCTGAAGGACCTTCCTTGGCCCCCTCTCCCCCAGGTGCACGGGGGCCTCCTGCAGATCTTCCCAGAGGGTCGCCCGGTGGTGGCCAACATCGACCCCATCTTTGACCGGCTGCTGATCTTCTGGTCGGACCAGCGCAACCCGCACCAAGTGAAGCCAGCCTACGCTACCAGGTGACGGGGCCGGCAGGAGGGAAAGGGTGGGGCAAGAGCCACCTGCAAATGAATCCCCCCCCCCAGACATGCAGAATGATGTGTTGGCAGTGGGGAAGGCCTTCCTGCTCTGAGCCAGATGGAGCCCCTGGCCCTGTCCATAGAGAGGAAGGCTTCGGACCAGCTGCCTCCCAGGAAAGGGGCAGGGAGTTCCAGTGGCAGCGTTAGCACCCCCAAAGAGGCTGGAGGACTGGGATGCCAAGCCAGATGACACTGGGTCCCTAGGCTGGAACAGAAGACCCCTCCCCTTCCCCTGTGAGGCTTTGGCGCTGCTGCTGAGGAAGGCTGTGGCAGGGGCTTTTCTGTGGGAGGGGCTGCCCTGCTTCTGAGATCAGGCATGTGGGGAAGTTGCTAGGAAGCACCGATGGGGGAAGTATTCTTATGCGCTAATTTATCACTGTGGGGTTTGTCCTAGAAAGACCCCCCCCATTAGAACAGTCAGGGCTCTCTCAACCCCTCCCCCAGCCCAGCTGCCGCCTGATCTGCTTTCTGCCACCTGCCCAGGTATGCCATCACAGTCTGGTATTTTGATGCCAAGGAGCGGGCCAGAGCCAAAGAGGCGCACCAGCGGGGTAAGTGTGTGTGTGGGGGGGGCTCCTTTCAGCAGAGGTGCAATGGGGATGCTCCCCTGAGTTTGGGTGCTGGAGCCATCTGCCCGCAGCCCCCGGGAGGTCTTTCCCTGGGAATGGCTGGCCCAGTTAGCTGTGGGCAGGACGGAGCCCCACAGAGCCAGCTTGGGAAGCGCCGAGACTGTTGTCCAGACAGGCTGGGCTGATGGTCAGCAGAGTCAGCCGGTGAGCAGTGAACAGAGGCTGCAGCCCCCTGTGAGGGTCCTTCAGCTTTTGGGGGTGCTTCACAATTGGGGCTCACAAAGGCTGCAGCAGAGCCAGGAAGGGAGCAGGAAAAGGCGGGCAAAGTGATGGAGGGCAGTTTGGGGGAAAGAGCAGGGGCACCTGGTGATGTGGAGCTCGGCTATGCTTGGGAGGAAGGCTTTCCTTAACCACAGCCTCCCCTGCAGCTTGTGCTCAGAAGGAAGGAGCCTCTTCTGGGATAGGGACGGATGGCCCCACGTGACGGATGGAAGACCTTGCCGTGGGAAGCTGACTGGCACGGCCCGCCCTTCCTTTGGCCATCCCAGCTGCCTGTGGATGCTGCCACTGCTGGGCTGGGATGCCCCTATGCAGGAATGGGGTCTCGGGGGAGAGAGGAGCCCTGGGGTGCAAGGAGGCACCCTACAAGCCTGGATGTGTGTTTTGCTCCTCCGGCGTGCAGCTGTGCTCTGGTCAGTCTGTAAACGCAGCTCCACTTTGCGTATGGGGCGTCCATGGCTGCCCCCTCCTGCTGCTGCCTGCATCGCCCATTTGCAGACGAGGAGAGAGAGAAAGAGAGGTGCGCAGTGCAATAAAGATACCTCATTTGGAAATGCTCTTGGCTGATCTCTGGGGGGGCGGGGGGAGGCCTGATATGCGACCCAGGTCTAAGGGCCCCAGCTGCGCTCCCTGACGGCTGTGCACCCACCATGATGCCCCACTGTCGACCCACTTCCCCCGACAGGCTATGAGAGCTAGGATCACATCAGCCTGGTCTGTTTCTGGCGGGCAGCGTCTCCCCATTTGCCTGCCTTGGCAGCCCCAGAGCAAGACCCCCCCCTTGTGGGGGTAGGTGGTGTTCCTCTGAACTCTCCTTTCCTTCCTTGGGGGGGGGGGCTCTGTTTGGCTTGTCAGAAACAGTTCTCTGCCCTCTTGTCCTGTGAAGCCTCCAGAGGGTCCGTGGGGAGGCCTGCAGGGGGGGGGGTGCAATTTGAGGAGCAGCCAGAAGTGAAGAGTGCAGCCAAGGAGGCTGCCAGCAGGTGGGGCCCTTGAGCTGACTTGGCAGGGACTGGGGCCCCTGTCTATCTGACACACACACACACACACACACACACACACACACACACACACACACACACACACAGTCAGCCAAGAAAGGGCCAGAGGATGGCCAGGCCAGGCCCCCAAAGGGTCCTCAGGGCCTCCTGCTTGGGTTGGGCTGGGGAATGCTGGGAGTTGAAGTCCACACATCTCAAAGTTGCCAGGGTTGAAAAACGCTGCCAATTAGACCCTCCCCAAGAGGCAGTAAGTGCACAAACAAGCCGAGTGGGGATTTTCTCTGGTGAAGCATCTCCTAGCGAAGACAGCAACAAAGGATACTGGCAGCCATGCCCTCCTCTCCGCCCGGCTCTCCAGGGCAGCTGAAGCAGGCAGGATAAACCTCAGCAAGGCTGGCTGCTTCATTTCTACCACCCTTGAGCTGCTCTGCCAAAGTGAAACCCGGCTCTCTGTCCCAGGGAGTGGGCAGCTGCTCAGGTGGCAGATCACACGGCAGCCCTGGCACCGGGGGAGGCTGCAGCAGAGGCTCCAGCTGGCTGAAGGCCAGGAAACGCCGAGCGATCACTGGGGCAGCTTCCTCCCAGTGCATCCACCTCCCCATCCCAAATCGTCCTTTGCTTAGAAGTCAATACCCCAGTTATTGTGGGAAGACTGGCCACAAGATGAGGACGCAGGCCTGGTCTCTTGCTCTTAAGGGGAGGGGGAGTCAAAGGGAGAAGGAAACCCCCAGGGACGGGGCCCCTCTCAGCCAGAAGTGGCCCCTGCTGCCTTTTGCAAATCCTCTTGGCTGTGAATGTCAGGAATCTAAAATGGCTGTTGAAGAGTTTTCTCCAAAATCTGCCATAGCTTTTGGACAGCCCCCCACCACCAATGGAGCATAGAGAGAGGACCCCCACCACCCAAGTCCTGTAGGAGGGAGTTGCTTTTCCCTCTCACAGGTGCCTGGGGGAACTGACAGCAGTGACGGGAACTGAGAGCCTCGGAGTGGCAGGGACCAGGCAGCCACGGGGCCTTTCACAAGAAGTGGGGAGAACAGTGGCAGTGGGTCAGCTTATCCCAGCCTGCCAGTGGCCTCGTGTGGACAGCAGCTCCCACCACCCTCATTGAGGATCAGGATGCTGGGCCCTGTGGTCCATCACACCTGGAGGGCAATAGCTTTAACAGCTGCCTGGGGAAATGCTTGGTCCCAGATCTGACCTGGGTTAGGCAGTTCCTCCGGTTCCCAACCAGAGCTCGACCTGTCCAAGGCGAGGCCAGGGGTGCTTCTGCCAGGCCGCTGCTTGTTTCGGTCAGCTGAACCCCCCAAACCCAGGGCTGGGCTGTGGGGCAAAGAAGTGGGTGGCTGCTTCAGCTTTTGGCGGCATTTCAAAGCCTGGGTCTGCATTGCGGATGCTGGTGGCAGGAAGGGTGGTCATCTGTCCCCTCTGGGACGGGTCTCTTCCTGCTCGGAGAAAAGACGCAAAGCCAAAGCCGAGGAGGCCGCTGGATCCTTGGAACCTCCCTGGCCTCTGAGCCCTCCCTCCGCTTCCCTGACGCAGGGCAAAGGAATGGGTGAGGCTTTCACAATCGCCCTGAGGTCGGGGGTGGAATCAGCAATGGCAGAGTTTCCAAGGTTGGTGGAAACTTAATATGTAAGCTTATCCTGCTGCTTTTGTGTCAGCCTGATAAGCCCCTGGCACCAGAGCCTCTCCCCTCTTGGGGCATGTTTGCTGAATCTTCACATCAGAAAACGGCTGTGGCGCAACTGCAGAGGTTTCTGCGCATGTGGGGAGAGCTCTCCATTCCCAGTGGAGAACAGCAAGAGGGGCTCTGCTCTCGGCTGGACGTCTCCCTCTGAGGTAGGCGCAAAGAGAGGCCAACCGACAGGTACTCAGATGGGGAGCTTTGCCAAAACCGCTCTGCAGGGGAGGCCCTTGAAGCTGTGAGGGTCTCCAAGCAGAGGGGGGGGCTTCTCATCTTTTTCACCTTCCTGACCCCCCCCCATATCCCCATTTCCTTCTGCACTGGCCCTGTGGGTTCCTGGCATCTCAGGCTTTTCTGCAGAAGCCTTGGGTGAAAATTCTGGGCTCCGCGGAGAGCTCAGCCTGCCTGGCGTATCTGACAGGGACATGGGTGGGAAGCTTTGCCAGCAGCCTTCAGACTATCTGGAGGAAGGGCCACCATCCCCACCGGCTACTCCCAGGCCAGGCCATGGAGAAATGTCCAGGAGAGTCCTTTCCTCTCTGCCTGGTGATTCTCCCAGGGTGCAGGTTGCAGGTCTTCTGGCAACGGCTTCTGATTTCCCAGGGAGAAAGCGTTATGCAAGCAGGTGGTGTGGCTATCAGAGATCGAAAGCCACCCCACCTCCAACGCCCAGCCTGCCTTCGGAGCCGCCTTGAGGGATCCGGTTCTGCCAGGGGGACACGCCTTTCTCTTGGTCTCTGTACCCAGGGCATAAAAGCAGGCACGGGAGATGGTTCCTGTGCCCGCTGGCTTGGTCAAAGCCTTCTCCCAACCAGGGCAACGGGGTTCCAACCATGGAAGCAAGTGCGGCCACAGTTCTCCTCCTGGCTCTCTGCCTTTCCTGCCTGCTGCTGCTCCTCCGAGGAGGACGAGGGGGTACCAAGGCACGGCTGCCCCCTGGACCTCGGCCCTTGCCCTTCATTGGCAACCTGCCACACCTGGATGCCAAGAACATGATCAAGTCCCTGATGGAGGTAAGCTCAGCCTCTGACGCAAATCCATGTGGGAGAAATGTTGGGGCAGCCTGGCGATGCTCTGTGGAGGACTCCTGTGGCCCTTGAGGGCGGCAGTGGTTGAGCCAAGGCCCCAGGGATGGGGCTTCCCCAGGAGGCACAGCCTAGCCCTCCTCCTCCTCCTCTGGTGCATCCCCAGCTCAGCAGGCAGTACGGCTCGCTCTTCACCATCCACATGGGGTCCCGGCCGGTGGTGGTGCTGTCTGGGTACCAGACGGTGAAGGAGGCCCTGGTGGACCAAGGCGAGGAGTTCAGCGGCCGGGGAGACATGCCAGTCCTGTTCCGATTTACTCAGGGGAACGGTGAGTCTAGCTGGCTGCAGAGCTTTCCTTGGGGTTCCCTTCAGCAGGAGAACGCTGGGCAGGGAGAGAAGCTCGCAGGCTCCAAGCAGTCTATCACAAGTCAGTCTCTTCCGTGTGAGCGATCCTTTCTCCAGGACCAAGGGGGGCCTCCGTCAGAGTCCAGGGAGGGGCAGTCTGCCCTTGCTTGCTTGCTATCCGGCTGTCCAGCTGATGGCCCTCTGGCTGTCCAGGAGAAGCTGCTCTGCTTCAACTGCTGGGGCCCCTCCCGCCCTTGTCTCCTCTGCCTCTCATCCAGGCATCGCCTTCTCCAATGGGGAGAAATGGAAGATCCTGAGGCGTTTTGCCATCCAGACCTTGCGGGACTTCGGGATGGGGAAGCGCAGCATCGAGGAGCGAATCCAGGAGGAGGCCCAGTGCCTGGTGAAGGAGTTTGCCAAGCAGACAGGTGCTCAGGGCTGCCGGGGGGGGGGGAGGGATGCTTAGATGGCAGAGCTGCACTTTTGCCCCCTCCAAGCAGGACTTCACCCCAGCAACTCCTTAGAACAGTTTGTGGCATGCTCTAAAAAGGCTGATCAGCAAGGAGGGATCTAGCAAAGCACTCTGGAAGGCTCCGCCTGGCCCCGGCAAGGAGGGAGGCCTGCGGGGGAAATGAAGAGGGTGAGAATGATCGTAGCAAATTTGAAGAGCAGGGGGAGAAACAGACTGTTCATTTTAACAGAACAACCGAGTTGAAAGGGACCTCGGAGGTCTTCTAGTCCAACCCATTGCTCAGGTAGGAAACAAATGGGTGTCCAGTCTCTTCTTAAAAGCCTCCAGTGATGGAGCCCCCACTACTTCTGGGGGCAAGTTGTTCCACTGATTTATCTCACTGTCAGAAAATTTCTCCTTAGTTCCAGGTTGCTTCTCTCCTTGATTAATTTCCATCCTTTGCTCCTTCTGCCTTCAGGTGCTTTGGAGGATAGGTTGACCCCCGTCTTCTTTGTGGCAGCCCCTCAAATACTGGAATACTGATATCATATTTCCACTAGTCCTTTTCATTATACTGGCCATTCCCAATTCTTGCAACCGTCCTTCATGCAGTATGTTTTAGCCTCCAGTCAACTGATCATCTTTGTTGCTCTGCCCTGCACGCTTTCCAGACTTTACAAAACTGGTGACAAAAACTGGATGCAATATTGCAAGTGTGGTATTACCAGTGTTAGCACTTCAGGTGATCTTGATTCTATCCCTCTGCAGCCTAGGACTGCACTGCTGACTCACATTTAAGTGCTTGTCCCCTAGCACTCCAAGCTCCCTCTCACAATTGCTGCCTTCGAGACGGGTTTTGCCTAATCTTTGGTTTTTCCTGACTTGCTTTTCTCCAGATTAAATGTCATGATGTTGGATAGGGCCCATTGTTCAAATCTGCCAAGAACGTTCTGTATCTTAAGCCTATCTTCTGGGGTGTTGGCTCTTCCTGCCAGTTTAATGTCGTAAGGAAATTTGATGTTCCCCTTCTTGTCCACTTGTCCTAAGATATTGATGAAGATATTGAAGAGTTCTGGACTTAAGACAGAGCCTCAGGGTACCCCACGGCCTACTTCCCTCCACGTAGCTGCAGTTCCATTAAGTTGAGCCCGATTGGTCAGTCAGTTACGAATCCATCCAGTGGTGATGTTGTCCATCCCACATTTTTCTATCTTCGTGGAGGGTGAGAGATTCAGGCTCTCCCTTTGGGCAATTCTTCCCTTCTCACTTTCGTAAAGAAGTACCAGCATGGGTGGAGGGGGGGGGGAGATCGCTGGCCAGCCTGCTGCTCAGCCACTCAGCCATTTTGCTTTCGATGCTGCAGAGCCCTTTGACCCCACGTTCCTGCTTGGCTGCTCGGTCTCCAATGTCATCTGCTCCATAGTCTTCGGAGATAGATTTGACTACGAGGATCAGCATTTCCTGACATTCATCGGGCTGATCAATGACAACTTCCGCCTCTTCAGCTCCCCTTGTGCCCAGGTGAGCAGCAGAAATCAGAGCCCTCACACCTCTTCTCAGCCTCGGGCATCACTTTCATGGCATCTTCCCAAAGGTGCTTTGGTTTGAAAGAGGAGTCAAAGAGCCCATCTACATTAAGATTGCCCTCTCTCAACAGAAGGGGAGGGATACAACACTACCCATTTCTTGTTTACAACACAGTCCTTTCAGCAGTTCCAAGAAGGTTCCACACCCATTTGCACTCTGATTCGGGGACCCTCAGGGCACAGATGGACCCCCAAGGGGCTCCAACAGAACTGATGAGAAGTGAAACATCTTCAAGAAAAAACAAGGTCCAGTTGCCTTTTGAAAAAGTACCTTTGGGACGATACCATGAAAGTGATGCAAAAGAAAAGGCAACCTTTGGCTCAGGTCTTGATCTGGACCTGGGCCTTGAAGGCCCATCTCAAAGCACATTCAAGATGAGAGGGAGACCCCCGCACTCCCATCTCTTATCCTCTCCAGGGTCAAGGGTTGAAGATGGGAGAGGCCCTCCTGTGTTTGCTGAGCTTCCTGAAGCCGCTGCCCTAACTGCCCAGGGGAAACTGGGAAGCTGCAGGAGAAGGGTGGGGTTGTGTGTGTGTGTATCTTTGTATCCTTTGTCCCAGCTTCCCAATAGGGATTGCCTTCCACTCCCCTTCCCCCTTTGGCTGCCTCTACATCCCATCCCTGCTTGCTTTTTCTAGATGTACAACATTTTCCCCCACATCATGTATTATCTGCCTGGACCACACAACCAGATTTTTGCCAACTTTGAGAAGCTGCGGGCACTGGTGAAGGAGATGGCCAAAGCCCACCAGGCCAGCCTAGACCCCAACTGCCCGCGCGATTTTATAGACTGCTTCCTCCTGAAGATGCAGCAGGTGAGAGTGGGCTTTGTAGTCCTTTATGGGGGCCGTGGGGGCTTCCACAGGTGGAGGAGGGCAAGGGTGATGTTGGTCAAACGCGGAGCGGTGGCTACAGTAAGAGTGCAATTTGAGGAAGGGGAGAGGCAGCGCTGTGTTCCTCTCTGCGAAATCTCCCCGGCTGGTGCTGCTGTCCAAAGGCTGAACCTCTGGCTGAGCCGCACAGAGCCCGGCTGCAAAGGAGCAGAAGCCGACTTCCCTCGGAGGGCAGCGGCTTCTGCTCCTTTCGGCCCATCCCTGAAGGGGAGGGGGAGGGCAAAGAGGAGGCCCTCCTTTTTCTCACATCAGCTTCCTGAGCCACACCTGCCCCCCCCCCCAAGCAGGGCAGGGAAGAGCAATGGCTGATGGGCTCACAGGCAGCCCAGGGGCAAACCTCCCATGCAGGGAATCGTCTTTTTTAGCTGCAGGATCTGAAAATTCAGGATGTGGAGGGAAAATCGCTTCCTCTCTCATGGCAAGGCAATCATGGGGTTGCACATTCGGTGAAAGTGGAGCCCCTCCCTGCACAAGGATTGCCTGGCCCGGCAAGGGGAGGTGGCGCCCTTGATGGCCACACACGCTCACTCCTGGGCATCCCTGCATCCACAGGAGAAGGAAGACCCCCACAGCTTCTTCCACACCGACACTTTGATCATGACCACCCACAACCTCTTCTTTGCGGGCACCGAGACCATCAGCACCACCCTACGCTACGCTCTCCTCATCCTCATGAAGCTCCCCGAAGTAGCAGGTGAGGCCGAGGGGGGGGCTCCCCCTAGGTGCCCAGAGAGGCCGGCATCTGAGCACCCGAGGCGGGTGAAGGTTGGCCCTGGCCCATCGCCCCTCTCCAAGGCCGGCTTTGCCCAGCAGGCACCGCTTGGGAAAATGGGCCAGAGAGGAGGGAGGCAGGTGGGGAGCCCGGGAGACGGAGCACTGTGGAGCAGGAGGGGCGGATCAGGGCCTGTTCAGTCCTCAGAGCAGCCGGTGGGGGGCTCCCGCCCCTCCTCGCCCCTCTGTCTGCAGCCAAGGTGCAGGAGGAGATCGCGAAGGTCATTGGCTCAGAGCGCCAGCCCTCCATTGCGGACCGGGCAAGGATGCCCTACACGGATGCCGTGATCCATGAGGTCCAGAGGTTCGCCGACATCATCCCCATGGGCATCCCCCATGCCCTGACCAAGGACACCCATTTCCGGGGCTTCTTCTTTCCAGAGGTGCGTGAGAGCAGCAGGGCCCCAGAGAGTGTGCCGTGGGTTTGGGCTGGAAGAGGGTTGCCCTTCAGCGCCTGCTCAGCCTGGCTGTGCTTCTCCCTCGGCAGTCAAGGCAGCTGCTCTCCCTTAGAGGAGGGCCTGCGTGGATTGCGTTGTCCTCTCTGCAGGGCAGAGGAGGGTGGTGAGTTGGGTGGTATCAGCACAATTGTCTGGTTTCACACCCGTCTCTTTTACACTAATGGTGCCAACAGAGGTGGCTGATTGGTGGATGGATGCAAATGTTATTTGTGCCCGCATGCTGTTGTTGCATTTCTTTGTTGGATTGCTTTAAATGATTTTTATTTTCTAATCATATTGTGTGTGTTTTTTTTAAAAAAATCTTGTTTGCCACCCAGAGTTCCTTTTGGTAAATGGGTGATGATATTAATTTTTTAAGTCAACAAAAAATATCAGCAGAGCCAGTTTGTTGTAGCAATTTAGACACTGGCTAGAAACTGGGAGAGCTGAGTTCTAATCCTGCCTTGGACATGAAGCCAGCTGGGCGACCTTGAGCAATTCACTATCTCCAAGCCCTAGGAAGGAGGCAAGTTGAAAATCATGCTAAGAAAATTGAAGGGGCTTTTCCGAAAATGGTTGAACGAAGGACCAAATAATATTAGGTTAATTTTTATTTAATACTCATTTAAACAAATATCTGTAGCTTTAATTGTATGTCAAGCACTCCTGCCAGGGAACTGCCCTTTTCCTGAGTTGTGTCTCAGCATAGAAAGATCTCCACTGCTGCGCAGTTTCTCAGTTTAGCCATTTTCAAAACAGGTGTGCAAAATTTTATGTTCATTTTCACACATATTTCCTCTAAGTTAATGTAAGTATGACTTTCCTATTTACACATTTTTTCAGTGATTCTTTCCCCTGTCTTGTGCCTAATACATTTTGGACAGTCTTTGCTGCATATATGTGCATTTTCCCAGGATGTGCATTCTACACGCAGCTGCAAGCTTTGCTGTGACATTGGCTGGGTGTCCTTTCAACAGGCCCCTGTGTTTTTCTTCTACAACCTGCTGTCCATCTTGACTGCAAAACCACGAAAACACGAACCAAGTGGGAACCTTCCATCTGTCCCCGTGTTTCTCGGTTGCGGAGGACGAGCAAAGGGGAGGACGGGAGGTCCGGTCTTTCAGACGGGGGGGGGGGATTAAATAGGAGGATGCAGGAGTAGGAAGGCCAGCTAAGGCGGCCTCCAGGCGGAGACCTTCCGGCCTCCGCTCGTTTGCTTCCCTTCCTCCCTTCCCAACAGGGCACCAACGTTCTGCCGTTCTTCCACTCCGTGCACCGAGATGCCACCCAGTTCAAGAACCCAGAGATGTTTGACCCCGGGCACTTCCTGGGCGAGGAGGGCGCCTTCCGCCGCTCTAACGCCTTCATGCCCTTCTCCGCCGGTGAGTGGAGGGGAGGGGAGGGGGCCGGTCAAGGCCAGCCAGGGCCTCCCTGACTGTGCCTGGGGCGCCACTGCGGGGGGAGGGGGGGGCAGGGCAGGCTGGCTTTCCCAGCGAAGGGCGAGTGGGGCGGCTGACTTGGCATCGGCCCCTTCTCTGGGGAGAGCAGCGGCCGCCCTTTGCAGCCGGGAGGGGAGCTCAGCAGCTTCTCCCCCCCCCCCCCTTCGGCCCTGCAGGGAAGCGGCTGTGCCTGGGCGAAGCCTTGGCGCGCATGGAGCTTTTCCTCTACCTGACCGCCCTCCTGCAGCGCTTCTCCTTCCAGCCCAGCTGCCCCCGCGATCAGCTCGACCTCTCGCCCATGATGAGCGGCATCGGGAACGTGCCGCGCCCCTACTCCTGCCGCCCGCTGCCCCGCTGATGCCGCCGCCGCCGCCGGGGGGGAGCGAGGGGGCAGCCCGTGCCGGCCTGGACCAGCCCGCCCTCCCGAGCGGAGCGGGAGCATCTGGGCGGCGGGAGAACCGTTCGGCTCGCGGGCTCCTCGCGCGCCGCGTCCCGCTTCCCCTCTTTCGGCGGGGAGGCTCCATCGCGCGGACTTCGTTCCCCCCCCCCCCGGGCGTCGGACACCGGCAGGCTAAAGCCGGGCAGATCGGTGGGGCCGCTCAATTTTCTGACCACGATTCGTAATGCTGCGACTGGACGGAGACCGGCAGGGGCGCGGAGCCCCGCGGTGCCGGCCAGCCCTCTTCCCTTCGCGAGACTCCTTTCGGGGAGGGCAGCGCCGCCCCGACTTCTCTGGGGAGCCCCGAGTTGCTCCCGCAGGTGCCGCCCGCCGCCTCGGGGGATCTGCCCGGGGTGCTCGGGCGAAACTGTCGGTCCCCCTGCCCTTAGCCGGATTCGAGGCTTTGGCTTTCGGGCCTGCGGAGCCGGGGGCCTGCGAGCACAAAAGCCCCGTTTAGCGCGTGGAGCTGTCCCCTGAGGGAGCCTCGGCCGGCCTTGTTTTCCTCCTGGAACGGTTCCAGGAGGCACCGAAGGCAAAAGGAAGAAAAGGACGCCCGGCGCAAATGCCCCCCCCCCCGTAAGTCGTGCAATAAAAGGCTGGGAACGTTTTGCTGAATTGTATTAATCCACACCCTTCCCCCCCACATTCCTCCATCTAATACGGCACTTGAGAACCCTTCATGGGATGGAATTTTTCAGGCCCTGTGGGTGGGGCTGAAATGTGATAATTTCGCAGATGGACAAAAAGAAATAAGTAACATTATTATGCAAAAGTTGAATTGCACAGTACCCAGTGTTTTCAAAGTTTACTTCCAAATCACCGAAGGGACATTGCCAGATTTTTATGTTAAAACACTGACAGGTGTTTCACAGTCCAGGGGCCTGGAATAATCCTGCTTTTGTAGAGGTTCTTCTGCTCTACTAATCAATTTCAGCAAGCTTTTATATTTCAGAATTGTTTATAATCTGTTTTGAGGGTCTTCGGGATTGGAATGTGGGATACAAATATTCTGAATAAAATGCCAAGCAAGCAAGCAAGAGTAGACCCCCTTCTGCATTCGGGACCAGGGATGGGAATCTGCGTGGGATTTGCACACAAACTATTCAATCACCGGTGTGACCAAAGCCTCCCTTTCTCCAGGCTCTCATGACTTCCAGCCAGCAAGATTTGGGGTCCGGGAAGGCAGGAATGGCACACCCCGGAGTAGCAGCATGATAGAAACCCATCCAACCGGAGGAGGGGGGGCAGAGGGGATCCCTTTGAAAACCATCAGCTTTCCTTTGGTGGCTGTGAGGAGCAGCAACCCGCTCAGATGCTGTGCAGATTAGCCTATGGGGCACCTGGATGTGCTTCTCCCCCCCCCAGTCCTCTTTCTGAAAGCCACGCCCTCAAAGTGGATTCTCCCTCTGCCAGTTGGGCAACCAGCCTGCTCACTCAGCATCACCACCCCTGGCACTCCCTCTGCAAGTTTCCCTCCCCTGGAAAATGTGGCATGAAGTGAGGGGGCTTTGGGTAAAGAAACCAGAGCCAGCGCTTCCTAATGCAGACCTCCTCAGCCTTGCCAAGACCCTTCGAAGCACCCAGGGCAGAGGGGTCGCGCCCCTGAGGCTCATGTGCCGAGGCCCTCCTCTCCGGCACTAGACAAGGTCTGGTGGGTGCCAGGCGCAGCCCAGAGCCCGAGAGAATGCCTGGGCATCCCCTGGCACCAAGGCAAGCGTCTCCAGAGGAAGCCCCACCGGGAAGGGGCAGGCAGGCAGGCGGGGACTGGGAAGGCTGGGAACACTGGGGCCAGAGGAAAACGAGACAGCGTCACAAGGGAGGGGTTGGGGGGGTCCACCTGAATGGGGGCATGGGCATCTGGACTGCAAGGTGAGCAACCCAGAGCAGCCCTTCATCGGGGGAGGAGGCAGAACCGGTAAGGCCGAGGGATGCTGCCCAGGCCGGTGGACTCGGGGGTGATGTCGATGTCCATGGGGTCCACCAGGGCTTTCAGCCGGAAATTCTGCAAGATGGTGGTGAGGAAGAGGAAGAGCTCCATGTTGGCCAGGCCTTCGCCCAGGCATACCCGCTTGCCTGTGTGGAGAGAAGACTTCCTTGGCGCCTCTACTAGTGGGGGGGGGAAGGGGGAGACCCAGCCTGGCACCCCCCAAAAACTTCTGCTCTTTCCAAAGCTCCTCCCTGCTGATCCTGCCCTACTGGCTGAGCATGATGAGCTTTGCAGTCCAGCACCTCTTTAATTGCCTCAAGCCACTCCTGGGAAGATGCCAGGCGACCCTCCTGTGCCAGCCTGACCACCTCTCTGCCTCCCTTTTGTGCCAGAGGAATGGAGAGGTGCCCAGGGGTGGGTGAGGCCTCTTGGCACCAAGGGAGGCCGAGGGGTCGCTGGAGCGAGGAGCAGGGATTCTCCAGGGCGACCCCTTCCCCTTACCTGCTGAGAAAGCCATGAAGGCCTCCCTCTTCCTGAACTGCCCGGCCTCGTCCAGGAAGTGGGTGGGGTCGAAGGCCTTGGGGTTCTTGAATTGCGTGGGGTCAAACTGGGACGTGCAGAGTAAGGGGATGATGTTGAGGCCCTGGGAGGGAGGGGCAAGGGTTAGGGCTGGACAGCCTCAGTGGAGAGACGGCAGGCTGTGGGCGATGCCACCCTCCCCTAAGCCCAGTGCTCCCCTACTGAGTGGAGAAGGCAGTCCTCCTAGGTGTGGGCAGAGTGCTTTCTGCTCAGGGCACCCTCCTGCTTGCCTCCCCATTTGGACTTGGAGAGAAGACAGACACGGTTCTCACTTTAGGAACCGGCCCAGGCCGATTGTGGCAGAGGCTGCTGCTGCTGGGCCCCATCCCATCTCCCTGCCTCACACGCCCCACTTCCCTAACCTTGGGGAGATGATATCCCCGGAACTGGGTGTCCTTTGTGACTGTGTGGGGCACCCCCATCGGGACGATGTCGGCGTAGCGCTGGATCTCATGAATGACCGCGTCCGTGTAGGGCATCTGGCTCCGGTCGTCCATGCAGGGGCCACGGTTGCCCCCGATGACCCGGTCGATCTCTTCATGCAGCTTCTCTGCCAGAAAAGCACCAGAGTCACCCTGAAAGCCACGGGGGAGGGAGGGACCACCCGAGGTCCCCACGGGCAGCAGGGGGAGGAGGAATTCCAAGGGTGCTGCCTGTCCTGCTGCTTCAGATGGTGGACTCTGCATCCCCAACGGTCCTTTCCCTCTGAGACTCCCACGTGCTCAGACACTGCAGGCCCCCCCCATTCCCCTGTACCTTCCCCCGGTTTACCTTCCACCTCGGGGTGCCTCAGGAGGATGCGCAGCCCGTAGCGCAGGGTGGAGCTGACCGTTTCGGTACCGGCAAAGAAGAGATTGACGGTGCTCTTCGACATCGTGTCCTCGTTGAAGTGAGAATTGGGATTGTTCTTTTCCTGCAAGGTGGAAGAGCCGGTTTGGTTCTTCAAACATGGCTGCAAAGAGGCTCCTCGACCGTTGAGAAACTGAGGCCGAGAGATCTTGCTTGGAGGCTTTAGACATCGGAGCCTCCCCCACCCACTGGTCCTTTTCGAACGGGGCCCGGGAAGTGAAGGCTTAGCCTGGCTCTGCCGCAACAGAGCTGCTGTCCCTGAGGCCCAAGCAGAGCCAGCGCGGCTGCACGGCCCTGGGTGTGACACCCCAGAGGGGGATGCAGCAACCGTCGTGGCCTCCAAGGAATCCTGGGAATGGGAGTCTGGGAGAAAGCCCCTTCCCCTGTCAGCAGGGCCGGGCAGGGGCCACAGTGCTGGGCCGGAGGCAGATACCTGCTGGATTTTGATGAGGAAACAGTCAATAAAATCCCGCGGGGAGTTGGGGTCCAGGGTCTGCCTGTTCATCTCCAACCGCTCACCCACAAACTTTGCCAGCTTCAGGTAATTAGCGTAGATTCTCTGGTGGGGTCCTGGGACCCACCTCATGATGTTTGGGAAGACGAAAAGCAGCTGAAGGAGAAGGGCGAAACTCTGCTCTGAAGGGGTTCCTGGCCGGCCGGAGCCCACCTGCTCTCTGCCCAGCCCAGCCCCTCCATCCAGATGCCCCTGAGCCATGGAGGGAGCCCTCAGGGACCGAGGGGGGCACTCAGGGACTTGTTCTGCAGGTCACAACCCCAACCCCCTGCGTTATGAGGTGGGGAGGAGGGACCCCAGAGACTGGCCCGGGAGGTCTTCTCTGGTCCCCTCCAGTTCTGGGATGGGCCATCAGCCACCAACTGCAACCTTTTCCTCGGTTGACGGGGTGGGGGTGGGGTGGGGTTAGGGGTCAGTAAAACCCCCACACCAGAGGAACAAGAGCCAAAGCGCCAGGCCCTCTCACAGGGCAGCTGCTCTGGGGGTGGCAGCAAGTGGTCAGCTGAAGATCCCATGCTCAGGTTTTAATCTTTCATCAGCCTGGTCCTTCTTGTCCCTTGGACCCGTGGCCCTTGGCCTCCTATGGACGTTCCCCAGAAGAGTGCTCTCTGGCTCATTGTCCTCTCTCTCTCTCTCTCTCACTCTCTCTCTCTCTCTCTCTCTCTCTCTGGCCTTCAGCTCCGCTGCTCCCTGGCACCAGACAAGGCTCAGGTGGCAACTTCAATATTGCACATCCCTTCGAAGGGGGAGGGGGTTTGAGAGTGGACAGCTTGGGTGATCTCTTTCACAACTTCCTCCATTCTCTCTCTCTTTCCCTCCCTCTGGATGGTGGCCCCCTCCAATAAGGATTTTCACCGGGGAGGAGGGCTCCCTGAAGAGGGGCATTGATGTGGGTCTGGACTTGTTCTTGCTCTTTGCCCTCCTCGGATTGCCCCAGCTGCACTTGGCCACCCCTGGCACATGTGGAAGGACAGTGATGGGAGGAGAGCCTGGAAACTTCCACTGGACTGGCACGGAGTGGCTAAATTATTAACCACTACCAGCTGCCTCGTCTGTACAAAATGAAATCTGCTGTCCTTCCCAAAGTGATCTGGCCAAGCAGCCTTTGCCCGGTCCCTTCAGCCCCCCAGCAGATGCAGGTGAGAAGCAGCCCCGAAGGACCTGAGTTCACAAGACATGAAATAAACCGGGGCAAAAGTGGAAAAACACAGCAGGTGGCCCAAATGCTTCATGGAGCTTCATGGGTTTCGGGCCCCGTGAAGACTCTACTTGGGCTTGGGCGCATCTGGGCTTTCCTTCTGGGGCGCCTGGGAAAGCCAGTCCCTTCCTCCCGATCAGACCCACCTGTCCCCAGGTGGAGCTCATGAGCTTCCAGTTGCTGTTGATCAGGTGGAGCAAGGTGAGGAAGGTCTGGTCTGTGTATTCAAACCGTTCTCCAAAGACGAGGGAGCAGATGATGTTGGAGCCAGAGCAGCTCAGGAGGAAGGTGGGGTCAAAGGGTTGGCCTGAGAGCAAGGGAGGCAGCGGTGAGGGGGGGGGGAATTGGATAACATTCCTGGGGGGGGGGGATTGGATAACATTCCTCCACTCCCTGCCCACACGGGGATTGCTTCACGCATATAGCATTTCTTTGGCACAATTCAAAAAAGTTGAGTTAAATCATGTAATTGAATAATTAAATGAAATAACTTGGCATAATGAAATCTCTGCCTAGCAGTCTTGCCAAGCTGCCAGGTTTGGGGCCTGACGCCTCCAGAATTCCCAGAGGGCATCAGATGAAGGAAGGGCCCGGCACACCTGGAGGAGCACAGCCTGAGGATGAGGCTGCACCTCTGCTGCAAAGCACCTCCGGCCTCTTCAGGAAAGGAATTCTTGGAAAACCAGGCACTTTTTATTCAGAAAAGTCCTGGAGATCTTCCAGAGAGAAGGAATTGGAAGGGAGCCCCCCACTCCAGTTGAACAAGCACATTTTCACCCAGAGAGGATCGTAGCCTCTTTTAAAGTTGGGATCCAGTGGGTGGGATTCTTCTGGCCCCAAAGGAAGGGAAGACCCCCTGGCCCCCTGAATGGATGTGCCGTGTTCGGCTGCTGCTATAAAACACCAGGGAATCAACCAAGGCAGCCTGTCCTGCCTTCTACTTATAAGGAAGGGAAGGAAAGGGTGGGGCAAAGCCCCCCCCAGCTACCTTGGGTTTTGCGGAACTCGGCCACCAGGAACTGGGCCTCCTCCTTGATCCGCTGCTCCATGGACCGCTTCCCCATCCCAAAATTCTTCAGGGTCGAGATGGCAAACCTGCGCAGCTGCCTCCAGCGCTCCCCCGTCCCGTACACGATCCCTGGGGATGAAAGGGGGGGGGGGATACAGGAGAACATACCTGAGACCAGGTCAGAGTCCAGCTTCCCCCCCCCCCAAATATTTGTCCTTTCCAGAAAGGCCACCAGCTCCCCACCGCGGAAGTTCTTTCCAGCCCAGAGCCTGGCAGCCCAGGAGAATCAGAAACAAGATTTTTGAGAAAGCCCTTATTGTGAGACTTCCTTGGGCTTATTTGGGGCTACGATTCACTCCCCCCCACTAGCTCTTTTAAAAGTCAAAATTCAGCTCCGGAAAAACCCCAAAATACATTTAATTGAATGAGGAGAGTCTGTCATTGCACTGCTCTCCAGCCACTCCAAATCCCAGGGACTGGGCAACTGCTTCCTCCCCCTCGCTGAGTCTCACCGTTTCCTTTGCTCCACATCTGGACTGCCGGGAAGTCCCCACGGCCACTGAACTCCTCGGCTTTGTCAATCAGCGCCTCCTTTAGCACTTGGTACCCCGAAAGGACCACGCAGGGGCGAGAGCCCAGATAGAAGGTGTACATGGGGCCGTAGGTCTTGCTGAGCTGGGAGAAGAATAAGAAGAATAAGAATAATAAGAAGAAGGAAGAATAAGAATAAAAGAAGAAGAAGAAGAAGAAGAAGAAGAGGAGGAAGAGGAGGAGGAGGAGGAGGAGGAGGAGGAGGAGGAGGAGGAGGAGAAGAAGAAGAAGAAGAGGAAGAAGAAGAAGAAGAAGAAGAAGAAGAAGAAGAAGAAGAAGAAGAAGAAGAAGAAGAAGAAGAAGAAGAAGAAGGCCGGTCAGGGCAGGGCTCCTTCTCGGGGGTGGGGTGGGGATGGGGAGGGGGTCCCTTAGCAGGGGACGAGACCCATCAACTCAGCAGGGATTTTGGCTTTCAGAGCTCCTCTTCCTCCACTGGAAGAGGCGAGGGTTCCCAGTCAGGGCAGGGGGCAGGCAGGAGTGCTTTATTGTACCTCTGTTGTCACAGTTTATTGTGTAGGGATTTTGATTGCCTGGAAGTGTCAGGCAAGGCAACCAGACCCATAAGTGAAGGGTGGAAGCCCTCTCCTCCTTTACGGCATTCTGACTATAGTACAAGAGTCCCCCAGACTGCACAGCTTCTCTGGGGAACAGAATTATTGTCCCAATTTAGATGGTGTGTGTGTGTGTGTGTGTGTGTGTGTGTGTGTGTGTGTCAGCCCTAAGCTCAAGGCTACCTCCCTGCTTGGCCTTTTCTCCTTGCCTGGATGGTAGTTTCCCAACAGGAAGGACCCTTAGCTTAGAGTTGGGTTCCTCTGTAATCTAACTTAATTTAATCTACTTTAACTTGCTCACACAAACACACCTTTCTGGGGGAAGCCGTGCCTTTTCTTTGATCTACAGTTAAAGCTCTGCAAATGTCTGGAAAAAAGAGGCCAAACCTAGAAGGTGGCAGAGGGCTCTGCTAAGAGGAGACCCCTCCCAACTCCTTGGTCGCAGGGCACTGCCTGCTTCCCCCTGGGCCAGCCGTGGGCTCTCTGGCCCGGTGGGGGCTGTGCAGGACCACCTCCTTCCGGGCAGACACGTCCCGCGGAGAGAAGCTTGAGCTGCCCCAGGACTCAGGTCCTCATGCTTGCTCCCCTGCAACCGAGGGGGGCTTTACTGCTTCAGGCCAAGGCAGGGAGGGGGTTGGCCTGGGAAGGGAAGGCTGGTTGACTTGATGGCTGCATGGGGGAGACGGCCACTTCCCTGCCTTCAGGGAGATGCTGTTGGCTCTGTGAGGACCCACACTGGGCTCAGTTGACGGAAAGGAGGGCCGGTCTAGTTTCCACCCACTTGGGCATGTCTTGACTTCCTGTTTGGTTTTCTCTTCTATTTTATTTGCACAGCACCCAGGGTCTCTCTGTGCAGGAGAGGGGCAGTCTCTAAATAGGACTGACTGATAGTTCGCCAGATAGATTGATCAATAGATATAGATAGATATAGATAGATAGTGATAGATGATAGACACATAGACAAACCATAAACAATTTCCCCTCATATGCTCCATATTTCTCCCTCCCTCCCCGACTCACTTCTCTGAGGGAGGGGATCAGATCCTTCACGTCCACCTGGAGCATGTTGCCGATGAAGGGGAGAGTGGGGGGGCCTGGTGGGAGGCCAGTGATCCTCTTCTTGGCTGTGAAGCGGAGAAAGAGGAGGCATGACGCAGCCATGGCCAGCAGAATGCTGAAGGGTCCCGCAAAATCCATCCGAGTGATGGCCGAGATCTCCATGGCTGCTGCAAGCTCGGCTGGTGCTGACAAGGTGGTTGGCGGCCCTCTCCTGCCAGCAGGATATATACGGTCAGGACACCGAAGCCCTCGCTTGTGCCAGTCCCTGGGCCACCGGAAGTTGGTTCACAGCCTGAGGCTCGACCCGGGTCAGCTGGGTGGGGCTGGGCTGAAAGAGCCAATTCTGCTGGGGATCTAGGAACGTAAGGGGTGCGATTCCTTTTAAAGTCCCCCTTTAAAAAAGTTTTTGGTTTTCCTGGAATGTCTTGGCACCTTCCCTTTCCTCGCTTGTGCTCTCTTGCAGCATCCAAGACGACTCCATGCACGTGATCTGCCCTCTCTGTTGCCTCGGAGCTTGAGGATGCACTCCCTTGACAGAGAGACAAGCCTGAAGATAAGCCACCATCGTGACTCAGATTTCTCAAGCCATATTTATACATTGCTTTGCAGTTCCAGAGAAATCTGGCAGGGCTGCTCCATTTGCCAAACATTAACCCAGCCACGTCCAAGACAGCCACAGCACGGCTGCGCCACGCTCTTCTTGTTGCGCCAGGCACTGGGGGCAAAGAGCTTTTCCCTCTGTTCTGCCCTTCCTGCTCCCTTGCTGCCTTTCCCTGGCAGACTTTTCTCTCCGCCAAAGACCTTCCCGCGCTGGGGAAAGGTTCTTTCTCCTGGATCATGGCCAGTCGGCCCCTCCATAGCTCTGCTGTGAAAGTGGGCCATAAAGACAGGATAGCAGGGCTTCGGCTGAGTCCCCAACTCGCCACTGCATTCCACTGGTGGCCCTGGGAACTCAGCCCAGCCCCAGCCGGCTTCCCTACGTGCCTCTGAACTGGTAGAACCAGAGGCCCAGAAGAACAGGCTGGCCGAGAAAAGCTTGGTACTCTTCATCAGGGATAAGCAGGTGGCAAGAACCCAGATGGCAACAGGAAATGTGTGTGTGTGTGTGTGTGTGTGTGTGTGTGTGTGTGTGGAGTGAGGAAGAGGAGGCTGCATCAGCCTTCACTGGAATCGCTCCTCTTTTCCTGCCCTGGTCAATTCCTTGATGCTCTCTCAGCTTGGTGGTTTTCTTGCAGACAGTTTCATTACCCAAACTAGGCAGCCTCCTCAGCGCTCAGCCTGTCATCCCTGAGCTACACATATTCCCCTGTATTGCTGCTCAGTTCCAGGCAGACGTCTCCTGCACTGCAAGGACCCAGAGAAGCCTGGCTCTGCCCTCATCTGGGCTCTGCCTGGCACGGCCGCAGTCCTGTGTTCCAGTGAAATGGAACTTCTGGCCTTTTTCCAAGTGGGGGACAAGTTGGTGGTTTGTGGATTATGGGTTGTGGAAATCTAGCAGTCGACTTAGCCATTTGTGTGAATGGGCCAGCACCTTAAGTGTCAATGCAGTTTATTTCTTGGGACTTAGCAAGCATGATTGTGGAAGCTTTGTTTTGCTAATCATAGTTTAGGTTTTAACCTGTTATATGAATTCAGCCTTGGGCTGTAGTTCCCTTAAAAAAAAATAAAATCTCTTTATTCATCTTAAAGAGGTTTTTTTTTGCTCTTAACAGAATTTGCCAAGATTAAATTTTAAAAAGCAGGTTTGTTTTATTAAGTGACCACAACCCTTCTCCTTGCAATTGGGCTAGATGAGGTGACGCCCTCAGTTGGCTCGCCAAAATCCAGATGGGCGAAGCATATTTTGTTAAAGGATAACCAATGTGAAAAGCCGCTTCTGTCTGTGAATTTCTCCCAAGCTTCCGGCTTCTTTGGACTAGTCCACCATAAAAGTCCCCGCAGAACAGAGATTTTATGGTTGAGTCTGCAGCCACCAAATGTAGCTCAAAGTCGTAGCCGGACAGATGTAAGTATCACCTTTTGTTTTCCTCTTCTCTGTTTTTCCTGGCCAATGGCTGCAGTTATGGCTGGTGTGTTTTCCTTCAGATTCCCAGGGTCTCTAACATGGAGCTGGTCCCTCTTTCACCGTTGCTGCTGCTGCTGCTGCTGCTGCTGCTGTTGCTCTGGGTCTCCTTCACATTGAATGGGGGGAAGAATGGAGTGAAAGGTCTCCTGCCCCCTGGGCCCACCCCGCTCCCCATCCTGGGGAATTTTCTCCAGCTGGACCGAAAGAACCTGGTCCAGTCCCTGATGAAGGTGAGTTGGGCTTCCTTCCTTCCTTGAGAGCCAGCAGGCTTCTTCTTGGGGTGCAAACCCACAGCGAGCTTGATGGGCAATGTTGGATCGGGTGTCATGTGCCCCTCAGGCATTTTTGCAGGGGGCAGAAATAGATGGCAAACCCAGGCCATCCCAGAGACTCAGAGGGCAGCTGGCAGATGTGGCCAGAAATATTGATATCCTGATACCCACCATTCTTTACTCCATAGTCCACAAAGCAGGCACTGTGAGTCAATGGCTTAACATATTGTCATAAAGCACGAAAGAAATGAAAATGCCACGGACATAATTGTTGGTACCTGTGCCTAATCTTTCTACAGCAAACCCTTTTGGGGCAGTAGCTGCAGTCCGGCACTCTCTTTAGCTCTGAAGAAGACTCTCAACAGGCATCCATCCCACCGCTCCAGGTGCCTCTGGCTGGGTGGGCTCCTTCTCCCACCTGTGAATTTCAGCTCTTTCCATAGATGTTCTATTGCAGGGGCCTCCATGCTGGCTGGGGAATTCTGGGAATTGAAATTCACAAGTCTTAAAGTTGCCAAGGTTGGACACCTCTGTTCTACTGAATTCAGATCACAGCAGGTCACTCCAGAACCTGTTACTTGGGTTTTCTTAGATGTATGTTTTGAGGTCATTATCCTGCTGGAAGGAGTACGGGCTTAGGTTGGTAAGCTTGCGTTTGAGAACTGAGTGCTGCTGCATGGCCGGGTGAGCTCCTGTCACTTGCTCCAGCTCCCTTGATGGGGACATGAAAGGAGCCTCCCCCCCCAAGCATCCCCCAGGCAATGGGGACGTCACTAGCTAATCCTTTCAACCCGGAAGCGCCTTCAATGGTGCCTCCAACACAAACGGGACATGATCTGCAACAGAACTTTCTCACACAGAATTATGTTTCACTCCAGAAAGTCTGGATCCTCTTCTGATTTCACTGTGTTCTGTACAGTGCCCCCGGCAGCAAGACCAGGCCACCATATTATGGAGCCTCCTCTGGGTTTCAGGGTAGGGATGGTGTTCTGTTCTTGAAGAAACATCATTGGTCAACATGCATATTAGCAAACTCCAGTCTGGCTTTTGGGGATCTATCAGAAGTGAGGTCTTCCTGGGTCTTCTACTATAGAGGCCATTTTCAGGTAGACAGCAGCAGATGGTAGCACTTGATGTTTATTTTGTTTATTTATTTATTTTTCACAGTTTTGACCCACCCATTTCTCTTGGAGATACGGTCATCCCTTGATCTTGGAAGTCAGCTGGTTCTGTTTTGAAGTTTTCCTTGATTCTTTCTCCACCAATCGAGTGATCCTTCAGACCCAGGATCATTTTTTCCTTTCGTAGCCACCTCCAGGGAGGCTGGCTACTGTCCCATGGACCTTAAATTTCCTGACCTCAGTCAGAGGAACATGCAAGTCTTTAGAGCTGGTTTTGTAGCCTTGACCTTCGTCATACTTGGCTCTTTCTTTCTTCCTTTTCCACTCAGACAGCTCTCTGCTTTCCTTTCTCCACGTTCTGGTGCTGCCCATAATGCCCAGGACACGTGAGTGAGCTTTTCCTGTAGGTTGAGCAGCCGATGATGAGACCGAACAGCCCTGGAAGTGCCCAGGAAAGGAGACGATCTGCTTGAGAGATTACTAAACCCCAGTAACTTCTTTCAACTTTTAAGGGCCACCAATAATTATCTGTGTTCCATTTTCTTCTGTTTTATCTCACAGCAAATAGGGGGAAAGTGAGGAGGCACCAATACTTCTGTCCCCATCGCAAGAGACTTGAAGGGCGGGTGGAGATAAGGGGATAAGTAGTAGGGGAAGAAATCCTGACGTCTCATCTCAGAGTAAGAAAGAATTACAAGAATATCCTGAGCACCGAGGAATCTCCCTGATTTTTATTCTGAATTCCCAACAGTTTGAGAAAAAAGAGACTGAATGATGGGTTTTCAAGTAGGAAAACCTAGTCTTGCTAGGTTTTCCTACTTGATCCCTTCAGAGAAGAGATGGAAATGGCTCCCAGGGAGCAGGAAGGAGGTTCCACCTGCCCACCCCCCAAAGACAACTCAGCATCCACATGTGGGGCCTGGCATGCAAGCAACTGGGCTCTGCTGGGCTGCCTTTTCTGCTGGGGGTGAAAGGGTGGCAGCTCACCAAAAGTCCCTGACCCAAAGGAGCCTTAGGGAGATGTGGGGCCATTTAATTTCTGGAGGCCCCCTTGACTGAACCATGCTGGGAGTGGAGGGTGTGTGTGTGTGTGTGTGTGTGTGTGTGTATGTGTGTGTGTGCAGCTTTAAAGACCACAAAGACCCCTTGGTCAACCACAGCAGAGCCCCCTCCCCTCCTGCTCCTCTGAGGTGTGGCCAGCCACCAGCAGCTCTTTTCATTTTCCACTGGCTCCATCACTCTAATCTAGCTGGTGATGGCCACCCTCCCCTCTCCTTCACCGCAGAAACAGGTTGGTGCTTCTGCCTCTTGAAAAAGGTGTCAGGAGGAGCCCCGAGGACAGGGAGACGGGCCAGGAGGAGCCAAGGAGCAGCTGCAGCACCTCCGCCCCGTTCCCATGCCCCACTTCTTCTGCCACCCCTCCAACCTGGCTTGGTGCCCCTCCTCTGTCAACATCTGAAGCTGGCATCAAAGCTCAGCCCAGAGGGTGGCACCGGGTGGCAGGCAGAGTTGGGTATCCTGCCCAGAGGGGAGGGAGAGGCAGGGAGAATAATTCAGAACTGGATGTCTTTGTTGGCCGGAAATGTTTCTTCCACCCAGCTGGTAACTTCCATCCATGAAGGTTTCTCTGCAGGATTTTAGGCTGGACACCCGTGAGTGGATCTCAACTTACGCCTATCCGACACCCTTTTCTGTTAGCCCAAAGCAACTCAAGCACCTTCTAGCCCCAACTATTAATGCAAGAATACGGGGTTTCTGTAGGATTGATGCTTTTGTAAAACAAAAATCTGTCTTTATGCATAATCTGAAATTCAGCTTAGACTATTTGCAATTACAAATGTTCGGCATTTGATTCTGATTTTGGGGAAAAGTCAAAATCAGAGTTGTTGCTTGGCAGCTGTTGTGCATCCCTTCTGCTGGAGGGGGATTAAAGCTGGCGTCTGGAGGGCAGGGTCAAGCAGCCGGTCAGCAGTCAGGACTTTGGAGGCCTTCCATCTCCTTCACAAAGAGCTTTCCTTGGGCTGTTAAAGGCTCCGAGTATGGACGGGTGGGGGCTCCAGAGCACTGCTGGTCTTTCTTGGCAGATGGCTGAGGAATACGGGCCGGTGTTCACCGTCTTTCTGGGACTGCAGCGGGTCGTGGTCTTGTGTGGCTACCAAGCCGTGAAGGAGGCCTTGGTGGACCAGGCAGAGGAATTCAGTGGGCGAGGGCAGCTGCCCGCCTTCTCCAAGGACTTCAACCACCACGGTGAGGGATGGTCTTGCCACAAGAGGGTCCTGAGCCTGCCTTGCTGGGCTTGTGTTGCACTGAGGGGGAGTCCTGGGAGAAACCACCTGACCTCCTGGTCTCTTGGGCAGGGATTGTGTTTGCCAACGGGCAGCGCTGGCAGAAGCTCCGTCGCTTCTCCCTCACCATTCTGAGGAACTTTGGGATGGGCAAGAGGTCCATTGAAGAGAGGATCCAGGAGGAGGCCCAGTGCCTGGTGGAGGAGCTCCGGAAGACAGAAGGTAGCCGTTCATTTGGCAGCAGTAGCCCCTCCCTCCCTCCCTCCCTCCCTCCCTCGGCTTGGTTTACCTGAGTCTTACAAGTGAGTTACAAGAATAGCAGTTCAAAGCAGGCAAAGGAAGTCTTCCCCTCCCAATTCCTTTTGATCAGGAGGTTGCAGGAGTCCCAACAGAGGAAGGACTGGTTTTTTACAGTGGCCAGCTTGATGCCCTGGGATCTGTGAGCAGTCCTTTCCCCAGCAGCTGATCCTGACTTTCTCACCTTTCTCCTGCATGAATCTGCCATTCCACTGTAGAGTTGTCCACATGCCGTAGACATGATGCACCCTGCAAGCCCTTCCTCCCGTGGTCCAGAGTTGTCTGCTGCTCCACTGCAGTGGGCGCTCCTGGGCGCTAGAGCCGCTATCCCTCCTCTCCACACCATCATGTCACCATGTTCCCTGCAATTGTCTGTCCTTTCTGCGAGTGAAGATTTTGAGTCCACATTCAATTGCTATTATTATTATGGTTTGTTGCACAGTCAGCCAGATGTTCAGCCTGGATATTATTATGGTTGGGCAGGTTGGGAATATAAGAGGAGTGCCTGCAGCTCAGGACAGAGTGAGTGGAGGGGATGCTGAAGGGCCAGCAAGGTTCCCCTCTCTTTTCTCCAGGGACGTCCTTTGACCCCACCTTCCTTCTTAGTCGAGCTGTCTCCAACGTCATCTGCTCCATTGTGTTTGGGAATCGGTTTAAATACAGCGATGGAAAGTTCCTCACGTTGAACAAGCTGATAACAGAGCGTTTCTGCCTAGCAAGCTTAACTGCAGCCACGGTGAGGACAATCAATCAATCAATCAATCAATCAATCAGTCAGTCAGTCGATCAGAATAGAGCTGGAAAGGATCTTGGAGATCTTCTAGTCCAACCCCCTGCTCAAGCAGGAGACCCTATGCCATTCCAGACCAGTGGCTGTCCAGTCTCTTCTTAAAGACCTGAGCTGATGGAGCACCCACAACTTCTGAAGGGAAGCTGTTAATTGTCCTCACTGTTAGGAAGTTTCTCTTAATTCCAGGTTGCTTCTCTCCTTGATTAGTTTCCATCTGCTGCTTCTTGTCTTGCCTTCAGGTGCTTTGAAGAATAAGATGACCCCCTACTCTTTGTGGCAGCCCCTCAAATACTGGAACACTGTTATCATGTCCCCCCTAATCCTTCTTTTCTCTAGACAGGCCATACCCAGATCCTGCAGCCATTCTTCATATGTTTTAGTCTCCAGGCCCTTAATCTTCTTAGCTGCTTTTTTTTCCAAAGTCTCAATATCTTTTTTGTAATGTGGTGACCAAAACTGGATGCTGTATTCTTACTAAGATTTTATAAAGCAGGAATATTTTATTAAGCAGGAGTATTTCTTCAGTTTTGCTGCCTCTTCCCTACTCAAACTATGAAGTGATTTGGCCCTTTTTTGCTTAGAATCTGGTGCTAGTTATTTTATCTGCAAAATATTTGAAAGTCCATAATAAAATTTGCTATCCTGGTTGGGGGAGAAAAGAGCTCCCCACAGCTCTCACTCCTCAGTGGGGAGAAGATGGAGGCTGGTGGATTTAGTCCAACTGAAATCCTGTCTTCCTTTTTTTTTCCTGTGAATTTTCAACAATATTCCCAAAGTGAAGCAACATCTTCAAAGACGCACACAGCAGAAGGACATGCTCACAAGTGCATTTCACCAGTTTGATTAAGGGCAGCTGCTTGCACACAACTATCTAAGCTTGCGTAGTTTTTTTAGTCTGTTTTGCCAGTTAACACATGCATGTATTGTGCAATCTGTCCAGATAGGTTAGTTTGTTTACCAAGTTAAGCATGGTGCACGCAAAAGCTGTGGTCAAGAAAAGCTAATAATATTGTTGTTGCCCTCTGCCCAACATGGGATAGCTCTACAACATCTTTCCGGAGATCATGGAGAAGATCCCTGGAGCGCATCACGCAGGCCACAGGTGCTCTCAGCAGATCATCAGCTTCATAAAGGAGAGGATCCAGATGCAGCAGGCCTTGCTCGATCCTTGCGCCCCCCAAAATTATATTGATTGCTTCTTGGCAAAGATGGAGCAGGTAATGCTACTTATCAAGGAGTTTCACTTCTCACTTCAGTGACATGAAGGTGCTTCACTGCATTTCAACTGCCAGGCAAAGGGGTTGGTTGTGAGTCTTTGGGGTGCAGCTATTGTCTTCCTGTTGGCCCCAGAGCTCCCCGGCTTGAAGGAGGAGAAGTTATTCCCCCCCATTTCTTATGGCCATCAAACACAATTGACACTCGCTGTCTGTCAGTTGCCCGTCTGTCCGGTCTTCAGATTTAGGCAAGGACAACCCAACACACTTCTACAGTCACCTTCCAACTCAGAGCTTAGCTAAGCAATGAATTGGTTAGAGCAGGGGTTCCCAACCCCCAGGCTGCTGCCCACTGCCAGGCTGTGGCCCATTTGGAACCGGGCTGTGGAAGCGGCAGGTAAGTGTGCGTGTGTGCATGTATAGCTGCACTTGCATAAGTAGACGGTGAGCATGTGTGCGAAGGTCCATTTGTGTGAGTGGTGGGTGAACGTGCCCTCCACTTGTGCAAATAGCGCTTTGCGCATGTGCGTGCACTCCCTTGGAACCATCCCATCTCCCCCCCCCCCGCCGGCCTGCAAAGTGGGAAAGGAAGGATGGGGGACTCTGGGCTAGAGAAGGAACAAACAAAGCCTGTTTCTTTGGTCAACTCCTATTCAGCTTGAGAGGATTTGCCCCAGGACTGCAGCCAAGGCAGACTTCACGCTGCCTGCCACAGAGCAGGGTGCACTTCCGGTTCCCAAATGCCAAATTGGTCTGATTAGAAGTGGATTACACGGAAAGCTGCAAAACCGGAGGAGGGGGAGAGGGGGGAGGGAGCAAGACTTGACACGCTGGTTGGGTGTTATCTGAGTACCACGCTTCTCCTTCCATTGACCATCAGGAGATCCTGGTTTGTTCTACTGGGGCTCATCACTGGACTGCTTTCGCAAGGGGGTTTGAGCCTCTGTGGCAGCATGGCTGGGAGCTGAAGTCCTCAAGTCATAAAAGGGCCCTGGTTCCCTACCCCTGCTCTATGGGAGTTGAACTCCTGGACAATGATGCTTCAGGTGAGGGTTTCTCAGCCTTGCCAACTTTAAAGTGTGTGGACCAACTCTGAGAATTCTGGGAGTTGAGGTTCATATGTGCTGGCTGAGGAATTCTAGGAGTTGAATGGAAGTTGAGCCAATGCAGCTAGTCTTCCATTCCTGTTGGTTCAAAACATTTCTCTTAGTCTGAAGAAGCACCCAGGATTAGCAGTGAAATATGACTCAGCTTCCAGAACCTTCTTCGCCATTTAGAATTGAAATTCATACCTCGTGAAATTGCCAAGGCTGAGAAACAGGGATTTCCACCACTGGCGTGTACAGTGTCTTAGGAAGCATTGTTGGAAGAAATACCGAGAGTATTATTTGTAGAATGGTACTGACTTGTATGAACCTTATAAAACAAAGCTTGTAAAATGAGATTATAACACAACAATATCTGTCTCTCTCTAGCCCCATGGTGGCGAACCTATGGCACGCATGTCACAGGTGGCACGCAGAAAACAAGTATGATTTTTTTCTTTTCTTCCTTGATCTTTGGCAGGAAAAGCACAACCCGGATTCTGAATTCTGTGTGGAGAATTTGGTGATGGCCACTTTCAATCTGTTCTTTGCTGGGACAGAAACCATCAGCACCACCCTGAGATACAGTTTCCTCATCCTGATGAAGTACCCTCAGGTCCAAGGTAAGGGAGGAAGGAGCCCCCCCACTCAGCACTGGAGGGGGTGGTGGACTGGGAAGCAGGGGAGGGACGTAGTTCGGCCTTGGGGGGGGGGCTTCCTTTCTCAGTTGTCTATTTGGCATGATGGAAGCCCCTGATCTGGGAAGGTGGACGGTCCTCAACATTCGGGCCTCAGCCGATGGCACTTAGTGGTCTTTTCCCTGCACAACAAAGGAGGCCCATTCCAGGTTTTTTGTATGTGTTTCTAATATGTAGGACAGAAATGAAAGAATTAACTATATGGGAACAATCATTTTAAGTGCTCTTCATTCGTTGACCCGTTTCTTGACCTGCTCTGCACATGGAGTAAACCATATTCCCATTCTGACTTGGCCCATCCAGCCTCCATGGTGCCTGGACCACAACTGCTATTCTCTCCCAGCTGTGCAGGGGACCCCCTTACTTTGCTCTGCATGCCCATTTCCTGGCAAGCAGGCGGGTCCGTCACTGCTTTGCCTCCAGGGGGCTTCACAAGAATCCACTGCAGTCCTGTCCCCCCCAAATCTGACTCCTGAGCCCGCTCGGTCATCTTTCCCCAGAAAAGCTCCACGAGGAGATTGACCGAGTGGTCGGGGCCGGCCGCTCGCCCTCGGCTGAGGACAGGAGGCAGATGCCCTACACGGAGGCGGTGCTACATGAGATCCAGAGGTTCAGCGACATCCTGCCCATGGCCCTCCCACACGCCGTCACTCGAGACACCCGCTTCAGGGGATACACCATCCCAAAGGTGAGGCTCTGGGGCAGGGCAGGGCTCAGAGCTCAGCACCGGCCGGAGTGTTTGTCCAACATGCTCCCTTCCATTTTGGCCTTTGGGGTCTGCAGTTTGCTGGGGGACAGAGGAGGGGGTGTCATTTCCGCCACAGCAGCTGCTCCACTGGCCTGGCCAAGCCAGTTCTGCATGCCCAGGAGCCAGCTGGCCTTTGCTAAAATGTTACCTGAGCAGAGGGGAAAGGGGAAAGTAATTCCTTAGTTTCCATTGAATCTTGTCTAATGGGATGGGCAGCAGAACCAAACTGCTGGGCTCCCTGGCAGAGAAAGGCTTTTGGGGAGGATCCTGTGGGTGGAGGAGATGCCCAAGCAGATGTTCTGTAGTGGGCATCTCTGTTAGCCACCACCAAACAAGGTTTCTCAGGCCCTCCTCCCTGGATAGCGCCATTGAAATGCCACTCAATCCTGGCTTCCCATCCTCTGGCAATGCGGGCACCTCATTCTGGGCTTTTCTCCTTGCCTCTTCCTCCCGTTTCCCTTCTGCTCCTCCTCCTTGGATGTTCCTGCCAGGGGACCTATGTCTACCCTCTGCTTAGCACGGTGCACTATGACGGTGAGCATCATGCCCGTCCTGAGCAGTTTGACCCCGGAAGATTCCTGGACAGCCACGGCCATTTCAAGAAGGCAGATGCCTTCATGCCTTTCTCAGCAGGTGTGTCCTGGGGGTGGGGGCTGAGTGGGGGTTCCCCTTCCCTCCCTTTCCCTCCCCTCTCCTCCCCTGCCCTTTCCCCTTCCCTCTTTGTGCCACTCGCTCCTGCCCCTTCCCTCTCCACTAGGCCTCCCTTCTCAGAAGGTGGCTCAGCCTCAGGCCGCTTGGAGAGCGCAGGAGTCCTCAGTTGCCTCTGGCATCCACCAGGCTGAACCTGTTTTGCCCCCTTTCTGCAGGGAAGCGGCTGTGCCTGGGCGAGGGCCTGGCCCGCATGGAGTTGTTCCTCTTCCTTACCACCATCCTGCAGGCCTTCACTCTCATGTCACCGGTGCCCCTGGGCGAGGTCAGCATTGTGCCCAATGCAAGTGGCGTCAGCCGTGTGCCCATGAGATACCAGCTCTTGCTGGTGCCACGCCAAGCTTGATAGTGCTTTACTCACTCAGTTTCCCTTCTGTGGCACTCTCTTCAAATGCCCAGAGGGTGGGAAACTATGGTTTCCTTCCACAGTGCCATTTATTGGCAGTGGATTCTTGGTACAAGCACACAGTGCTGTTAATAGAAAAGAATCTCTGTTGTTCAGGTGGAGCTGTGGGGTCCTTGGTGCTCCCTTGAGCTGGGTGCTTTTCTTGCAGACGCTTCATGACCCGATTGGGTTATGTCTTCAGCGCCTCTCTGACCTAGCCGGGTCACAAAGCCTCTGCAAGGAAACCACCCAGCTCTGGGAGCTCCAAGAACCCCACACCTTCTGGCTCCCTGGAGAGTGCATGGCGCGGCAGCTGCCTCCCCCAGCCATCACTCCCCAACTCCGGAAGCAGCTGCTCTGGGGACGAGCACCTGGAGCCCAGGGGCTGAGGTGGCAGCGTCGGCCATTTGAGGTTGAGAATGGCACTCTTTCCAAAGCGCCAAATCAAGTCACTCCGTATGTTTAGATGGGCACTTTCCCCACAGCTCCCAAACAAACAGACAAACAAACAAACAACAAACAAACAAACTGCTTGGAATAAAACATGCTCACTTCAGTAATGCCAATTTCTGTTTTCACTTTGCCCCCATTGGAAGGGAGACCAGAACGCAACAGCTGGTCCTGAGGATGCCCGCAAGGGAGCAGCCTTCTCCTCTTGGGGGTGGGGTAGGAGGGACTGGTAGGAGATAAGGGGAAAGAGGGAGGCGGCCTTTGGTCACCCCAGCCCCCACCTGAGACCTTGGAAAGGATGTTGGCAGGTTCGCTTTCACCCAGGACATTCCTGGCCTTGAGCAGCTCTGCTCTTCTTGGGTGCCCCGGGGGATACAACCCATCCAGGCAGCACAAGAGGCAGCTGCTGAGCCCTGTGACCTTTGCCCACTGCCCCCCTTTAAGGCCCATCATTTTGCTCTGTGGGGTAATAGCTGCAGAGGGGGAAGCAGAGCTTGGAAGGAGAAGGCTGGATGGGGATGGAAAAGGACCAGTGGCAGGTGGGAGGGGGGTCCCCTTGGCCCTGGCAGAGAAAGGACAGGAGTTCCTTGCATGCCAGCAGACATTTTGGGGAGGGAGGCAGAGGGAGATCCATACCTGGGGCTAGGGAGGGTGGGCTGGTGGGCAACACGGGCACTTCTGCGAATGCCCCCTGACTTGCCCCAAGGGGGTATTAGAAGGAAAATCAGGCCCATTCCAAGCCGGTTTTGAAGGAACAGGAGGCGATTGCTTGTAGCAGAAGTTTATTCCGGAAGGCAGAGTACAAGCGAAATACAGAATACGAAACCAGCCATTTGAGGAGGCCACCAGTCAATTTGCCCGCAGAGTTTCTGTAAGAGAAAAGCTCTCCCGCTGGTCCCTGAAGGGGCATGAAGAGAGCCCAGCTCTGGGAATTCTTGGGAAGCACAATAAGCCGTCTGGCCAAGCAGTCAGGCTCCCCGCTGGCCTTGGAGTTTTTCCATTATTATTATTATTATTATTATTATTATTATTATTATTTAAATTTATAAGCCGCCCCACTCTGGGTGGCTAACAATAAAAAACACATAAAACATAACAAAACAACAGTACAAAGACAATCATCCAGGGGTTAGGTTTTATAAACCCCAGGCCTGCCGGAAAAGCCAGGGAGCTGAAACAGGGAGCTCTCTGATAGCCTAAGGAGAGATTTCCTGTAGTTGAGGAGGGTGATGCCCTTTGCCATCTTTAATGCCACTTTGGCATTAAATCCATTTCAGTGCAATTTCTCCCCTTTTGCCTGAAACTGGCTGAAAGTTTGGTTGATGAGGAGTGGGAGGAAACTGGGGAGGGGGATTGGATTTCTTTCCTACATGGGACACCCCTTCTTTCCAAGGGAAAGGCAGCCACCATCCTCCCCAGGGCCGGCACAGCTCTCTGCAAGGCTCTTCATCTGCCTGGGGGTCCCTGGGAGTGGGGCCCCTTCTGCTGCCCAGTGGCCTGGGCTCCTTTCCATGCAGCGGCATCCAATTCAGAGAAAAGGGCTGACTGTCAGCCCAAAGAGGACACATCAGTAGCTCAGGAAGGCCACGGCTTGTTCCCAGACCCCTTGCCTCAGCTTCCCTCTTGGTAGATGTGCCATTGCACCCACTTTTCGAGGTTCCCCAGGAAGCTCAGTAGGTGAGACCACAGGGAAAGCAAAGAGGGGGGCTGATTATAACATTGGGGAGGAGGGAAAACGGCAGTTTGCTCTTAATTACCTCCTTCAGGGAAACATGTCAAAAGACCTTCTGGAGGCTCAAATTCTTGGGATTCAAGCAAACCAGAAGCCCAGAGGAACTCTTTGATTACTGCGGATGAGCTACAAGCATTGCAAGGAATTCCGGAATTCCAGCTGCTCCTTTCCCAGGTAGCCTGGAAGGGATTCCTCAAGGTGATCCTTTCCCACGTCAGGGCAGAAGAGTCTGAAATTCTGCTCAGGAAGGACGGGGAAAGGACAGGCCGGCCCTTGGCACCAACTGGCCCCAGCCTCAAGCTCCACCTGCTGGCCCAGGACCCTTCAACTTTGCCTCCGCTTCCATGTTAGGTTGGCAAAGAATGTTTATTTGTATAGAGAACAGGTCAACATACAGAGGAGATTTTACGAAACAGAAACCTGCCTGAGTTGGTAACTTCAAAGAGAGGCAGGATTGAACTAGACTGTCTGAGAAGGAGGGAGACCAAGGACCACAGAGGTACAGAAGTTGGGGTACAGGAGCAGGAGCACAGTGCAATGCAAGGGAGGGGGTGCCCGTAGGTGCCAGGCTCTCTGCAGATGGAGAGGCGGCTACGTGCCCTCAGCAGGAGAGGCGTGTCCTTAGAGGGCACCTCCTGCAGCCAGAAGGAATCGGCAGAGGTAGAAAGGAACGCCGCAAGTGCTCCAGAGGGCGCCTCACTCAGCGGGGGATGACTGAGACCTCATAGATCTGTGGGATAGTGCCGAACCCCACCAACATTGGGGAGAGGTCGATGTCTTCAGGAGGCACAGCTGATTTGAAGTGGAAATGCTGCAGGATGCTGGTGAGGAAGAGGAAGAGCTCAGCACGGGCCAGATGTTCCCCAAAGCAGTAGCGCTTTCCTGCAAAAGACCAGAGAGGTTAGTGGACAGGAGGACCCCCTGGCAGCCTCCCCAACGGGGGTCTGAGAGCATTAATATTCTGCAGATGCAACGGAGGACTTGGGGGTCCCTTCTGTGGCCTCAGCATCTCTTCCGAATTTGTGCTTTGTGGATTTAATTCACAACTGTGACTGAGGGAGGGGGGCTCACCAATGCAGAAGGGTATGAAAGCCTCCTTCTTCTTGAACTGCCCCTTCTCATCCAGGAAGTGTTGGGGGTCAAACTCCTCAGGTCTTGCAAAATGTTTGGGGTCTCTCAATGCTGTTCCCAACATGGGGAATACCTCTGTCCCCTGCGGGCAGGAAATAAAGACACAAAAGACAGCTACCCTTGAAGACTACCTTGTAGTTGTAACTGAATGTTGGGAGCAGGGATATCCCCCCTTAATACCTTGGGAATTGTGTATCCTCTTAACTGGACATCTTGGGTGACACGTCGTGGCAGGGCCAGGGGGAGAATGTCCCCAAATCTCTGTATCTCATGAATCACAGCGTCCGTGTAGGGCATTTGCAGCCGGTCCTCCATGGTGGGAGTCCTATTGACACCAATGACACGGTCAATCTCCTCGTGGATCTTCTCTGGGGAGAGATCAGAAAGAGGGTGACTAGGAGCCAGAGGAGGTCCACTTCTGGCCCTTCAGTTGTGGTCTGGGAACATGACCAGCTTCCTGAGGAGCCTGAAAGACCACCCAACATGCAGGAGACCACATGACGGGTCTGAATTTCACAAGATTGGTTCTTAGGAAAAACTAGTGATAAGAAGTGAGACCACACCTGGAATACTGCAGCCAGTTTTGGCCACCATACTACAAAAAAGATGTTGACACCTTGGAAAAAGTTCAGAGAAGAGCAACCAAGATGATCAAAGGCTTGGAGACTAAAACATATGAAGAACGGCTGCAAGACTTGTCTGTTTGGCTAGTCTAAAGAAAAGAAGAAATAGGAAAGACATGATGGCAGTATTCCAGTATCTCAGGGGCTGCCACAAGGAAGAGGGGGTCAAATTATTCTCCAAAGCACCAGAGGGCAGGACAAGATACAATGTTTGGAAACTGATCAAAGAGAAAAGTAACCTGGAATTAAGTAAGAACTTCCTGACAGTGAGTACAATTAACCAGTGGAACAGCTTGCCTCTGGAAGTTGTGAGCGCTCCATCACTGGAGATTTTTAAGAAGCGGTTAGACATCACTTGTCTGAGATGGTATAGGTTCTCCTGCATGAGCAGGGGGCTGGACTAGAAGACCTCCAAGGTCCCTTCCAGCTCTATTCTATTCTAAATGGTGAAGTGCCCAACAAGGAGTTTGTTATGGAGAGATGAAAAGAGAGGAAGGGATGCGAGTTAAGAGTGGACAACTATCTGGGGGGACTTCTTAATATGGAATAGTAATTAACATGATGGATCAGGACCAGGAAAGGCCAGATTCCACCCTCAGCTGGAGAACTTCCCTTGATGTCTTTATCTCCTCTTTATCAATCCCACCTACCCATGGAGTTGTGAGGGACAACAGGAGAGGAGGAGCTTCTTCTCCTGAAGAAAAGGTGATAGAACACCAACAAATTCCTCAACTGCTACTTGGGAGAAGAAAGACTTGGGCCTTGGAGGTCTCAACTGCTCCTGTTCCAATCGCTGCCCTCCTCCCTAGCAGGTGGTTTTTACTCCTCTGTTGCCATGGAAATTACCTTCCACCTCTGGGTACTTCAGCAGGATCAGGAACCCATAACGCAAGGTGGTGCTGACCGTTTCGGTACCACCAAAGAAGATGTTAAGCGTGGTTGCGACCAGTTCCTCCATGGAGAAGAAAGAGTCAGGGTTTTTTTCTTCCTTGGTGAGAGTAAAGGGAACTGTTATTTATCAACTCCCTCTATTTCAGCCTATTCCCCACCAGGATTACAACTTCCCCCCATCCCTCAGCCAGCACAGCCAGCACTGTGACTGAAAGTCTATCTATTTTTTGGGATTAAAAGTCCAAATCGAGTAGCCCAGTTCTTCCATCTACTTCTGAATTGTCTCAGCTACACTTAGGGAGAGATGTAGAGCTCCAGGTATTTCCTAATTTGCTAATGTCTGAGCTTCTCTAGAAGTCTGGACACCCTGAACATTGATGAAGTTGACTTTGCTGTCCGCACTGGTTTTTTGTTGATTTGAACTGTGGACCACACTTTGGCTACACACCTGTCCACTTGTTTGGGCTCTTGTAAGGCATGTGTCTGGGGCGGTTCCTTTCAAAAGAGCCTTGGAAGGAGAATCTCCCGACGGTTTGTACGTTGCCCCATTCCAGTTTCCAATAAAGCTCAGGGTTGAAATGAGGAGTCCTTGGTGCTCTCTGAGAGTGGTTGTTCTCTTGCAGACATTTCATTACGTAAACTAGGTAACATCATCAGTGCACTGATGTAATATAGTTTGAGTAATGTTATGTCTGCAAGAAAACAAGCTCAGAGAGCACCAAGGACTCCTCATTTGAGTTGGTCTAAGGATATTTCTGTGTGTTTGATTCATCCCATCAAGCCGGTCAAGGTGTCCCCCCTTCTACCTGCAGCATTTTCACCAGGAAGCAGTCAATGAAATCCCGTGGGGAGTTGGGGTCCAGGGTCTCCTGGTGGGCTTTTGCCTTCTTGGCCACAAATTCCTTCAGTTCCGAAAACCTCTTCAAAACCTTTTGCTGTGAGCCAGGGAGGCGTTGCACAATTTCAAAGAAGATGTCCAAGAGCTGCGGGTTGGAGAAGGGAGGAAAGGAGGGTTTTACTGGTAGAAGAAGATCCTGGCAAGTGGAGCTGAGGTGGGACGAGGCTGGGCAAGGCTTGGGAGGGGGATCCCAGGAGATCTGTGGCCCCCTGACCCTTCCTTCTTCTCCCAGGCGAGTTGGTTCTTCAGGTTGCAGAAGAAGGACTTCCTTCACCCTCATGGGAGGAGAGAGCCAACTGCTGCCCCACACCTTCTTCACTGGGAGGGGAGAAGGTGTCCCTTTAGGTATATTTCAAGCAGCCAAAGTCTGGGGGTAACCCTGGCATTCTGTCTCATCTCACGTTGGAAAAAAGACTCTGAAAGTGGGCACTGCCCCCCTTTCATGAATCTGTTGAGGGCAGATAAACAGAGAACTTCATTGCTTCTTGTCAAGGACAGGAGAGTCTTCACCCCCAGTGCCTTGAGATTCAGAGCCCCAGATGAAAGCTGATGCTTTCCCCAAGGAGAAGCAGTAGAACTGAGGGAGTACCTGTCCCTGGGCTGAGGAGCTGAAGCGAAAGACTTCTGTCACTGCGGTCAGCAAAGAGAGGAACTCCGGGTCTTCGTAGTCAAAGCGGTTGCCAAAGGCGATGGAGCTGATGACGTTGGACACGGAGCGGCTCAGGAAGTAGGTGGGGTCAAAGGGGGCTCCTGGGGGAAGAGAGGCCCTTCTCGATGCTCGTGGAGGGACTGTGGGGTCTGAGGCCTTGCAGACACTTTGGTGTCTCCACCTTGCCATGCCCAACCCCTCCTCAAACTCTCCTGGCTTCCCCTCTGCCTCCTGGGGAGCAGGAAGGCAAGGGGCCCCCTTTGGAAGCCTGGGCCATTGCCAGGGCTCAAACAGAGCAGTAGATGCTGTGGGCACCCCTGGACCAGAGAGGGGGAGCCCAGACCCTTGGAAATGGGATGAGTTCAGGTGTGCCCACCGCTGACAGCAGCAGGAGAATCTGAGCCCAGCCCTTCCTGTGCAGGCAAAGAGGGCAAAGGGCATCCTGGACCCTGAACCAGACCAGCCTCAACTTGCTGTGCCAGGGGCCAGGCAGGCTGGTGAAGCCAGAGCCAAAGCAACTGGAAACTCCCGTAAAGGAATGAACAAAATGCCCCAGGCTGAATCTCAGAGTGTGCTGGGCGGTTGGGTTGCAGGAAGAGGAATCCTCCCTTGGTGGTCTTGGCGCCTTCCACAAAGCTTGCTGGGGTGACTTAAGCCAACTTCCCCTTTTGGATCTTTGGACAGCCAGGCATGTGCCATTTTCTCCAGTCCCCTATGAATTGCCCCTAGCCCCACTTCTGGGGGCTCCAGAAATCCACCTGCCTTTTGTGCCCCTCAGGGCTTCCAGCAGGAAGTGGGCTTCCTCCAGGATCCGCTCTTCGATGGATCTCTTTCCCACCCCGAAATTGCGCAGGGTCGTGATGGAGAACCGTCGCAGATGTATGGGTTTTTTCCCATTGCTGAAGGCGACTCCTGCAGACCAAAAGAGAAGGGGGGGAAAGGGGGTGTTGGAACCCAAGGAAGATCTCCCAGCAAATGCAGGATTGCCCAGCACTCTGGTCAAGAGAAGAGACCGGTCCTCCTGAGCCCTTCCTTAGAGCAGAGGCAGCACAGAGCTCCCTCCCTGGAGGACAGAGAAGGGGGTCTCTCCAGGAGTTTTCAAAAGTGAGTCATGCTAAGTCAGCCCTGAAGTGAGAGGGATGGAGGGACCTAGCGGGTTGTCTGGTCCAGCATTCCTGCTCAGTGCAAGGGACATCAAATGCAGCTTCCCCCACTGATGGCTGTCTCAGTGGAAACTCATCATCAAGTTGCTGGGGCTGCAAAAAGTGGAACACACCGTGGCCTTGGAAGATCCAGTCAAAACTGGCCTGTTGGCCCCTGTCTCGAAACTCGTTCCCCTGGTCCACCAGGGCCTCCTTTATGGCCTCAAAGCCGCAGAGCACCACGATGCGACGGGGACCCAGCTGGATCGTGAAGACTTCCCCAAACTTTTCGCTCAGCTGCCAGAGAAACCAGACAAGAGAAGGGGGGAGAATTGGATGGCAGAACTCAGTTGGTCTCCTGAGCATCTTCCCCCAGCTGACCATCTGTGACCCTGGGCAGGAGCTGCTGGGCAGAGAGGATCTTGCTGGGGAACTCCATGTGGTGCGTCTCTTGCTGCAGATTAGGCAGAGGTTAAACCTCCCAGATCCTCCAATGCCCTATTCTGCGGTGAGGTCATCATTCTTGGCTTAAGATCCTCTCTGCTTCAGGAACCTTTCTACACCCCCTATCTCCCCAAACACTGCCCCCCCCCAGGGGCTTCCAATTACCTGCCTCCCTGATTGCTGAAAAGGAATCCAACAGGAAAAGAAACACAGGTAGGGCAACCATTAAAATTGAGATTTAATGTATACATGGGTTTGCTCTATCTATGTTACAGCCTCTCTCTCCCTGTTTAAGTATTTAAAAAATCAGGAGGCATCTGGAAGGCCCTTTTCTGAATAAGACATTTAGGAAAAGGTGGAAGCTTTCACGAGGCTCGTGGGAGGAAGTGTGTGCTGGCCCAGAATCCAAAGGAGACAGAGAGCGCCGTTTCCCAGTAGCCCATTGGGTGGAAAAGCACATTTGATGGAAGGCAGCTGGGGAAAGCTTCCTTGCCTCTTCTCCAGACCGGTGAGGGGCAAAGCCACTCCAAGGCTCCTCCGGCCCTTTGGTGCCTGCAGACTAACACAGCTCTCCTTCTGGAGCTTCCAGGCAAGGACTGCGGTTCTTTGGCCAGCCGTGACTCCTGGCGATTCTGCGCTCACAGTCTCTGCCCCCTTCTCAGCAATAGTTCTTGGAGGGACCAGCACCCACCAGCTGCACCCAGCGGGCTCCTTGAAGAGGTACTTAAGGACCCTGAGCAAGACATGGAGGGCAGCCTGGCTGTTTGAAGGGAGAGGAGACATTCCCCTGCCCTCTTCCCTCCGGGCTCCTGTCCACTTTGCAAGAGGTCACAGCAGGCCTCTGGCTGTCCACAGGAAGCAGGTGCACCAGCAGGGAAGAGAACAGCAGGAGCTGGGCTGCTCTCCCTGGGGAATACCTGCCTGCTGGGCAACTAGGAGTCAAGAAGGGCTTGATGGCCTCTGATCAACCACCCAAGCAATCCGATTCCTCTTCTTCCATCTTAAGGGGGCAGGGAGAGTCCCACTCAAGCTTTGGGCTCCTGGGCTCCCCCTGTCAGCTGGCCTTCGAGGCTGGCAGTCCAAAGCCAGCAAGGGCCACTTGAGCTGGTTATGGGAAAGGCAGGAAGGAGCAGGCGGAAGGGCAGGGGGTGTGGGTGGAGAGGGAGGGAGGGGCTTACCTTGATGAGCGAATTGGGCAGGTTGTTTCGGTTTACCCAGAGCAGGTTCCCAATCAGGGGGAGGGGCGTGGGTCCAGGGGGCATCTTGCCCCTTCGGCTCATTTGCTGCCAAGAGGAAAGGAGCAGGAGGCCGGCCAGGGAGATGGCCAGGAAGAGGGTCCCTGCTCCCAGGAGATCCATGGGGACGGGCAGCTCCAGCAGCACTTGCCAGGTGCTGCTGTGGAGAGAGTATCAGCCTGGCTCTTCGGAGATCTAATATAGGATCTGGAAAGAAATGCAACGCCCACCTCATCATCCAGGTTGTGCAACAGCCCGGGTCCCTTCCAAGCCGGGCAACCTGCCTATTGTGCATTTCTGCCAGTTCAGATATTTTCCAATTGGAGTCAGATGCTGCTCAGGGGCCAAAGAAGGGGGGCTTTGGTTCAACAATAGTTTTGCAGTTTAATTACCTCACTTTTTCTTCCAAGGCAAGGGCTGCATAAACTTCAGCAATCAAAGAGTCACTATAGTGACTTCCATCACATAGTTATTGCACAGATGATGCAATTTAATGTTTTTTTGGGGGGTGGGGGGTGGGGAAGAAAGGCAACCTTTGAATTGGCATTTGCTTCACCCATCCTGGGCAGAAACCAAACGCTTGAATGGAGGCTTCAGCCAAGGGGTTGAATTGAGCAAAGGGCTGCAGAGGAACCATGAATATGTAGAGTAAGCAGCATTCATTTTTTGGATCATTGAATTTTGGGTCAACCCCAAAGTGCTTTTAAAGAGGCTTCCCTCCAGAGGTTGTGGGTGCTCCATCGCTGGAGGTTTTTAAGAAGAGATTAGATGGCCATTTGTTGGAAATAGTATAGGGTCTCTTGCCTGAACTGGAGCTTGGACTAGGTGACCCCCAAAGTCCCTTTCAACTCCGTTATCCTGTTATTTTCTTATTCTGAGAACTAGCAGCCCAGAGGTCCAGGGGACAATGGCCAATTGGCCTTTGCAGGGGAGGGAGGTGCTAGGCGCTGTGGCCAATAGCAATTAGGTCTGTCACTCACTCCGGGGAAGGAGAAGCTGGAGGCCACCTGCTTGAAAAGGGGGATGGAAAGGAGGCGGGGGATGCACGGGCAATAGACGGGCAATGTCCATGCCCCCTTCTGCCCCTCTGCCCTCCATAGGCGATGAGTGCAGGTGATGAGACAAGCAGAAAAGGATGCCTCTTTGGAAGTCCCTTGAGATTTCCTCAAGCACCCGGCTGCTTCTGTGCGATTCTCCCAGGGGGCAATCGGCTGATCCAAAGTTTCTGCAATTCCTGCCCTCCCCTGACTGCTAGACTGGCCAAAGACTTGAGCAGGTGCCTCTTTGTACCTGCTGCAGCAAGGTGTCAACACTGCAACTTCATTTTTGGTTGCCACAGTTGAAGGGGAGGGAATGTGTGCTTTTAACGTTAGACAAAACAATAAATTGTCCTGTGGGAACCAAGGTCATTGCTGCTGGGTTTTTGGCGGGCTGAGCTTTTGTTAGAAAGCCCACCAAAGTAGTTTATTGGGGAATGTGATGAATGACATATTACTGGGGTGGGAAGTTCAAGTCCTTTGGGAGGGAACTTCAGTCTTGGTATCACTTTTGATCGTGGATATTATGTAGCCAATAAATATGTTATTTAAGGAAACCTCTTGCCTTGGTGTTCTGTTTTCACCACTCTCATCTATCGGAATCCTGACACAAGGATTATCTCTCACAGACCCCTGTGCTGCTGCTGACAGGGCCTGGAAACAAGTTAGGATGCCCCCCACTGCCCTGCCTGGGACAAGGAGGGAGGGGACACAAAAGGGGACTTGGTTTCTCCAGGTGGGCAGGACAGGTGAGGAAGCCAGAGAGTTTCGGCAGGACAGCCGCTTCTCTTTCCCCCAATGGCCCTCCTCCTTCGGGGCTCAGTTGACCTCCTGCTCCCTTGGGCCAGGTGGGAGGAGGTTGGGTGGCCATCCTTGGCACAGCAGCTTCTTTGCCCACCTGAGACCCTGCAATCTCTTCCGTGTCTGGTGAAGAAGCTCCTCTGTGCTCAAGGTCCAAGGCCACCATTGACCAACAGAGGAAGCCACGGCAGCCCCTGAGAAAGCCCGCAAGGGAGCAGCCTCTCCTCTGAGGTGGGGACGGGTGGGAGAGGCCAAAGAAGACAAAAGAGTGTCCGAAGCCAATAGGAAGTCTTTGCTTATTGTGGACAAGCTTCAAAGAGAGCAGTGCAAGCAGACCCTCATTGCAAAAGAATTCCAGCTGCTCTTTCCCACCTAGTCTGAAAAGAATTCTTAAGGGTGAACCTTTCACACATCAGGGGCAGCCAAATCACAGCCAGTGTGGCTCTAGGCAACAGTTGTACACCCTGCCAATATTCCTGGCCAGTCCTGGGAATTCTGGTTAAAGTTTCTGAATCACAGGTGACTACTGTCAGGGGGATCCCCACCTTACTCCTAACAGGACTCCACCTGTCCCTTTCAACCGCCCTTGGCCAGGTCCCTTTGTTGGCCATTTGCTGCTGCCCAGGGTGAAGGGAGACCTCAGTGGAGCCCTTGAAGGACACTGGAGGGGCAGGAAAGGGAGATGATGTGAGTGATGGAGGTACAAGAAAGATCTCAGCAGGGTTTGGAACAGAAGAGAAGTTCCCACCCTTCTTTGTGTGGTTGCAAAGCATCCACTGGTGGTCCCAGTTTCCACTAGAAGTGCAGTGTTGGGGGATCCCCAGTGCCAGATGTTTCGGGGCAGCCCAGAGGAGTTCTGGATGAAACATGGCTGCAGGACCTGAAATTCTGCTCAGGATGGACGGGGAAGGGGTGGGCCAACTCTTGGCATCATAGGCACCAGCCTCAAGCTCCAGGCCCACCTGCTGGCACAGGACCCTTCAATTTCGCCTCCACTTCCATTTTAGGTTGGCAAAGAATGTTTATTGGTACACAAAACAGGTCAACATACAGAGGAGACTTTTCAGGACAGAAACCTGCCTGTGTTGGCAACTTCAAAGGAGAGAGGCAGGATCGAACTAGACTGTCTGCTGCCCCTTTGCCTGCCTGAGCTATCAGCCTGCCCAAACTGATGTGGGCATCCCAGAATCTTTTCCCAGCTCAGCTAGACTTCTCCTGCAGTCCTGGGTTTTAATGGTGAATATTTCTAGCTTGAACAGCCCCATCAGCATGCAGAGTACCTTCAGAGTGTGGTGAGAAGGGGGGAGAGGAGCAGAGCACCATAGCTGAACTCCCCCCCACACCTGATGCCATCCTCCCTGTGGTTGCTGGAGGAAAGGGCACAAAGGTTGGGGTACAGGAGCAGGAACCAGAACAAAATGCAGGGTGTGAGGTGGCTCTAGGTGCCAGGCTTTCTGGAGATGAGCTGTGGTGCCCTCAGCAAGAAAGCCATGTCCTTAGAGGGCATCTCCTCCACCTAGAAGGTTGCTAGGAATGAATTGGTGAGGCAGGGGGCAATCTGGAAAGGCATTTTGGGCCCCTCACTCAGCGGGGGATGACTGAGATCTCATAGGTCTGTGGGATAGTGGCGAACCCCAACAACATTGGGGAGAGGTCGATGTCTTCAGGGGGCACAGCTGATTTGAAGTGGAAATGCTGCAGGATGCTGGTGAGGAAGAGGAAAAGCTCAGCACGGGCCAGATGTTCTCCGAAGCAGTAACGATTTCCTGCAAAAGACCAGAGTAGAGAGGCCAGTGGGCAGGAGGACCCCCTGGCTGCCTCCCCAACGGGGGTCTGAGAGCATCCATATTCTGCAGATGCAATGGAGGACTTGGGGGTCCCTTCTGTGGGCTCAGCATCTCTTCCAAATTTGTGCTTTGTGGATCAAACTCGCAACTGTCCCAGAGGGATGAGCCAGGATGGAGTTTCTGGATCATCTCTACATACCAGGGAGGGGCAAGGAGGGAACAGGTGTGACCTTGGGGGGGAGTTCTATACAGGGTTGTCAGAAGAGCCGAGGTGGCGCAGCAGTTAGAGTGCAGTACTGCAGGCCACTTTAGCTGACTGTGGTCAGCAGGTCAGCGGTTCAAATCTCACTGGCTCAAGGTTGACTCAGCCTTCCATCCTTCAGGGGTAGGTAAAATGAGGACCCAGATTGTTGGGGGCAATGTAATATATATATATATATATATATATATATATATATATATATATATATATATACATACATTGCTTACTGGTGTACACCGCTTAGAGAGTGCTTGCACTTAAAGCGGTATATAAGTCTCATAAATAAAGAAATAAATGACTTTCTGCCATAAGAAATGGGGAGGGGGCTCACCAGTAGAGAAGGGTATGAAAGCCTCCTTCTTCTTGAACTGCCCCTTCTCATCCAGGAAGTGTTGGGGGTCAAACTCCTCAGGTCTTGCAAAATGTTTGGGGTCTCTCATCGCTGTTCCCAACATGGGGAATACCTCTGTCCCCTGAGGGCAGGAAATAAAGGAAGCATCAATTACTCTGGCTGAGGATGATGGGAGGCTTCATCCAACTCGTGGAAGACAGCTACCGTTGATGAAAACCCTGGAATTATAGCTGAAAGGTGAGAGCAGAGATATTTCCCTCCCCAATACCTTGGGAATTGTGTATCCTCTTAACTGGACATCTTGGGTGACACGTCGTGGCAGGGCCATGGGTAATAGGTCCCCAAATCTCTGTATCTCATGAATCACAGCTTCCGTGTAGGGCATCTGCAGCCGGTCCTCCATGGTGGGAGTCCTATTGACACCAATGACGCGGTCAATCTCCTCGTGGATCTTCTCTGGGGAGAGATCAGAAAGAGGGTGACTAAGAGCCAGAGGAGGTCCACTTCTGCCCTTCTAATTCTGATCTGGGGACTCTACTATGCAGGAGACCATGCAACAGATCTGAATTTCTCACATATTCATTCTTAGGAAAAACTAGTGGTAAGAATTGCTCAACAAGGAGTGTGTTATGGAGAGAAGAAAAGGGAAAGGGATGTGAGTTGAGAATGGACAACTATCTGGGGGGACTTCTTGATATGTAGTAGTGATTAAGATGATGGATCAGGACCAGGAAAGGCCAGATTCCACCCTCAGCTGGAGAACTTCCCTTGATGTCTTTATCTCCTCTTTATCAATCCCACCTACACAGAAAGAGAGTGACCTGAACCCAAGGAGGTCCACTTCTGGCCCTCCAGTTGTGGTCTGGGGACATCACTAGCTTTTTGAGGACAGAAGAACGCCACCTAGCATGAAGAAACCATGTAACAGGTCTGAATTTCACAAACTTGGTTCTTATGAAAAACTAGTGGTAAGAATTGCCTGAACAAGCAGTGTGTTATGGGGAGATGAAGAACATGGAAAAGATGTAAGTTGAGTATGCACAACTATCTTTGGGGAACTTCTTGAGTAGTGATTAAGGTAATGGATGAGGAGCAGAAAATCCCAGATTCCATGCTCAGCTTTGTCCAATCCTTCTCAGTTCCACCTATCCATAAAGAAAAGGTGATAGAACACCAACAAATTCCTCAACTGCTACTTGGGAGAAGAAAGACTTGGGCCTTGGAGGTCTCAACTGCTCCTGTTCCAACCGTTGCCCTCCTCCCTAGCAGGTGGTTTTTACTCCTCTGTTGCCATGGAAATTACCTTCCACCTCTGGGTACTTCAGCAGCATCAGGAACCCATAACGCAAAGTGGTGCTGACCGTTTCGGTACCACCAATAAAGACAGCAAGTGTGGTTGCGACCAGTTCCTCCATGGAGAAGAAAGAGTCAGGGTTTTTTTCTTCCTTGATGGGAGAAAAGGGATTTTTTTTAATCAAGTTTATCTCGCTAGTTCAGCCTATTGTCCACCAGGATTAAAACTCCTCCCCATCTCTCCGCCAAAAGAGCCATCATCTTGACTGAAGATCTACTAGGGAGTAAGAGTCCAAACTGAGTAGCCCAGTTCTTACATCAACTTCTAAATGGCCTGAGATACACTGATGGAGAGATGTGGAGCTCCAGGTATTCCACAGATTTCCTAATTTGCTGATGTCCGAGCTCCTCTAGAAGTTTGGACACCCTCAACCTCGACGAGGCTGACTTTGCTGCCAACACTGGACTTTTGTTGACTTGAACCGTGGACCAGACCTTGGTTACACTCTCATTCACTAGTTTGGGCTCTTGTAGGGCAGGAATTTGGGGCAGTTCCTTTCAAGAGACTCTTGGATGGAGAATCTGCCAAAGGTTTGTATATGGTCCCATTTGAATGGGTTTATTTATTTAGTATATTGCATATCATTCTTGGACTAGCAATATTTTACCTAGATTAGCAAAACACAATAAAATATAAATGATAAAAAGCTGTATGTTCAAATACCGGTATATGCCCTCAGCTTACAGCTGGTCACAATGTGATTTACAGTTTATGATTTACTGCCCAGTCACTCTTTTGACTCCAGCTATGTGGCAGCAGGATTCCAATGGGGCCTCAAAACCACAGCCCTGTTTATAGACCTAACTGCAGCATACATATCAGGTATTCCAGCAACAATGGGATGCATGTTCAACTTGGTCTGTATTTCTGTGTGTGTGAGACTCAGCCCATCAGCCAGCCAAGATGTCCTCCCTTCTACCTGCAGCGTTTTCACCAGGAAGCAGTCAATGAAATCCCGTGGGGAGTTGGGGTCCAGGGTCTCTTGGTGGGCTTTTGCCTTCTTGGCCACAAATTCCTTCAGTTCCGAAAACATCTTGAAAGACTTTTGCTGTGAGCCAGGGAGGTGTTGCACGATTCCAAAGAAGATGTCCAAGAGCTGCAGGTTGGGTGGCAGGTTGGAGAAGGGAGGAAAGGAAGGATTTACTGGTAGAAGAAGGCCCTGGCAAGTGGAGTTGGGGTGGGATGGGGGTGGGCAAGGCCTGGGAGGGGGAGATGAAAGGTCCCAGGAGATCTGTGGGCCCCTGGCCCTTCCTTCTTTCCCCAAGACAGTTGCTCCTTCAGGTCTGCAGAAGATGGTCCTCCTTCTCACCCCCATCCACTGCAGTGCCTTGAGATTCAGAGCCTTGACCTAACAGAGATGCCTTCCCCACCGAGGAGCAGCAGAAGGGGGGAGGTACCTGTCCCTGAGCTGAGGAGCTGAAGCGGAAAGTTTCCAGTATTCCAGTCAGCAAAGAGAGGAACTCCGGGTCTTCGTAGTCAAAGCGGTTGCCAAAGGCGATGGAGCTGATGACGTTGGACACGGAGCGACTCAGGAAGTAGGTGGGGTCAAAGGGGGCTCCTGGGGGGACAGAGGCCCTTTTAGACCCAAAGCTCTCTCAGGGTCCCCTCATCCCCCCATGAAGGAAAAAAACAAAACCGCCCTGGCTAAACAGGCTCTGGTTGCAGATCTCCTCGGACTGGTCAGGAAAGCACGGATGCCTCTTTCAACTGGGCCAGCCTCAATCTGGAGCCATGCAGAGAGGGTGCTGGGGGGTAGGGGGCAGGAAGGGAAGTCTTCCCTTGGTGGTCTTGGTGTTGGATGGTTTAAGCCAGTTCCCCATGTGGATATTTGGGCTTCGCTGACCAGGCGTGCTCCATTTTCCTTCTTCCCCAACCCCCCATGATTTGCTCCCTGGCCCCACTTCAGGGGGCTCCAGAACCACCTGCCTTTTGTGCTCCTCAGGGCTTCCAGCAGGAAGTGAGCTTCCTCCAGGATCCGCTCTTCAATGGATCTCTTTCCCACCCCGAAATTCCGCAGAGTTGTGATGGAGAACCGTCTTTGTTGTTTGGCCTTTTCCCCATTGCTGAAGGCAACTCCTGCAGAACAAAAGAGCACAAGGGGGAAAGGGGTGTTGAGACCCAAAGAAAACCTCCCAGCACTCAAATGGAAGGTAGAGACTGTCTTTCCGAGCCCTTTCTTAGAACAGAGGACAGGGAACGAGGGGGGGGGCTCTCCAGGGATCTTGAAAATTGGCTTAGGGTAGGAACAACCATCCTGGAACAATAGGGACGGTCCAGGTCTTCTTCTCAGTGCAGGGGACATCAAATACAGCTTCCCCCACAGCTCCCTTGAGGTCAACCATCACCAAATCTGGAAAGTACCTTGACCCCGGAAGATCCAGTCAAAGGTGCCATGATGCCCCCGGTCCCGGAATTCGTTCCCCTGGTCCACCAGGGCCTCCTTAATGGCCTCGTAGCCACTTAGCACCACAATGCGCCGGGGACCCAGATGGAGCGTGTAGACAGGCCCGTACTTTTTGCTCAGCTGCCAGACAAACAGGGAAAGCGAAGGGGAGAGAACTGACTGGCAGAACTCAATTGGTCCTCAGGAGTATCCTCCCCCAGCTGACCAGCTATGACCCTGGGCAGAAGCTGCTGGGCAGAGATGATCTCAGTGGGGAAATCCATGGGGTGGGGTTCCTGCCACAGGTTATGTTTATTCAACAGCAGGGGAGCTCTCTGGGGAGCTGGGGAGGAGGGCTATTTTGCCCCTCTCTGGGAGGGGGTTAGATGAGCTTTGCTGGCTCAGGAATTCTGGGAGTTGAAGTCCAAGGTTGACTACCCCTGTTCTAAAAGGACTCTTTTCTAACTCAAATTCTACTTTCTCTGTATTCTGGGTTCTGCCATGCTCCTGGAGGGGAGGGGGGGAAAAGCACTGTGGATTATTGTTCTGTTTTCCTCTATCGCTACACTATAACAGTGATTCTGCATATTTCCTCTGTGAACTATCTTTCCTCTTGATGTCAGCTAGAAGGGGGGGGGGGAGAAAGGAATGTGCTTCCAGCAACTGGTTTATCTCCGTTTTGGAAGGGAAGGTGTGAAGAGCTGAGGAAACATCGCTGCAACCTTGAGACACTTGGGGCGTTATCTGCTCTTTCCCACAATCCCCTCAAGCTCTTCTGAAGAGGAGGTGCTGACAGAACGCCACCACAAGCCTAGGTGGTCGATGGGCGTTGGGAAGAAGGACGACTGGGGGAAGAAGTCCAGGAAGGTGACGCTCAGACAGGGCAGTCATCAACCCGACTGGAGGGAGGAGATGGAAAGGTCTCTCCATCTCAGCGAGGAGGAGGAGGATCGCCCGGGGCATTCCAGTCGGTTGCTGGAACAGGCAATCGGCATGATGAAGGTAGCCCTCGACTCCATGAAGGAGGAGAGAGCCGAATCCTACCGAAGCACCATCTGCCTGGGATCCGGCAGGAGAGGAAATGAAGAGGAGCCTGAACCCAAAGTTCCAGACCCATCCGACAGAACCACCAAACCCACCGCGGTCACCACTGCAGCAGTCACCCCTCGTCACATGGAAACCACAGACAGAGAGGGGAGACAACACAAATGGAAGAAGAGACAACAGTCCATCCAGAAGTTCCCTCCACTCAATGTGAAGTTCCGTGGGGAGCCACTGCACCTGGGATTCTTCCTAACCCAGGTACTAAACTATATGGAGGAGTACGGCCGGGACATCCCCACTGACCGTGCCAGAGTCCGCATGGTGCAAGCCGCCTTGGATGGCATCGCAGTGGACTGGGTCGTAGACCTCCACGACACTGACGCCCTGGAGCTACTGAATTTCAACCAATTCATGGTCTCCCTCAGGCGCAGGTTCGAAGATCCATTGGCCAACTGGAAAGGCCAAGAGCAGATAAAGACAGGGAAGCAAGGCAGATGGCCAGTGGCGGAATACACCGAAGAATTCTGAATCCTGGCCAGCAAACCGGACTGGCCGGAGGACATCCTGCTTAGCCATTTCAAAGACGGTTTAAACTATGACCTCTACGATGCCTGCCTCCCTCGGGGAGATCATCACCGGCTGCAAGATTGCTACGTCCTACCTGAGGAAGCCAAGATCGACTTAGCCAAGAGGCATCGCAGAGGAGGAAGACCGTGGGGGAAATCGCCACAGGAGCTGACCCACGAGTCAGCAAAGCAACCATCAACCTCCGAAAGAACCACTGGGTGTTTCAAATGTGGTAAGGAAGGGCATTGCACTGCCGAATGCCGCTCCTGCACCCTGACTGGAAAACCAACCGAACCCCAGCTGCGGTCAACCACCCAAGCAATCCGATTCCTCTTCTTCCATCCTAGGTCCTTCTGAAGAGGGGGGCAGGGAGAGTCCCACTCAAGCTTTGGGCTCCTGGGCTCACTGAGCCAGCTGGCCTTTGAGGCTGGCAGTCCAAAGTCAGCAAGGCCCACTTGAGCTGGTCGTGGGGAAGGCAGGAAGGAGCAGGCGGAAGGGCAGGGGGCGAGGGCGGAGGGTGTGGGGGGGGCTTACCTTGATGAGTGAATTGGGCAGGTTGTTTCGGTCTACCCAGAGCAGGTTCCCAATCAGGGGGAGGGGCATGGGTCCAGGGGGCATCTTGCCCCTTCGGCTCATTTGCTGCCAAGAGGAGAGGAGCAGGAGGCCAGCCAGGGAGATGGCCAGGAAGAGGGTCCCTGCTCCCAGGAGATCCATGGGGACGGGCAGATCCAGCACTTGCCAGGTGCTGCTGTGGAGAGAGGGTCAGCCTGGCTCTCCGGGGACCTAATATAGGATCCGGAAATAAATGCAACACCCACCTCATCATCCAGGTTGTGCAACAGCCCAGGTCCCTTCTGGCTTGGAAGGGACCTGGGCTGTTGCACAACCTGATGCCAGGTTGGATGGGGTGAGGGGCTGCAGAGGGACCGTGAATATGCTAGCCAAGGAACGTTCATACATTGAACTTTGGGTCAACTCCAAAGTGCTTTTACAGATTCAGCAGAGAACCTGCAGCTCAGAAATGCAGGTGGGAATGGCCATTGGCCTCTGCAGGGGAGGGATTCAGTAGGAGCCATGGCCAATGGGGGTCAGGCTGTTGCTCTCCCAGGGGGAAGGAGAGACTGGAGACCTTGGAAGAGGGTGACGGAAAGGAGCCAGGATATTGCTCGGAGCAGGTGTCAGTTTGAGTCCTGGCATGCAACAGGTCCACTGGAGATACCCAAGAATGGACTTTCCAGATTATCTGGGAATGGTTTGACCCTGTTGATCCTGAGGAAGTGGACAGGATCCTTTGGGCTCTTAAGGCAGCTTATTAGAAACTTGTCCCTCCTGGTTGGTGAAAGCCTCCAGGATGCTGACCTGCAGGTGGGTCCAAGCAGTAAGTAATGCATCGATGCAAGAGACGGTGTTTCTGGCACCATTCAAAGAGGCCTTGGTGCCCCTCTCCTCAAGAAAGCATCATTGGACTCCAGTTCTCTGGACAAGCTGTTCATCATCAATAGGTTTATAAGACAGCAGAGGGTCAATCCTCAGGACCCACAGATGCTGGGGAAGAGGGCTGTTTGCCCCACAATAGGTTGAGGTTATCATTCCTGGCTAAGAGACCCCTCCGCCTCAGGAGCTCTTTTTACACAATTCCCCCAAATTCTGCTCCCCAGTGCTCCCAATTTCCTACCTGCCTGGTTCCTGAAAAGGAATCCGACAGAAAAGGAGACTCGAGGGCTGTAGCAATTATGGAAGGTTTATTTTTATTAAAATTAAGCTTTAGAATATACAGGGTCTTCTCTTCCTGGACTGCTATCTCTCTTTTTCTAAAGCTGGGCTGCTCTCCCTGGGGAATACCTGCCTGCTGGGCAACTAGGAGTCAAGAAGGGCTTGATGGCCTCTGATCAACCACCCAAGCAATCTGATTCCTCTTCTTCCATCTTAAGGGGGCAGGGAAAGTCCCACTCAAGATTTGGGCTCCCCCAGTCAGCTGGCCTTCGAGGCTGGCAGTCCAAAGCCAGCAAGGGCCACTTGAGCTGGTCGTGGGGAAGGCAGGAAGGAGCAGGCGGAAGGGCAGGGGGTGTGGGCGGAGAGGGAGGGAGGGAGGGGCTTACCTTGATGAGTGAATTGGGCAGGTTGTTTCGGTCTACCCAGAGCAGGTTCCCAATCAGGGGGAGGGGCGTGGGTCCAGGGGGCATCTTGCCCCTTCGACTCATTTGCTGCCAAGAGGAGAGGAGCAGGAGGCCGGCCAGGGAGATGGCCAGGAAGAGGGTCCCTGCTCCCAGGAGATCCATGGGGACGAGCAGCTCCAGCACTTGCCAGGTGCTGCTGTGGAGAAAGTGTCAGCCTGGCTCTTCCGGGATCTAATATAGGATCTGGAAAGAAATGCAACGCCCACCTCATCATCCAGGTTGTGCAACAGCCCGGGTCCCTTCCAAGCCGGGCAACCTGCCTATTGTGCAAATATTTTCCAATTGGAGTCAGATGCTGCTCAGGGGCCAAAGAAGGGAGGCTTTGGTTCAACAATAGTTTTGCGGTTTAATTACCTCACTTTTTCTTCCAAGGCAAGAGCTGCACAAACCTCAGTAATCAAAGAGCCACTATAGTGACCTCCATCACATAGTTATTGCACAGATGATGCAATTTAATGTTTTGGGGGGGGGGGTGGGGAAGAAAGGCAGTGGCGTTTGCTTCACCCATCCTGGGCAGAAACCAATGCCTTGGGGGGGGGGTCACTAAGGGCTGCGGGCAATGGAGCCAGGGTTTCACTTCCATATGCTTGGAAGGAGGGGATTGAAAGGAACCAAGAGATGCCCTAATGATGGGCGGGCAATGCTTGTGCCCCCTTCTGCCCCTCTGCCCTCTGGAATCTTCTCTGGAATCCCCTCTGGATCTCCTTAGGGCACATGGCTGCTCCTGGGGGATTCTCCCAGGCCGGAATTGGCTGGAGCAGATCCGAAGGTTTTTGCAATTCCTTCCCACCCCCCCACATACACCCCATCGCTGCACCAGCCAAAGGCCTGGGCAGGCCATTCTTTGCATCTGCTGCCCTAAGGTTTCTCTCTGTCACACCCCAGCGCTACAGCAATGTCAAGACGGCCCCCACTGCTCTGCCTGCAGTGAGGGAGGAGGGGCTTCCGGGCAAAGGAAGAGGGGCTGGTCCAGCTAAGCCAGTCCTAAGTAGAGGCTTCTGCTGGTCACCAGATGTTCTGTGGATTCTGCTGTGGCTTCGCTGTGTTTTGAGGGGTCCAAGAGGACCCCTTACAGTTTCCCTGTGGGAATTGCTCTCCTGGGCTGACGCTGACCCAAGCAGAGGCAGTGGGGTATACCTATCGAAGCCCTAGGTGTATACACCACATATATGTCCTAATCCCCGTAACACTTCATCCATACTCTCTATGTCTTCACAATATTTACAATAAAAATAATATTCATAGGAAATTAAAACAGGATTTTTGAAATAAATTCCACTTTGGAAGATTGGCTGCAGCAGCCTCTGTTTCTGCAGTTTCACACACTCCTCCAATACCTAAAGAGATGTTTTATTTCACTTTTAAAAGTCAGTGAGATTTCTAACTGGGTTAAATGCTTGTGGGAAGAAGACTAGGGGTCCCTCTCCGGAATCACCCCGAGTATAAATGTACATGTTCTGCAGCTGGGGGCTTGCAGACTCTCTCTTTAGGCTGTGAAGGGGCTTTGGAAGGCTGAAGCACAAGAGGAAATCTCCAACTAAAGAGCCAAACAGAGACAGAAGAAATATGTAAGTTTTGTGACATTTTTTAATACTTCCAGACTGGTCTGACTTCAACTCTCCAGGAACTGAATTTATCATGCTCTGCTCCAAATCTATGTCCCATCCAGTTACCACTGCTGGTTGGGAGAAGGTCTTAGGTGGGATGTGGGTGCAGCAACCCTGGACCAGGCACCAGCTGGACAGAGAGAAGGGCAGAGGCCAGACCTCCCAGCTGAAGGTCCAAGCAGTTGGTCAGGGCTGGGATAGAACAGGATGCCAGCTGACTGAGATGAACCCCTTTCCCCAGGGCAGAATTGGGGTGCCATCGGTTCCTCCACAGACGCCCTCCTTGTGCCCCCTGATTAAGATCAAGAAAAGAACAGGGGAGGGAGGGATCCATCTGACCCAGCAGATCCCAGAGCCAAGGATCTGGTTCAAGTAGCCCAGCAGAAGGCAGGGAGGCGCCCAGGACAAGAGCCGTGCTGGATGGAAATGGCTCCCCGGGTGAGGTGGCTGTGGGGCTTGGACAGAGCAGCATCAGGAGGAGAGCTGGAGAGAAGCAGCAGATGCCCGGGATCAGCGGGGCAGCATGCTCAGCTGGTAGATGGGGGGGATGTTCCCAAAGCCGCTCATTTTGGGGGAGACATCAATGTCCTTGGGGTGCAGGGGGGACTTCAGGGAGAAGTTCTGCAGCATGGTGGTGACGTAGAGGAAGAGCTCCATCCGAGCCATGGCTTCCCCCAGGCAGACGCGTTTCCCTGGAAGAGAGAAGAAAAGCTGGGCCGGAGGACATCAGTCGGTCGGTCGGAGATTCTGCCACAAGGAATCAGCCTCGGGCTCCACAGCGGGAGACCTTTCCCCCTTCCCTTGGCCATGGGGATCTTCGCAAGGACCCCAGGTGGGGAGGGGGAGGGCCGTAACTTGATGAATGAGGAGGAATTTGGCTGAAGGCAGAGAGGGGTCTCATCATGGGGGGGGGGCTCAGGCCAAGGCCATCGCTCTCTCCATCCCCCATCTTGCTGGCCCAGAGAGCCAGTGGGAGGGCCGGGCCAGGGGTCAGAGGGCCAGCCTGGAGCAGGTCTTGGGCTTCCAGGGGGCCAGGCCACCCATACTGCCCCTCCAAGTCCGGGGGGGGGGGGAGGGAGTTCCAAAGGGAGCCGATGGGCATCAGAGGCGGAAGGTGTTTCTTCCTCTCTGCCTGTAAAACTGCAACTCAGATGGATGAAGCAGCTCTTTGGGAGGGTCCGCTCTGGGCCTCCAGGCAGCTCCACCTCTCAGTCTCACCTGTGCTGCCCCTTGCACTGCCCTGGTCAGTGCCCCAATGCAAGGACAGCCAAGAGAAAAAGAGCAAGCCCTAAACCCCGGGCCTTACCGGAGGAGAATGGTACAAAAGCCTCATTCTTCTTAAAACGGCCGTTCTCATCCAGGAAGTGCCCAGGGTTGAAGTTCTCTGGGTCACTGAAATATTTGGGGTCCCGTAAGGCTGAGCCAAGCAAGGGGAAGACGTCCGTGCCCTGCAAAAACACAAACCCCAAATCCAGAGTGGGGCTCCATTCACCAGGGATAGCTGAGATCATCACTGCACACGCCCCCTTCCTCCGGGGAGCCTCACCTTCGGCAGAAGATACCCCCGGAACTGAGTGTCCCGGATCACCGTGTGGGGCACTCCCATGGGGACAATGTCCGTCACCCTCTGGATCTCATGGACTACAGCATCGGTGTAGGGCATCTTCAGCCGGTCTTCCGTGGCAGGGAGGCGATTGGGGCCGATGACCTGGTCAATCTCCTTGTGGACCTTCTCTGCCAAAACATCAAGGGAAACCTTCTGGGGGAGCCACGAGTGGTCCAGGCCTCTCAGCCCAGTGGGGGCCACTGCCTTGAGCCCCTCAGCCAGGAGGCACAGCAAACTTGGATAGGCCTCTGAAACTGAAGGGGCCCAAAGCAGCTCCCATCCCCTCCCCCTTTTCAAAGCCCCACTGCCCCCATTCTCACAGCCAAGGTAGAAACGTCATTAGAGGTCAGTTGGGAATAGACTCGCCCAAGGGGCGCGCTGCCCCCTTCCCACTTTTATTGCATTGGGGCCATCCTGATGAAAAATACCCCGCTTACCCACCCACGTTCCCACTATACCCACAGAAATATTCCTGCTGTTGGGGTGACCAACGGAGCTTATGCAGACCCTGGTCTGGGAGGAAGGCAGGCCTCTGTTTGTCTGATGCAGGACAGCTTTCCTGACACTGACTAATTAACTTCCTTTTGTAAAAAAAAGAAAGTCTCATTTGTTCCATGAAGACCCCACCAGGCTCTAAATCCATGAAGTAGCTGGCTGCAGGCACTGTGCTTTCACTTTGAACGGGTCTCCTGTAAGCTGCCTATGTGGGTGAATGGCGGTGCTCCATTCAGAGATTCCCACCTGGGGTGGGGTGGGGGGCTTCCTGGAATCTGTGTGGAAGGAGCTGCAGTCCCTTGGTCAAGTCCATGCAAACTGTCCCAGATTTTGGCCACCCTACCTTCCACTTCTGGGTATTTCATCAAGAAAAGGAGTCCGTATCTCAGGGTGGAGCTCACGGTTTCTGTCCCAGCAAAGAACAAATTGAGGGTGGTGAGGACCAAATTTTTCAGGTTGAATTCAGTGGAAAGGTTTCCTTTTTCCTTCAAGGGAAGAAACAGTTTATCTCAACATGGCACGCATGGCGAGTAGAGCAGCTGGGTCAGAAGCAACGTGGATTCAGAAAGTCCACATTTGCAGGCCACTCACATACTTACTAGCTGGGTATTCTGGAACTGAAATGCAATGGCTCCCCAAAACTACTGGGGGAGCAGAGGGAAACAGGCTGGGGAAGACTAATCTAAGGTGGGGGGCTTCCTACTGTCACCAGACAGGCCCACCATCTGTGCTGCAGGAAGAACCGGCTCCTGAGGTGGTTTCCCACTGCTTCATGGAGTTGTCTCGTGGGATGAGCCCCAGTGGTGATTTGCATTCATCTCCCACTCTGCCCCTTCTTCTAGTCTCTCTGGTCTTTCCGTGCTTCTCTCTACTGATGAGAAATTCCTGGCAGGACCTTCTCCATCTGGATGAGGAAGCAATCAATGAAGTCCCGAGGGTTGTTGGGGTCAAGCGTCGCCTGGTTGGTTTTGATCTTCTCGGCAATGAAGTCCTTCAGCTCCTCAACCAGGTAATAAATGCGGTTGTGTCGTCCCGGCAGGTACTGCATGATGCAGGAATACATATCATAGAGCTGGGAGGAAAAGGAGAGAAACCCGGCTGGTTTGTTGGACCGACTAGCTACCTAGTTCCGGAGTCCCAGGAAGAAGACTGTTCCCAGTTCTGCAAGGGAGGCTCCACTGGGAAGAACCTTCTGACCCACACCCACGCACATGGGAGCAAGGTCTGCTCCAGGGTTGCTCCCTACCTGTGCCAAAGGGGTGCTCATCTCTATAAAACTTTCGTTGATCATCTGCAGCAAGGAGAGGAAGGTTTTATCTTCGTAGTCAAAGCGGCTGCCAAAGACGACGGAGCTGATGACGTTGGAGACCGTGCGGCTCAGGAAGAAGGTGGGGTCGAAGAGTTGACCTGAGAGACAGGAAACAAAGGGCTACTTGAGGGTGCAGCTTTCCCTGAACCGGACGTACGTGAAGCCCAAACTCCATTCAGGGGTTGCTGGATCTGGTCATCACCAACCTTTGGTTTTTCTGATTTCCTCCATCAAGTACTGGGCCTCCTCCTGGATCCTCTCCTCAATGGACCGCTTGCCCATCCCAAAGTTCCTCAAGGTGGTGAGGGAGAAGCGACGGAGCTGCTTCCAACGCTCCCCATTGGCTAAAGCAACACCTGGAAAGGAAGGGGCCACGTTTCCTTTGAAGGCAACATCTTCAGTTCCATGAAAGCAATGAAGCAATGAACCACGCAGAAGATGAGAGAATTCCCTCGTGATGTTCCCTCAACCTCCCATCAGTTCCCCCTTCTGCTAGAAAACCTGGGTTCTCTTGAGGAGAGGCCCTGGATCTGGTCTACTTACCAAAACCATTGAAGTTCCGGTCAATGCTGGCTATTTCCCCTCTGCCACTGAATTCCTCAGCCTGGTCCACCAGGGCCTCCTTCACTGTGTCGTGTCCACAGAGAACCACCACCCGCCGAGGGCCCAGATAGACTGTGAACACGGGGCCATATTTCTCTCTCAGCTGCAGGAAAGACCAAGGAAGGGCATGAAAGTCTTCTTTGCTAGCTTCCACTCAGGGCCATGGCAGCAAATTTAGGCCAGAAGCAGAACAGTTTTTCTTTTCAGGATTGTCCGGTGAAACCCGTATCTTCGATGACTTTAAAATGGATTTGGATTGATCTACTCTCCATGAAGGATTCCAACAGCCTTGATGAGCCTTTAGTGTCATGTTCATGGCTGGGAGCTGCCTATCCCTGGAGCCTGCTTACTCTAGGGCCAATAATGGGGTGGCATCGCCTTCAAGCCCGAGAGCACGGTTGGCTGTGGTGCTGCCAAACCAAGCTCGGGAAAAGCTCTTCCTCCTTTTTCATGGACCCCTAGAGATAGTTGAGGAACCGGGTGGGGTGTTTATTTGCAGAGTTTAATATTCCCCCTTCTGGGCAACCTGGAGCTTCTGCTCAGACACCCCATGAGCCTGATCATCTCCACCCGGCCTTCCTCCCTGCTCCTTCTTGCACCAAAGAGGTGGCCACTCACCCCCAGGAAGGACTTGAAGGGCTCGCTGGTTTTCACCTGCAGGATATTGCCAAGGAAGGGCAGTGGGGTGGGTCCCGGGGGCAGCTTCCCTTCTTTGTGCATCCGCTTCCACGCAGAGATGAGCAGCAAGCAAGAGAAGCAGATGCCCAGGAAGATGCCCACTGCACCCCCGAGCTCCATGATGACCAGGCGGGAAATGCACCTGGTGGCCCAGGACCTGCTGCTATATATCTGCCTCTCCCGGCACTGAACCCCGGGAGCTGAGCAGGAAAGGAAGATTGGGTTTCAAAGCCACGTTTGTTGGGCACCTGGCAGGGATGGAGGCAGGGAGGGGGCATCTTCCTGGGCGGGAAGGGCTTCTGGAGGTCTTCTGGACTAATGCGAGAAGAGCTTTGCCATCCTCCCACCATGACGCTGACAAGAATTTCCGCAACTGGAGTTAGATGCGCCAAATGGCGTGGGTAGATCTGCCTTTCAGAGGTTGATGAGTTTGGGTCACTCAGTCGAGGAACTACCCAGGAGAGCCCCTCCCCCTTCACCAAACTGCAAGAGAGTAGAATAAGAGAGGATGCTACGGTTTTTGGGTCAGATGGGTGGCCAGGTGACACTTCCAGAAGGGAGAGCAGTTTGGAAGGGTCTTGTTGGGGTCTGGGCTCCCTGAGGTGATGCCTGTGGGCACCAGATGGATTGCAGACAATTTCCATGGTGACTACCAGAATTTTGATAGAGCACATTAAAAAATATGCAGTTTGCTTTGGGTTAAAAACAAAAACAAAAAAGGAATTTGGAAGTGTTGCAAGGCAAGGTACATCCAGGTAAGGTTTTGTTTCCCAGAAGGCCCCTGGGCAAGGAGGGGAGGCTGCACTTGCATGAATGTTTTCTCTATTTGCCTGCCTGGAAAAGATTACAGTCAGGAGGAGGATGGGGTGGAGCTGGCCTCCTGGCCAATCAGCTTTCTTCAGCTAGAGTAGTATTGGGATGGGGTGGGGTGGCCCTCTTGCAAATTCCACTGGCTTGCCAGATCTCAGAAACCAAGGAGCCAGTGCTTTGGCCCAGATTCTCCCTTCAAGTTAACTGCTTGTTTGCTCCTTAGGATCAGCCCTCCCCCCATCGCTCTCCCCACAGAGAGATCCAACGGGCAGGATGCCAAAGGAGCCGGGACCTTTGCACTTTCTTTGGGCCTGCACCAATGGCATGCTGGGCTTGGCACCAAGGCCACAATTGGCAAAGATTGCCTGTGGTGATCACAGAGCTCAGCCGTCGCATTGCTTCATTTGTGGCGTCGCCATCGGCCTCGTGTTCATTCCTTCTTAAGTGAAGGAGGATGAACAAGTAGGGTGCCAAGAGGCACTTTGTGGCCAGGAGAATGAACATCCACAGAGTCCCTTCCCTTCCATCCTCAGTTACATAACCGCCGTCCTGCGAGGGCCCCTCTGGAGGAACTGCCCCAAAGTCAGCAGGCCACTGCAAGATCACAGTTATGTAAAGATGATTGAATTACCTCTTGACTGATGTTATATAACTTGGTGCAAAACAATAATCCTCCCCTCTCCTCCGTGGCTTCCCCTCTGCTCACGTGTGGCACAATCCCCTGGGAACCCAAATGGGGTGAGGGGGGAGCTGGGTGGTGCTCAAGGCTAGCCAAGATGTCTCCGGGCTTCAGGACTCCTCCGGGAAGGTTTCCAATGTGGATCCTCCATTGAGGAGATGGCTTGACTCATCAAATAATAATCCTTTGAACTTTGCACAGGCACCTTTGAGCAGGAAAGGGGGGGAGGTTTTTCTAAATAAAAAACCCCTCCATTTTTGCAAATCCCATGAAGAGGACATCAGTCTCAGTTTCTGTGTTTTTTTCTTGCAACACGTCCCTTATCATTTTTCCACTGAAAGACCCCAAGGATCAAACGCTGAGGTTATCTTTTGCTGAGGGCTCAGAAGGCAGCAGGCGCAATCTGGCTGGCATCGGCTGGAGTTCAGGGTCGGTTGTCTGAGTTTAAATAAAGTAAAGGTTGTGATTAGGGCCTTGCTGGGGCTCAGGTGGGGGCTCAGCCAAGTGGCTTGATAGGGCAAAGGGCCCATCTCCCACCGTGCTGTGCAAGCACTTTTGTTGCAAGATGCGGCCTCAGAGGAAGAGGCTGCCCGCCTGTTTTGAGGGCTTGGGGAGGGTCTGCTCTGGGATGCCAGCAAGCGGGTCGCCCTCTGCTCCAAGTAGCGGCTCCATCTGTGGGCTGCAAGGGCTGGGAAAACCTCCATCCCATCTCTTTTTGCTCCAGAACTCTGTCTGGGGCTGCTCTGCTCCAGGGGAGCGTGGCGCATTCATCGTGGAAGGCAGTCTAACCAGCTGGGATGCTCCGGTGCGTCTTTCCACTGGCAGGGGCGTGACTGCCCTGCCCCCAGGGACTGGGGCTCCCGAGCTGCCTTCATGTTCCAGCTCTGGTGGACTTGGACAACATTTGGTCCCTGAAGGGGACATCTCCCCCACCCTTTCTGAAGGACCCCAGCTGGCCCTCTGGCCCCTTCCTGCTGAGCAGCAAATCTCCCCTTTTCCCCACTAGCGATTCATTCCTGCCAGAAAGCAAGTAAGAGTTGAAATTCCCTCCCCTCCCTTATATCCACCCCAATGTTAAACATCAGGTTCTGCTGCCTGCCTTGCCCAGGTCTTGGCCTCTGGGTGTGCTCTTGCGCTGCCCTGTGAATTTCCACCTGTGAAAGGGGTTGCACAACATTCGCTCTCACAACGTCTCCTGCAAACACGATGCTCATTTCTGTCACGGTTCCTCGGAAACCAAGCCGAGCAGCCACCCTCCCCGGCCCAAGGAAGCTGGCAGGCGTGCAAAGAAGCCCTGGCAAACAAAGGGCCGGGCGAGGAAGGCTGAGCCCCGTGAGAAACCAAACCGTGAGAGGCCCGAGAAACTCGAGCCCTTCCCCAGAGCTCCCATTGTGAGTTGAGAAAGAGGCTTAAGCAGAGGATGGGTTATGTAATCCGCTCTCCCTTCGCAGGACACACTTTGCCAAGCTAGGCGGTGGCTGCTCAAGGGGAGGACCCTGAGGCTGCCTAAAAGCGTGGCGCAGTGGGGTTGGGTGGGGGGGGGGCCTCAGCAGGTCACAGCCAAGGTGACAGAGAAGAAACAAGACCATCTTTAAAATAGCCACTCTCCGACTGCAAAAGTGCCCCAAGCATGGAAAGTGGATGAGAAAAGCATTCAGAAGTGTTCCATCCAGCTCAGGGTTCGTGCCCCTGCCCCATCATGCTGTTCCTGAAGCTTTGCTCCAAGCCGGAGCTTTGAACAACATGTTGACATCTGTTGTAATTGGATATCCCAGACAGGTGCCAGCGAGTCCTTTGAAATGTTTATGCTATGCAAGCAACATTCCTCTGGCTGGTGCTTTCTTCTGATAGATACTCAGCAGGTGAAGCAAGAGACGGCAGCATATCCCTGGGCGTTGGACAGGGTTTTTTTCCCTTGCTGCGTTAGTTGCGGTTGTGTTTCTGTTTGTTGAGCCCTGTGGCTGCAGGAAGAGAGCAATTATAGCTTCAGAGGCTTGTAACACCCTGGGGTTGCCACAACGCCTGGCCTCAGTGTGATGCTTAGGCTTGCGCAGGAGTTGGCAACTGGGCTTCAGCTGGCTGTGAGGACTGTGAAGAGGTCCCGGACAGCCAGTCACGTATTTTGCCTTGATATCATGACTTATCTCAAGAGGTGTTGAAGGCCCAACTTTGCTCAACCTGCCCCCTCCCAGCCCCCTCCCCACCCCCCAAAAGCCCAGGCTGGCTAATGTGGTGGAATTCAGGGGACTGCAAAGCAATGGCTGACCCAGGAAACGTCTTAAGTCAGAATATGCCCAAATGCAAAACTGGGCAAACAAAAACTCTCAGTGGAGCAGTTTTCTGAAAAGTGAATGGCAGCTGTTGAGGGTGTTCAGAGTCTGGATGATGTCTGTGGGGAGGGAGGGAGGGAGGAGAGAAAGAGCTTTAATCCTAATGATGATCCTGCCCCAGAAAAGCTGCTTTGCAAGGGGAGCCCTTTGGCTGTGGCCCCTTCACTCTTTTGCCTTGCCATCCTTTCAGCCCTCTGGATGTGGACTCCCCCCTCCTCCCAATTTATGTTATGGCCATAGACCAGCATATTATTGTTATTTTTCTTCCTTCCTCTTCTCCTTCTTCCTGACTGCGTTCACACAACTAATTCAGATCAGGTTCAGTGGCTGCAGTTGCCCAATGTTTTACTTAGCATCATCCTCAATGAGGGGTTTGGGGCTCTTAGCATACTGAGTGGATGCAGGTGAGTTGATGGTTGAATGCACTGGGGGACGACTCTGCAACTAAATTATGCATCTTGTGCGAATGCAGCCTGGGAGTCAAGGGCTGGTAAAGGTGTTGTTGCTTTGGGGCTTCCCTCATTTCTGTGCAAACTGTTTCCTTTGACTGACTTTGGGCTGCAACCCAAGTCAGCAGCTGCTTCAGATCCCGCTGAAGCTTGGCCAGTTCGGCTGGATCCTCGTGTTCTGGTTTTGGCCCAGAGACTGGCCCGAGTAGCTGACCGTAGCTCAGTGCGCACCGGTGCTACCTGGGAGCCATTCTTCCCCAGTCCTGCAGGGCAGCCAGAGGCGGCCGGGGCAATGCAGGCCAACTGTTCCCCTGGCCCAAGAAACAGGGGTGAAGGATCCCTGGTTTTTTGGCCAGCCCCTTCCGCGCCCCTCCCCAAAGCTCATGGCCTGAGAAAGAGGAAGCGGCCCCCATGCCCCCTGTAAGTGGACTTCCTGAGTGCCACAGTGGGGGCCGAGGGCGTCTCTTGGCTTTTCATGCAACGTGCTGGATAGATCAGTTTCTCTGGCTTTTGTGCTCTCTTGCTTTTTCTGTTTTGCTGTCTTGAAGCAATATCATGTAGACCACCTAGATTTGCACCGGTGATTGTGCTGGGGTACTATGACATCCAGGAAACAGGACCTGACCCCCCTTCCCCCCCAGCTTAGAAAAAAACAAGGCTCTACCAATTCAGGTCATCTGCATCCCCGCAAAGCTTTATATTGTCAAGGCAAACACCTGGAAGAGGAACCTTTTCCCAGCCCCTCAGAGTTCTCAGCCCCGGATGGGTCGCAGAGAAGAAGACCACACAGCACCACCCCCAAAAGCACATGAGCGCAGAGGCGGGGAGTGCACGCATTCCCGCTTGGCTCCCTCCTCTCAGCGGGGGATGAACGAGAGCTCGTAC